ATAGCTAGTTTAACTAGCCGGCTTTTATATAAATAGCCCGAAGGTTGCTTAGAAAATAGGCACTTTACTATATAGAGTCTACGGACCCCGAGCGCGACGTATACGACGCGCGCGCGCCTCTATTCCTAAAGCCCCCGAACTAAGGCTAGTTCGTATAGGGGGAAGGAGGTAATTATAAGGGCCGTATAAGAGCCCTTATAATAATAGGATTAATAGAGGTAGCTAGATTAACTAACCTTAGAGAAGGGAGTATAATATAACCCGACTACTTAGCGTAGGCTTAGCGTATGCATAACTCCTACGCATAGCGCACATTTAACCTATAAGAATTAGTCTTATCTCTAATCGAGTAATTACGGGTGTCTAATACATTGCTATATCTTTACCCTTATAGCTCTACCGTCCGTATATAGTTCTATACGTTGCTAAGTAGCTTCTAAGCTAGTTTAAAGTCCTCCGGTGTAAGAATAATCTCGCTATCTAGACGAAAGCACCTATCTTAAAGGAGGGTAATTTCGGATGCTATTATGCGTAGGTCTTAGTAGTATATATAAGTGTGCGTAGGTAGTATGCGTAGGAAGGATGCAAATCTTAGCACGGATTGTATTTGTTTAGAAAGATTTGTTTTAGTGTACGGACCACTGTAAACAATCGAGATCGGCAATTTCGGATAATACCCGAGTTGTTCTACATCCGGCTAGACGTTGGTGGAATACAGACCACCCGGTAGAGCACTTCACTACCCAGAAGGCCTTCCCAGAATTCGAGCGCTCGCGAGAGTGAGCTGACGGTAATGCCACTGACAGACCATTTAAGTAAACAACTTGCAAGCTGGGAGTCCAAGACTTACGTATGGGCGGCTCCATTGATGGTAAAGTCTCTGGTGGCCATGGCTAGGTTATGTACTTTCCGAGGAGGGCGTCTCTTTGCGTAACTTATGTACTTTCATCCTTCGCGGCTTGCTCACTAATGCGGGCGGCCTTACATCGGATTTGCCCGTGGCAGCATGATGCACGCGGCGTGGTGAGTTCCTAACAACATGGTCCAAGGAAGGGATTGGCTCGGATGTCTCGATGATCAGCAAGTTTGCGCAACGAGAGACAGAAAGCTAGCTGTGGAACGAAAGGAGAACAGGCGGATTAGAACGTGTCGCAACCGCAACGTTTTCAGTCGCATGACATGTGAATCGTGAAGGCTGCGCACCTGTCCACTGCCAGTCATGGTCACATAGGTACGTAATGCATAACTCTCGATACACTCATGATAACCGCCCACCCTGATGCTTACTGCACGCTGCAGCAGTATTCCACAACTCCAGTACGCCATGCACGGCCAAACGCCGTGCCGCTATGAAACTTTCACGTATGCTGTCAAGGTTAGCATTGCTCTGAATTGATGAGGATGACGGATGGTATGCTCACCAGCATCGATCTTAGAAACCTGGGGTAGAGCCAGGCGCACCTTGTTGCGATAGAGCACCGGGTTCTGTCGTTGGAGTGGATTGCCTTCAAAGTACACTTCTTCCAGCTGCTCCTTATCCTTGAGCGCACGCTCCACTTCCTGAAAGCTGTCGATCTTGCAGTGTGAAGCCCAAATGTTCTCCAGGTTCTTAAGATCTTCAAGACCCGCGAGTGTGGCGATAGGGTTGGTCTGGAAGTCCAGAATCTCCAATTTGGTGTTTTTCCGCAGAGGTTCCAGAGAGGTAACTTTGTTGTCGCTGAAGTAAAGTTCCGTGAGTTGTGGTATTGTCTCGATGCCGTCGAGAGAGGTCAGGCGGTTTGCTTGTATGCTCAAGGTACGCAAGTTGCAAAGGGTACCGAGACCCTTCAACTCCGTGATCTTGTTTTGTCCGAGCCACAAGCTTTCCAGCTTGACCAGCTTCTCCAAGCACTCGATTTCTCGTATCCGATTTGCGCCTAGTTCGAGGTATGTGAGGTTTGTGAGCTCTTCCAAGCCTTCAATCTTCGATATGCGATTCTGCACGAGGTACAGATGATCCAGCTTCGTCAGCGTCTCCAAGCGCTTGATGTGCTTCAGCTTGTTGTAGCTGAGATCCAGGCTAGTCAACTCAGTGAACTGCTCGAGACCTTCGATGTGCTTGATGAGGTTGTCATATAGCTCCAACTCTTCCAAAGTGGATCTGCAGGTGTCGGGGATCTCGATACGCTGAATCTGGTTCTGGCGGAGACATATTCGACGTAATTTCTTGAAGCGCTCTAGATGTAGAGCGGGCATGGACGACACACGCGAGTGCTGCACATCGATGTCCTGCAAGTGGTCAGTTTCGTTCGAACATGGAAACTCACTCCTGGTGTGCGCTCACCTCTACGTCGGGATCTTCCCCCTCAAGCAAGTCTTCGTCCGCTTCAATCTGTTGGACGGGCGGCGCATCCTCGTCGGAATACTCTGGATCGCTTAGCACTTCTGGATTCACGAGGGTGGCCTGTTTCTGCACTCGGAGCTTGCCATCCCAGCCCGCACTGTTGGTGGGGGTCCTGGATGCAGGTGCGGACACTGCCTCATCAATCGGATCTGTCATGGTCGATGCACGCCTGTGAAGCGACCAGAAACGTTTTGGATGAACATTTAGTGACATGGGAGCTCGGGCCAGCGACGGCGCCTCCCGTCGCCGCTTCATTCCTGGCACGACCTCTGACGTTCGTTTCACCCTTCTCGAGCTACAATCATCACCCTCTATTGATAAAAGTTCCGCTTGATGAGACCTGCCGTGGTCCACCTGCCTCTACATACTACTAAGGCTGACAAGGCTGATGAGATCGCGCCTCGCTCAATATGCCATTCATCCAAGACCAACCAGTGAGTCGGAGCATACGCTCACAGAGATATCTGTATGACCTTGATGATTGAGTCTCATTCGGCAGCCAAGACCTGTTCGAACCCTCGTCTTCAACTCATAAGCTACGCTACCAACCATATAGCTAGCGGTTCTCACGCGACCAGCTTGCATGTCATGACTTTGCAAGCTTTCTAAATGTCGATGAGCTCGATACTGATAGATACCCTTATGGATTTCTTCTGCTTTTGGACACCGGGTCGTTCCACTGGTTACTATCTATTGCATGGGAATTCCCTGGCCTTGCGAAACATGAGTGCCTGAGCTCACAGATATCGCAATCAGGTCAGCTAGCTCAACACGGCCCGCCCCTTTGAGGAGAAGCCTTAATGTGACTACACGAAGGCTTCCTAGAGGCCCCTCTTCGTCAGGAGTACCAGAAAAGTAGCAGAAAATGTGTGGCCTGCAGCGAGCTTTCCGTCATGACCTGCTGTCGATTTGCTATCTGCCGAGAGCTTGCCTTGAGTTCATCATCAAAGTATGACCGGTACCCTATCATCAAGCTTGTGCGTCAGCGTCGGCTCGACAGGTGGTCTGGACTGTCTGTAAGTCGTGTAGTGGATGCAATCATTTTCGATGAGGAATATTGTTACCACATCGCATTTCGCTATCTTCTATATCTGGCTTGTACATGCTGCACACGAGACTCTCTGACTGAACATGGATCGCAACCAATCCTCTGTCACTGAAAAGACGGACAATAGCAAGCACGAAACCGAGCATCTTGAGTATGTCGGGCAGCATGGAAAGCACATCGGCATAAGTATGTGAATACACCACCTCATTGATGATTTGCTGACGGACGAGCGCCAAAGGAACCGGCTCCCGTCCAACTCATCCTACCGAGGACAAAGAATGGGATCAGCCTGCTGATTGCAGCTATTTTGAGCGTGATTCAAACGACGGTCGACAGATCGTCGACTGGGACAGCCACGAAGACTCGGAAAATCCTTTCAATTGGTCTACCAAATACAAATGGATAGTAACGCTGACCACATGCTTCATGTATGTTTGCGATGTTTGAAAGCGTGCCATAGCGCAGACAACTAAATTCGCTCCAGTTCCATCTTACTCGGGCTCCCAGCAGKAGCATATGGTACCGCAGGATCACAGATGGCTCATATATGGCATATCAACGAAGACCGATTCCCTTTCATCAGCTTTGGCCTCGTTACCTGGAATGTGGGCGCAGCTGTTTTTCCTCTCGTATTTGTTCCCATGACCGRGACAGTGGGACGCATGCCCGGCTACTTCGTGAGTCTGCAACGCATTGATTGAGAGCACCTGCTGAGTTCATCCAGATCTCATACATTCTCTTCCTCATCTGGCTGATCCCTTGCGCCGTCTCACAAAACTTTGCAACGATTCTCGTCTCCCGCTTCTTCGCTGGGGGAGCGAGTTCTGTCGCAATCAATGTTGTTGGAGGAACGATCACCGATATCTGGAAAGGAGATCGGGCTCGCAGCTTGCCCATGTCAGTCTTCGCACTCTCCGGTGTCGTTGGGATAGCCCTTGGGCCTTTGATTGGTGGGGCTATTACGAGTGGCATAAATTGGAGATGGGTGAGTCGCATGCCTTTTCGTTGCACCAAATACCGGCTAACCTTGACTCCCCTCTCAGATCTATTGGATTCAGCTCATTGTGGACGCTGCTTTGCTTCCTGTCTTCTACATGATCCTGACGGAAACCCGCGGCGATGTGATTCTAGCGAGGCGAGCTGCGACAATGCGCAAATGTGGCCGCAACAACGCCTACGCCAGATCAGAGCTGGAGAAGGTCTCTATCCTGCAGAATATCAAAGTTTCTTTCATGCGTCCCACCAAAATGCTGGCCACGGAGTTTGTTGTCATAGTGAGTCGGGGGATCAATTTTGGGTGGATTATTTTGTGAGCTAATGTCACTCGTAGGCATTCACTCTATGGGTCAGCTTCGCCTGGGGTATTCTCTTCCTATTCCAGAGCAGTGTACCTATCGTCTTCGAAGCGGTGTACGGCTTCAATACCTTACAGGTGGTGCTGGTCCAGCTCGCACTCGTTGTGGGCGCCATCCTAGCAGCTTTGGCCAACCCGGTCCAAGACAAGCTCTATCTAAAATCTGCCAAACGTAACATGGAAAGACCTGGAAAGCCAATACCTGAAGCTAGACTGTACTTCGCGGTGCCTGGATCCATCATCTTCTCCGCGGGGATGTTCTGGTTCGGATGGGCTTCGATTGACAGTCTGCACTGGATTGTTCCGACTCTTGGCCTGGGATGCGTCGGTATCGGCGTTTACAGCATCTATCTCGCGGTCGTCAATTTCCTCGCCGATGCTTACGAAAAGTATGCAGGGTCGGCGTTGAGCGCTGCGAGTATGGGACGCAATGTGTTCGGTGCATTCCTTCCTCTAGCGACGCCTGCGCTGTACAAGAACGTGGGATTTCAGTGGGCCTCAAGTCTCATAGGCTTGGTTGGCCTCGCACTCAGTGTCGTGCCGGTGATTCTGTTGATCAAGGGCGAAAGTATCCGGTAAGGCAACATGTGTGTCTAAAGCTCGAGGATGGTCGCTTTGGTCATTCATAGAGAGGTCTCGAACCGAAAGCACGTCCGCTGACTACCTTGGCTGACTTTTATATCTCCAGAGCGAAGTCACCTTTTATGCTGGAGGCCAGCTATGACGAGGAAGAGTCCGACGAGCGACGCGAAAGTCTTGCTGTGAGACACACTGCCGAAAGAAGCGCGGCCTCCACAATGCCTTGGAGCCACGTGAGGACGATACACGATTAGTCAATCTTTCCTCCAGGGAATCTTTTGATACTCGGAGAGTATCGATCGACATGTACAAGAAACATGCGGTCATGGTCGGATTGTGTCGTTTCGAGGTTTATTTGAAATGCTCGAGGGAGATTGTGTGCTAGGGTTAGGGTTGGGGTAGTATGGCATGGCGATATTTCCACTTTTGTACATCAGTAAGACGCAGACATGTGGCTTGGACATGCTACAGGACCTGTGGAATTCCTGTTATCGAGGCCGCTAGTGTTATTAAATGAAGTAGAGACCACGAGAGTGGAAAACAGCATTGAGGGCAAATCGAGGAGAAATGTAGCTGCAAGATGGATAGAATATTCCTTCACCACGGGACATTCGTTGAACGTGCATTATTCTTATCGTTCGTTGCGCCCGTAAAGTAGTCGTCTTATAGCTGGGCTAACTATCCGAAGGCCATATATAAATGCCCGAGCGAACCAGCACAATACACGGCCTTCATCTATCGCAAACGCTTGATGGTACAACGACGAGACCTCAAGCCCACGTTTGACCAAGCGGCCGTGCCTTTGCAAGGTAACGAACGCTCTTAAAGTTTGGGCTGCCAACAAGCACCTTGTAGATGTGGTTGCTAGGAGGCGTGGATAAGCCGGGCGGATGCAGCTCTATACCAAAGACTCAATCTTCATACCAGTGACGGAAAAACAAACCTTGAGACCGCTGAGCTGCACATCAAAACAAGCCACAAAAACGCACGCGAAAACGCTGTTGACATGTTCATTTCAGCAATTGTTGAGTAGGTAAGCTAATAGGTATACCATCAGCAACAACACCCTCAGGAGCGAACCACTGGTTGCTCGCAAGTCTTGCTCCCAGCTCGTGCCCTCATATGCTGTGCATTACGAGCCATGAAAGACTCTCCCAGCGAACCCGAGGTGAATGATCGTTTGGGCCGATCATAAGAAGAGCCATAGACTTCATTCACGACAGCACTATACTCTGCTCGGTTGTAATTGGCACCTGCGTAAATGGGATCCATCGCAACCGATGGTCTTCGGAAGCCAGGTTGAGTAGGTTGCTGCGAAGCGACTGCTGATCCCGGTATGAACTCCACGGCAAGCTCTTCTTCAGGTTCAGCTTCTGACGACAAGTCCGCGCCGGTTTCATTAGAACCGTCTTGAGAAACCTCCCGGTGAACACGGCCGGTGATAGTATCTTCACTTTCGGAGAGATGTTCGACCTCCGGGCCGCTGGTTGATAGCATATCTTCTTCTTCTTCTAAATCGAATAGATCGCCGTCTGGGTCAATAGTGACTGGTGGCCGTGCTGGCGGCCGTGACAGGGGTGAGCTTGGCGCCATTGAAGTCTTTGCAATGGGTGCAGAAGAAGCTGCAGACTGCCGTTGCCCATTCGTATTGGGAGGCAAGAAAGTGGATTCAACAGGCAAGCTGGCAGACACCTGAGGTGACGTGGTTCGCACGTCAACAACTTCCTTTGTTCCATTTCCATTGGCTATCTTTTCATCAATGGATTGCTCGTAATCGGTCTCTGCTGGTTGTGACCGCCTCCGCGAGTGCGAAGGTGTGCGATTGTTGTTCAGCAGCGACGTCGGAACACTATCCGAAGGCTTCACAATCGAATCCCCAACGGCCAGGGAGACCCGTTTTCGTCTCGATTTTGATGTTTGCGTGGGCGATTTCAAGGCAGAAGTGAGCTTTCCATCTGCGGATGAGCCTGATGATGATGTTCGATGGGTGAGCTGCAGCTGTACAGGCCTCTTCGACTTGGCCTGGTCTGAGTAGTCGGAGTGAGCCCGAATGACAGTCGGCTGCTCGATTGCTTTGCTCTGGCCAGCAGGAGGCGCCGATTCAGCACGCTCCGGCACTTCCCTGGTCTTTGGGGAAGTTGATGGTGATGGTGACGATGCCTTGGTCTCCAGAGCGGGCAGGAAAGCTGGCGTGAAGACACCYACAAACTCCTTATCCCGTTCGATACTGGCCCGCCGATCGATCAAACCTGCGGCCGACTTGGCCTCTAACCTCGGAGAGCCATCGGCATCCACCAAAGCGACCGAGAGCGGCTGCCCAATGTGCTCCTGGTTCACACCCGCTGCTAGCAATGCATCCACCACGGACTGCTGCTGCTGCTGCTGTTGGGGGGCACGCGGTTGGGCAGCTGGCGCGCCATTGCTCGTTGACCCCAGCGATGGCCGCGTACTCTTACCGCTCCCCTCTTGATTCTGCTCCTGCTTATACTGCTGCTGAAGCTCCCTCTCAAATGTCTTGAAATCGCGCTCCTTGGAGGCGATGTATTTGTGGATCGACTCGTCCAGCTGTTTTCGTTTCTGCTCCAGCAACTCCAGATATTCGTCTGGTAGTCCGGCATCGGCGCGAACTCTGCGAAAGGCCTGTCTTCGAGTACCGCCGTCGCGCGATGTCCTGTCGGCCATTCGGAGGGAACGGGGCCCAGCGCCGTGCGGCCCCAAGGACCTTGTGTCTGTCAGGAACGATGGGTCCGAAGGGTCATTGAATTGGACGATCACGTCCCGGGGAGTGCGATGGTGGCAATCGCGACAGCGCACAGCGGGCGCGCGGCGTCATTCCGTGGGAGCAGCAGTTACTTATCTTACGATGATAAGATGCACGATCTCTTGCAGCAGGGAGGGAGGTGAGGTAGGTCGTCGGGGTTGGGGGAGAGGAAAAAGCAGCGGGACAGCGCCTCTTTCTCGCAACACCGAGCAACACCGACCGAGTAGCTTAACTTACAGAGAGAGCGGTAGGCACAGAATGATCATGTGGCCCGGCAGTGATTGACGATGCTAGCTAGGCCCGGGCTCGCGATATGGTAAGCTCGGGTTTGATTGGACGCATGACCTTTCTACACACGCCTTGGTCGCGGAATTGACTGACTGGCTGGCCGTCTAGGCAGGGCAGGGCACAGGGCTGGGCCCGGTGACTGTCTGAGATTCGAAGAAATGATGATGAGTGCCGGCAGTCGGCAGTGATGGCGATCACTACTTAGGTGGCCTGCCAATGCGGTGCCGCGAGGGGTGCCTTTCAGAAGCATAGAATTACCTAACCACCGTACGTACGATCAAGCATCTATGGCACCCCCCAGATCCCATGGTCGTTCAGAGACAAACTTACAGTAACTACAGGTGAGAGAATGGCGCCACTTGCCAATGGCCGCTTCCAGCCAATGTGCGGGGGGAAGGAAAGCGGCCGTCTGATTCATGTCTCTGCAGTATTATTGATCACAGGATCCGTGGCTTTTCATGTGCCATCGGCCGTCACACCGACAAGACGGGGATTCGCAAGCTCAATCCAGCTCCCCGGCGTCGAGTCCTGCACGCAAGCGGTCTGACATCTCTTGGCGGGTTGGATCGAGAAGATCTGCATGTTGAGAAGCTGATGTTGAAGGTGAACGACAAGTCAATGATATATGTTCTGGTAAACGACAAGTCAATGATATAGATGTGCTAGTGAACGACAAGTCAATAATATGCCTGTGCTAGTAAACGACAAGTCAATAATATGCATGTGCTGGTAAACGACAAGTCAATGATATACATGTGTTGGTAAACGACAACTTAATGATATGCATGTGCTGGTCAGGGTGGGCAACGTTCAATGCAACGAAGGTAGCAGTCCCAAGCTCTTCTTTACACATTGCGTGCTGAAGGCGGACTAAGAGTAGGAATGACGAACAGCCTTGAGATATCATCATGCCGTTTCCTTCATACAATGTCATGAATCCATGGCTCCAGAAAGCCTAATCTATCTATACCACTGTCCAACTCCTCGCTAAACGACGCCCCACGCTATGCTAACCCCCTCCTCAAGAAAGGTCAAACCCGGCTCCGCTATTGATAGCTGCGAGCAACTTCTCCCTCAAAATGGCCTCGCTGGAATACATGGGCAGCTTCAACAGGTTCACACACGTGCTTGTGGTAGGGAAGCGGTTCTCATCCCTTCCACTGTCCCGAATACTGAACCTGGGGTTCAGCTGACTAAATCCCAGCAGTGGGCCTCTCGGTGTCGACGTAACAAACTTGAGCACTTTCCTCCTGTCCTCATCTGGGAAACTGTGCATAACATCCCAGAACATCTGAACGCTCGGATGCTCGAGCCCGTCGTCGCCAATAACATATGTTCCGCCGTACAGGGTGTTCCGCCGTAGATCCTCGACATCGATTCCGGCAGACGCACCACCAATAAGAGTCTGCAGTTCGGACTGATTGAACATGGACAGCCAGGAAGGTTGAATCATATCGCTCAAGCCGCGCAGGAAAGCACGCGATTGCCGCATCGACTGCGCCTGGAGCCGGTATGAGCTCAGCTTACTTATATACGCCAGACGGTTCTCGTTRGTCACGGCAATGTCGGCACCGTTGGGGACCAGATTCGTCTCGATGATGCGCTTGTTCTTATCGGAGCCGACCTCGTCGTTGACGCTAAAGGTCATGCCCAGGTCTTCGGCATTCTCCGCATGTTTGACTTGAAGCAGGCCTTTGTAAAGCYCTTCGTCCAACTCGCGCAGGTCATTGATGTTGGGGCGGTAATGAGATTCTGATGGCGCGCTTCCAGATCCACCCGTAAGAGCCCACTTCTTGAGAAAGAAGCCCGCAAAGGAGACATCCACCAGGATACCCTCGTAGAGACATTTGCCGATAATTCGACCGAGGAACTCGTACTGCTTGTAGAGCTCGCGTAGCTCTTCCCGCACTTTCGTTGAGTCCTCTTTGTAGCCCTTCTCCAAGCATCGGATCTTGATGTTTTCAAATGCAGTAGGATTGGGATGGAGCAGGTGCTGCTCGTTTTCCACAAAAAATTGCTCCTTGTGATCCGCCTTGGGATCAAATGCTTGGCTTATAACGCTCGTCAAGAACTCCTTGGTCACGCCGCCGCCGTCGATTCCGGCTTCAGGCATGTCCCATTGATCCTGGGCAAAGTTAGAATCTCATGTCGATTAATGTGTGCATCTTGCACAACCGCAAGTGATGACATACCATAAACGTGATCTGAATCGGCTCTTTCAGATCCGCGCCAAGATCGTAGAACTGTTCGWACGCATCGATGAACTCATCACCTCTCTTGATCTTCGCATGATGTCGAGAGAGAGCATCCCTCGATTGTCCTCCGTTGTGTGGCTGAAACATCATGTTTTGTCGCCAGATGTCTGGGTCAACATGTCCATTTCGTCTCCTCTCCTGGTCGTGGCGGACAAATTGGCGGAAAATCTGCACCCGGGTGTGAAAAGGGATGAAGAAGGGCATGTTTTGCAGAATCTCGAGTCGCGGCGCCACGGACTCCAGGTATCGCTTACGGCTGGCCTTGCGCTGAGCACGCGCTCTAGCTTCCTGAGACCGTAAAACGCGCGCTCGGGCGTACCCACCTCCACCAAGGCGTCCCAGATCTTCGGCGGGCTCCAGATCATCGTCGGATTCTTCATCTTTGTCTTCATCATCCTGCTCACGGACCTGATTTCGTGATTCCTCCTCTGCGACCACTCCAGGTATGAACATGGTCATGTCGAATCGATCGGTCATCAGCCAGTGGTCCGGTAGTAGGAACTTTCGACGAGAATCTCTTTCGTAAATGGCTCGCAGAAGTCCTGTCACCAAGCCCTTTAGATAGTCAATCGTCAAACCCGGAAGTCCGGCGACAGTCAAGGACTTGGTCTCCATAGCTGCCGCACGTTCAATCTGTGGTTTGAATCGACGGCTCGCAGATGGTACTTCGTCTCGTCGGGGTGTCGCGGATTCGTTCAGCTCAGCAGCGTCGTAGTACAAGGTGAAGCCAAGGTTCTTGAGAAAGGTGACCAACTGGCCGACGTCAGGAATCGGAACGGCGCTGTTCCTTTTCCGAACCGGACTGTTACCCATGAACTCTTCATCGTCCATGATCTTCAGGTCGAAAGTGAACATCTCCAGGAAGACCAATACTATTGTCCAATCGTCCTTTTGTTGCTGCGTTGGGTGAGCAGTCTTGAGGAGCGAAACGACACCCCGAGAGGTACTCCATATTTCGCCGAATATACTAGATTTCTTCGCTGCTTTCCAGAGAAACTGAGTGGGGGTGACAGAATCTGAACTGGTGGGTCCCAAATGCAGCCACATCCGAATGTCGTCTGCTTTACTGGGGAAGCATCGCAGTAAAGTAAGAGCGTAGCCGGCGAGGACTTGAGCATCCGTGCTGCCGCCCATATCGTCTTGATGCCCGGCGAGTAGGTTCTGAATGGAGTGTTTGTCAAGAAGAGAAATGATTTGTCCGTGTAAAAAGGTGTTTAATGGAGCGCCGGCAATCTTCAACAGGACGTCCTGATCATAGGACTCGTTGTCCATATCAAGGACGCGGCCCTCGAAATCAACTTCATCTGCCAAAGGTCCAAGAAGGCGGGCGACCGCATCAGTGAACTGCAGACTGGTGCTCCGTCCCATCAAGAATATCATGTTTCCTAGAAGCCACAGCCGCTGGCGCGGCTCCACGACCTCCTGCCCACTTCCAAATCCAGCGACTGCCCGTGACAGCATCTCAGGCTCCACCGCGGCCCGCAGCAACTGGAGCGTCTCAACATCTAGTGGCCGAGCGAGTAGGATTACAAGTCCGGTATAAGCCTCCATCGAATGCTTCAACGGAGCCAGTAGTGCGCCTTGCAGCTGTTCTTCGGGCAGTCCGGGGGTAGAAACGAGGGCATCGTAGTACTGAATGGCCTGGGCGGTGGTGAATGTTGACTGTCTGGCGGCGAATGCGAGTATTCCCAACACTTCCCGGTCCGAGGCCTGATCCCGGGCCTTGCTAGTCTTCAAGGCGATGATGCAGGCAGTCTGAAGCTTTGCATACGCAGCGGGCCACTGTCCTCCAGTGCAGGGCACAGGGTCGCTAGTGGTGATTTGTCGCGAGCCATACCATCTCAGCCGTGCTACATCGCCCGAATCCCTCTGTGGACTATAGAACAGCAGTAGCCGCCGTAGCTGGCGGAGGGAGTCTTCTGAGGTGGCGTATGGCCCGCTGGCCTGTTCCTGATGATCCCACAGCTCTCTCCATGCGCCGAATAGTCTCTGTCGTGCACAATGCCCGCGCCAAATCTGCTGGATTCTAGCGGCAGCCTGGATACGCTCTCGTTGTTGCTGACGTTGGATTCGCTCCTGTTGAGCGGAGGCGACGGCGTTGGAAGATGCGAAGGGATTGGAGGGGCGACCGGAGAGGTTGACCTTGTGAAGCAAGAGTGTCAGTAGACTGGAATGGAGCATCCATCACCTCACCCAGCATACCTGTCGCTTCGGCCTCGATTTGCCGGTGAAGGTCTGATGCATGTCCAGAGGTGAAGTGGTTGTCCGCCGCCAGCCCGCAGTCTTGTCTTGTGCGATTCAAGGTTGGAGGTCCACTCGTTTACGCAGGTGAATGAACCCTAGAGAGCTAGCGCGAGACTAGGCTGGCGCCAGAAATGGAAGCACGGCCTAAGAATCCCCGGATCGACAAGCGACGCGACTCCGAGGTGCTAACTCAAGGTAGATGTCCCAAGTCCGACCCGGARCGGCAGCTCTTTGTTCAGGGCCCTCCTTGCAGCTTACTTCGCATCGGGATGCGCGTGCTCCGGACACTGTTATTTAGTCGTTGCTGCAGAGCGCACAACGGGAGCTATTCCATTGACCAACGCAACGATGGCTGCACCAGGTAGCAGTCGAGGACACGATCTGGTGCGCTTCCACTCATCCGTACGCATTTATACGACTCCGACTCCTTCCCGTTTGCCAAATTGCTAACCAACATCTTTTATAAGGGTACATGTACGTCTGATGGAAGGAACAACCATATGTGTTTGACACAGTCACTGATTATACCCTTCTATGTGCAGCATCAACATATAAGACAGACCATGGAGCGAAGCGAACCGACGGCGCCGAGAGTGATTCCAGCAATGCAACGGATTCTGCGTTGATCAACCATGGGGTGGTGGATGATGACGACTATGTCCACGCTCCTGTATACCGCGTCTACAAACGCCGGTTCATTGGTCTTGCCCAGCTCATCCTGCTCAACCTGATCATTTCATGGGACTGGCTTACGTTTGCTGCCGTCTCCAAGACATCGGCCGAGTTCTTTCGCGTCAGTGAAACGACCATCGTCTGGCTGAGCACAGCATTCCTCTTTGCCTTTGCTGTTAGCGCACCCCTGACCATCTGGGTGCTCAATCGGCATGGACCCAAGGCCAGCATTATCATTGCAAGTGGCCTGGTGCTTGCCGGTAACTGGGTGCGATACGCGGGAACTATTGCTGGCTCAGAATACTTTGCAGTCGTCATTCTCGGTCAGGTCCTCATCGGTTGTGCACAACCTTTTGTGCTTGCTGCTCCAACGCGATATAGTAATCTTTGGTTCAGTGACTCTGGAAGAGTGTCTGCAACTGCGGTCGCTTCGTTGGCCAACCCGTTGGGCGGCGCCATCGGACAACTCGTTGGACCATTCTGGGCGACTGGAGCCTCTGGCATCCCGARCTTGGTTCTTTACACTGCCATACTTTCGTCAGCTGCGGCACTGCCAGCGCCGTTCATCCCCTCGAAGCCTCGTACACCACCTTCAGCCACAGCAGCCTCCGAGACCATTGATCTTCGGAAAAGTTTACACTTACTGCTCGCGAACGGCTCTTTCGTCCTATGCCTCATTCCGTTCTCGGTGTATGTTGCCTGCTTCAGCGCAGTCTCCAGCCTTCTAAATCCCATCCTCACTCCTTACGGCTTCTCCGAGGACAACGCTGGCATAGCGGGCGGACTCCTCATTCTAGTGGGCCTGGTGTGCTCTGCCGTCGTGTCGCCCATCATAGATCGCACAAAAGCATATCTGGTTGCTCTCAAAGTCCTGGTACCAATTATCGCTCTATGCTTCATAGCGCTAATCTGGATGCCATGGACTAGGACCGTGATAGGCCCCTACATTGTCTGTGGTCTACTAGGAGCCTCATCGTTCAGCTTACTCCCCATGGCATTGGAGCTACTATCGATTATCACGATGCCTGTATCACCTGAAGTGTCGAGCGTCATAGCCTGGACGGGCGGGCAGGTGTTGGGCGCAGTCTTGATCATTGCCATGCAGGCTCTGCAGGCTTCCAAGGGGGATGATCCTCCAGAAAACATGGACAACGCCTTGATTTTTCTGGCGGGCGTTGCCTGGGTCGCGGTACCCTTCGCAATGCTTCTCGGTGTCTGGAAATTCAGGAAGATTCACATACCGGGCGCGAAGGAATGAGAGATACCCACGGGGATTTCACATGTCCGTCCACGGATGTGCGGCCTCGATTCACACAGGCATGCCGCTGTCCCGGCCGTGACGACTGCGATGTCCCGTCTCGCGGCTGTCTGCATGATCATGTAAGCTGCGCACCACCCACGACCGTCACACCACGGGGACGCAGCAGRGCTACCATGCTCTTTGTCTCCGAGACAGAGGACCAGCACAACCGTTTTGGGGAGCATCTCGAAATGTCCACGGTCGTTGGCAGGAAACTGGCCCTTTGTCGATAAGGATACATGTATCGATCAAAAAGCTTCTCGATGTCTACTCAGACGGCATCGATAACAAATTTGCACAAGGCGGGCTCAGTGTACTGCCCAAAGCTGCTACTCCCAGCAATCTCGAAGTTGCTACCGAATTCAATGCCCGCGGTCCTCAAATTAAATCTCTCCCATGGGGATTCGATCCGGAACTAGGGAAAGAGGGATCAAGGGAAAGGGTTCCACGGCATAGTTTTGACTGKTTGCTTACCACGTGGGAAACAAGGAAGGATTCGATACAGATTGTAACCTATCCAGTTAGAAGGACAAACAATGATTTTAGAATGACATATATAGCGGGCATAACCCATCGATAGAAYAATACACATCCCCTTCCTTCCAAAAACTCTTTTTCTGAACTTCACCTGAAACTCGCCAGAAACCAGGAATGCTTCCGAGCCGACAATCAACAGAAGATCGATGCCGCTATGAAGGAGCATGGTTAAAGAGTGACCAGGTCGACGGCGCTTAAGAACCAGAAAGTCATCTCGATGAATCGGATTAACATTCGATGAGCTGATCTCCGTCGCCTTGTGTTGGCTCTCGATCGCCAGAATTACCATTACAAAAGTCTRAAAGAGGAAGAGGTAGAGGACCATTGCTGCCCAAATCGTCTCTCACTCAGTCTTGAACGCTCTTGACATCTTAAACACCCAGAGCTCTACAGGCTGTTGCGGAGTGCGTTGCCACTCTTGATGAAGAAGGAAAATATGATTCCGATACCGCTCAAGAACGCCACGGATCTGGCATTGGCTGCAGATGTGTTAGACTACAATTCCCATTGAACGATAGAGATACTGACCAACGCCTTCGGTAGTGCCCGTGATGTAGAGAGCGTTGTACACCACACGGCTGGCAAGATAGCCTCCGCTGAGAGCGTTCAGCGTCCAGTTGTCGAGCTTCGCAACGTTGCCAATCACAACCGCCGCGGCGAATAGGCCGAGATTTTCGAAACCATTCTGCTGAGCTCCCTCGGCGCGGATGATCGTTTGCTTGGTAGCTGAGGATGTCGTCAGCGAGAACACACGCAGCTGTGACCGCGAGATGGGGAGCGTTTACCTTTGTCGATGGTCTGGTCGCCCTCGACCTCCCGCGTATAGGTACGCGGGTTTCTGTTGTCAAGTTTTCCGAGAGAGGCGGCGTAGAAGTGTGGTGCAATGCTCAACACCCAAGCGGCCGGGATGGTGTAGAGGGACTGTTTCGTGAGTTAGCCACGAGGCTCGGAAAAGTTTGGAGCTAGATGCTTACGAAGTTGCGAGTGAGGTCAAATGCTGAGGCGGCCATTGCGATGATTTGTAGTGTTGATGAATTGATGGAGTGGGAGTGAGTGGTTGATGAGAGTGGATGAGGAGATGTCTTTGTGCAATGTCTGTAGATCTGCACTGCAGTGGACTAGCTGGAATGACGTGTTTGCCGGATTGCACGGCTTCGCTACCATAGGAAGAGAACAACGAGAAGGAGATGTAAAACACAGGAACCGGAGAGCATAAACTTAGTCTGGCAGATCGAAGGTCCGCAAGTTCGAGCAATGGGAACGAGCACGTCGTCTCACGATTTCGAGCTCCAGTCCACGTAGGTGGCGAACAATGGCAGCCGCTCACGCCAAGTTGCAGAGGCAAGTGATACATCTGGAATGTGGAGAGCCAGTGTTCAGTCCCGTCGCCCGACGAGGAGCTGTTTGATGCTCCGAGATGGAAAGGGCGATCGAATGGAACAAAAGCCAAGCAAGCCGGGAAGAATGGACAAGGTGTATGCGAAAAAGTTAGTACTCGTTGTCCTACAACAATGTCCCGGTTTAGTCTTGTGCTTTGCTCGTGACCTTACGCGCCTCGACACAAGTCCACCTTTGCGTCTGAGCCTGGTATTGATCGAATGAAAGTGGTCCAGATCCATTGAGTGGAGAAAATGTACTCTCTATCTACCACAATATTGCCTGGTCCTCATTCCAAACACCCAAACACCCATACCATGTATCATATCGGTCATTCCGCAGCATCTCAACGCTCATCACCGGCCATGCATCACAATGCTCTAACCCTCTTATGCGCCATCTCCCCAAATGCCAACCATGCCCATCGAAAAGCCAACGCCCGCAACGCCAGTCCTCACAAATTCCATTAGCTGCTGAGAACGCGCCTGATTCTCAACCTCCTCTCCGTTCACGTCGCCAACATCGTCCTTGACGACGCGCTGCTGAAGACTCCGGTCCATAACCAAGTTGAGCGCGCCACTGATACCCGCAACCACGGCGGTCCAAACAAGATACGGGTGTCGAATGCGGGGTGGGGACAGCCAGAAGGCAAGCAGTAGGCTGCTGGCGGAAAGGGTCGAAAGCGTGCGGATGTGAAGTGTCGAGAGACGAGTCTGCTGGTTGAGGGTGTATGCTGCGGGCTTTGCGCTTGGCAGGGTGAGGAGAGATGGCAGCGATTGCGTGGAGAGGGTATAGCTCACGCCCTAGTATACATTGTCAGTGGATGGAAGGATGCCGGGATGATTGAGTGCGATCGTACCGTGACTACAGGAGGCGAAGACGGCCGTTAGCAAACCATTCTATATTCTGTATGTCGTTCAAAGGGTTGACTTACGCAATCCGAGCGATGTCACGCCCACGAACTTCGCGATAGCAATCGAGTTTGGCATGGTGAAGAGGGGGTCTTCAGTGTGTTGTTGTTTACGATCGTCCCCGCTTTTGATACACTTGTGGTGCTGTTGCGCGAGCGCTTATTTGCAGGGCGTTCTTGTTCCGTCGAGGAAGGTGGTCGAAGTACAGCAAGCTTGGTGTAAACGTCGGAACGTTGGATGGCGATGTTCAACACGAAGAGCGGTAATCGTGGGGATGTGATAGGTACATGTACGAGGACATCCTGTACCTTGTCCAGTGACGTTCTCCATGTGGGAGGATCTAGAGCTACGTGGAWGTCCCCACTTGGAATGGAAGCTTGGGGAACGGACGCATGGATACTCCTGCACACCATTCAGCATCACGGCACGAGGCACCGGTTCAGCGTGCGCGGTTGCAACAGCGCATAATTTATTACCTTGACTGATCAATGTTCCTTCAACCTCGAAGCTTCTTGCCGTGATCACCTCATCAATCACAACCTCGGGCGGGCTCCGAACCAAAAGACCCGCTACGGCCGTAAATATTGCGGACATCATCGCGTCTACCCCAGCATACCCCAGCATACAACCGAAGTATATATGATTGAAGTTCCTTTGGAGTAAATTCCATATCGTCCACTCTTTACAACGACACCAAGGACATCCCCATCAATTCACAATCATGCCCGTTCCACGCGAGGATTTCATCTCCAACGTCTGGAGAGATGGCATTTTTACCAACAAAGTCCTCTTCTGCACCGGTGGAGCAGGTACCATCTGCTCCATCCAAGTACGAGCATTTGTTGCGTTGGGTGGAAACGCGTACATCATCGGCCGCAACGAAGAAAAGACCCAGAAAATGGCCAAGGACCTCATGACCGCGCGACCCGGCTCAAAAGTCATTGGCCAAGGAGGCGTAGACGTACGGGATCCAGAGAAGTTAAAGGCATCAGCAGACAAGTGCGCAAAGGAACTCGGGGGAATCGATTTTGCCATTGCTGGTGCTGCCGGAAACTTTCTGGCGCCCATCAGTCAACTCTCTGCCAATGCATTCAGGACAGTCCTCGAGATTGATACTCTGGGATCGTATAACACAGTCAAGGCTGTGATGCCCCATCTTGTCGAGAGCGCGAAGAAGAACCCAAACACTGGCAGGCAACAGGCAGCAGGGACCGGAGGGAGGATCATCTTTGTCTCTGCCTCTTTCCACTACACGGGATCTCCTCTGCAGGCCCACGCTGCGGCCGCCAAAGCTGGCGTAGACCAAATCGCACATGCCGTTGCTATCGAGTATGGACCATTGGGCGTGACAAGCAATGGTAGGTGAATTCGATCGCCCTCCATTCCTGACGGAGACGGCGAATGGGAGGTCTGGGATCCGCCGGAGCAGAAGCTAACATTTATGTCGCAGTCATAACACCGGGACCCATAGCCCACACAGAAGGCATGGAAAGGCTGTCAAAGCAAGACCCTGAAAGTGCCAAAGCGAGTGCTCGTGCCATTCCAATTGGTAGATGGGGTGAAGTAAAGGAGATTGCGGATGCCACCGTGTATCTGTTTTCTGATGCCGGCAACTACGTAAACGGCAACACTTTGGTTGTGGATGGAGGTCAGTGGAGAGTGTCAGGGGCCAGCCACGGTGGGTCATGGCAGTATCCCGACTTCCTCATCTCAGGCGCTGCCGTTGAAGGTGTGAAGAGAGGTAGTGGGAAGTCGAAGATGTAAAGGCGGTGCTTCGATGATTCGCAAGGCATTTGCTCTCAACAAGCACGGCGTCACTGGGTTCGTAATGAGATTCTGACTTGCAATGACCATGTGCTCGTTAATACCATGTTTACCTCATTCATCATGTCTCCACGCGGGCGCACCGCTCAGTGGGACTGCAGCCACTCCAACAGTTGCTGAAACGCTTGCTGTTGCTTAGACTTGATCGTCTCATCCGCGTAATCGCCAAACACGGCAAACCCGTGCGGTACTCCGGGATACACCTGCACCTCCGTCTCGATGCCCTTCTCCTTTAACTTCTCGACGCCTTTGTCGCGGATGTGATCAGGGAAAAGGCTGTCCTGTTCTACAGCCACAATTCCAAGAGGCACGGTGCAGTTCTCGAGATCYGACACGGATACCTGCGTACCATGGGCAATAGCACCAACCTTGATCTCAGGACCTTTCTTCGTCATGCCTTCCTCAGCCTGCGTCTCTGGCGACCGCTGACCTGCAGCAACGTCTGCATGAAGCTCTGAACCGAGTAGAAGCACATAGCGGGCCCCAAAGCAGTATCCTACGGCATATATGCCGCCTCCATTGGCGACCGCGTCTCCGTACTCGTCTCGAATGCCCGTAATGGCCTTTTGGAGGATTGGGAGCACCTTTTCCGGTGTATGTCTTGCGAGCCACATGTCGATAGTAAACGACTTGGCTACTGCAGCTACGCCTAACTTGACTTGCTCAATGATGCTAGGGTTCTCCTCGGCGGCGTTGGTCTGGGTCGTGGAGACGGACGATGCTGGATTACCAGCGAACCTGTTCGACAGATTAGTCTGCTGATCCGATGGATGTATTGAACAGTTCTACTGACTGGTCTGGCATCACCACCACATATCCTTCAGCAGCGAACTTGTCGGCTTGTATTTGGTTGTTCTTCGAATGAATACCCGTGCCTCCAGTCAATAGCAGGAGCAGCTTGGAGGAAGCGTGTGGATAGTCGGCTGGCTTCGTAACATAGGCTTCGACGTCGTTCAATGTGAGAATCTCCTACAAGCCGACAGTCAGCAACTTGCTCCGCTCGATGGCATTGTTCGAGTCTCATACGCCGGTTGGTTGTTCATTGGAAGCTACAGTGTTGTATGCACCGTCAGCCTTCATTCTCGCTCGAGCTTTGATCGGGCTTGGACGGCGTACGAGTCGGACGATCGGTCGTGCAGTGCTCCTAGGAATGTTTAGAACGAGTTGTTCGACATGTTGGGGTGCATGACGGTTGTGCTCACTCCCATGCTCGCTGCTCCCTGATCAACCTTTGAGTCGCCTGGAATGGTGACGTCTTCTTGAGCATCGCTCTCTGGAGCCTTTGTGGCGAGTTCTGGGTCGGCCATGTTGGTTGGTTGGTACACGGTGTTTGTTGTTGATTGTAAGGTGGTTCAGCAGGGTCGGAAGCCATGCCTTTCTCCAGGTTGAGCTTCGAGCCAAGCACAACCAACTTCACCTCCTCTTTTCTTCCTCCTCCACCACTCCCTAACCCCGTCCATTGATACACACTTCTCAATTCGACCTCTTCAGAATGGCACACCAGCTTAAGTGCCATGTTTACGCTACTTCCCGATCGTGGCATGTCCTTCTCCTTTCCATGGCTCACACGTCCAAAGAGGACCACGACCACGACCATGATCGTAATCTTACCCTTCGTCAGGTTTGAATGTGAGCGAGAAAGCTTGTCAAGGTCGGAGAGGAATTCTACAATCTATGCTCGCAATTTCGCTTGCTGAAGGCTGACTGAAAATGCTCTCCAGCATGTGGGCTATGGCTCCTTATTTGACGCAGCACGCAGAATGCTTTCTTTGCCAACATTCCGAACATGTGATAGATCAGCTGGCACGAGAAAGTTCGAGAAGTGTAAAGAGGAAAATTGAGTGCCGCCTGGACACAAACAATGCTGCCGTGAAGACGGCATGATCAACCACAAAAGCGATGTGTCGCAGAACAACCCCGAGAATTCATTTCAGCTACCATTCCCGGCTATAATACGATGCTTCTGGATAGCAACGCGATAGTTGCCAACTTCTTCTCCTTTTACGGCTTCCGTGGTTTCCTGCGTGAGGATGGAAATGATCTATTCCTCCGACTGCATGTCCTCGACCATGGCAACGCTCTCACCTGCATGTCCCGGAAGCTTGACGACTGTGTCAGTCCTTACGGTGGGGAAAGGTGCGGGCTGCCTATTAGTGCTCCACGTTCTCTTTGCGTCGCTTTCCAATCACTCTACTTCCTTGCAGGCGATCCGAGAATTGATCCAGTCGGATTGAGAGTGGAAGTGGATACTTTTGCGCGACATTGTCTTTGTGCCGAGCACGCAGCAAGTGAGGACGCAGTACATGGCGTGACGGAGAGACTGTTCATTGCTGTTCAGCGATGGCAGTGCAGGCGAGTCTTCATGGACGAGCCCGGTGGGTTCTCTTCCACACCCCCAGAAGAACGCCCAGGCGCGTCAAGGTTATCGCAATTCTTCATCGCCAGAGCTCCCAATCCAACCGCCAGACGTCGCCCGAAATTCAGAGGCAATGCGATCGACTGTGAAGTCGAGTACGATAGCTGGGGCGTTCCCCACGAAAGAAAGTCTCTCGCCGAAAACCGGCCAGAACAACGCCGGCTGCTGAGACCACCTCAGTATATCCGCCCAATCGTCGATGGTAAGACCGCCGAAGGACATCTTGATGCTGTCGGTGGACAGCCACACCTGCGGCGGAGTCATTACCAGAACTTCAAGGGCCGCGCTAAAAATGCCATGGGAAAGATTGTGAGAGACGCGACGTAGCGTAGCCAGAGTTGTCAATTGAAGAGCTACTTCAGACAGGACTCAGCAGATGCAAAGTCGGGAAAATTGGAAAGGATGTCTCCTAAAGGAGTCATTGGTCACGACCGCTAAATGCCTTCTCGCTAGCAGAGTCCACATGTGAGTGGAACGCTTCACTGCTGGTCATATCGTAGCGACACTGCTGGTGAGGTCTCATGAAAATCAATCTGAGCGCAGCACCTTTTGATCACAACCATGAGAGTCACAGCGGTGGACAATGCATGAAAGGAGAAAGAACAGAGAGCATACCGCGGAGCAACGAGAACTCAATGTCCTGACGCAATGAGAAGCCGAGCTGATGAAATGCGCAGGATGTGAATCGATCGGACACTTATCACATGCCGCCGGTCCTGGTCGACTCTGTGATGCCACCATCCGAACGAGTCGACAACAGCGAAACACGCTGTTCAGATTCAGATCGATCTGCTTCTATCACAGTTCTTCTGATATGGACCCGCTGATAGACATGGTCAGGAATGGTGAGTATTGGTCGGAAGCAACGTTTGTCGCTTACGGATCTCCGGGCGCAGTCATGCCTACATTGTTGTAGAGCATGTCGATTCCACCATGTATTGCAAGGACTGACTGCTTCGACAAGTTTGTCGATATCTCCAACGCTTATCATACCAGCCTTGACGACGTTGCAGATTGTATTCGAATTGTCTGCTACGAGCCTTTATTTTGTGTACTCGGCAGTTTGGAGATTAAGATGGAATCCAAAGACCTTTACCCCGTTGTGTCTCAAGACTCTTGCTGGGGATATCTAACGATGGCCTTTATCGTTTGATAGGCACGGAAGCAGAACGTATCTGTTGCAGCTCCATTACCCCAAGTTGATGAGTCGAATATGCCAACTTGGCCGATACCTGTGATGACAGCAACTTTGCCATTGAGGTCGAGGTCAATGGGCAACTCTTGCGATGGTAACATGCTGCAGAAGCCTAGTTCGTGTAGACAGGTATGTTGAGTTGGAGAGAGACTTACGAACTATCTACCTACTTACACAGCTTGATGGAAGGGCAGGTAGGAACGTAACAAGCTCGAGACGAATGTCTCCAAAACCGCAATCACGACGACAATATGCTATACCGATATCGTTCATTGATGTTTCGTCGCAAAGAGGGGTTACGGTGGAGGCTGCAGCTCCTACAGCTCCCCTTCAAGCGATGTCGGAGCACAAGCAAGTCGTTGATGCTCCTCATTGCTCATTCAGATCATTGCCATTGCATTGAGTTGTTATTGCTAAAAGTCCCGCAGTCGTGCTGGAGTGAGGAAACTCGCCTGTCACCAACTTCACCTCTTTCGTCGAGTAGGCGCCAGCTATAGACCCACCCTGTATAACTTGACATCATTCACTTCTACCTGGCTCATGATTCTCAGGTCTCACATCACTTCTCATTCAACAACAAGACTTGGACCCCGCTGCAGTCTGCTATCCTTTTAGAAGTCCGGACACAATCCTGTCACCACAAGATGCTGACAACAACATATCCTCTCTCTCCACCTTCCTTGGACGAAATCGCTGGAATTCTGCGTCCAGCACTAGAGGCAAACTTCCAAAAAGCAACCATCAGCGTCTCACAATGTCCCGATCTTCGCAAAGCGCCCTTCCACCTAGCAGCAGAAKGTCTCTCCGGCAACGAAAGCATAGCAGATATCGGCGGCCAACCCAACCTCTTTCCTGAACCCAGATTCGAATGCAAATACAACCTTTTAGACATTGCAAAAGAGATGAAGATGAGCCCTGAAAAAGGCCAACTTCTCGGTGCAGGAGCCGGACCCTTTCACGTTATCGGTATCAACTCAGAGCTCAGTCCCAATCTAAGCTGGGAGGACAGTTTCGAGAATGTCAACAACTTGACCTATTATACCAAATTCGACGGTACAATGGGAAAGCACGCTGCAATTTGTGAGAGAAGTCCCTCGTCAGACTGCGCGCTCATGATGAATCTCTATGGCTCCTCAGGTCTCCCAGGTCCAGTTCTCAAAATCACTGCCCGAGCTCGAAAAGGCGATCAAAAGAGTTTCACAGAATGTATACAACAAGCACTATACKAAGCCTTTCGCGACGACCGACCAATCAGTATGGGAGGGATGTTCCTCATAAAGACAGGAACCGCTCACTTCCACGTCATGCCCGACTTTCCCCCCAAAGAAGATCTCCCGTTCAAAAACGCAAAACAGCTCAACGACTGGCTTACATATCATGATTTCAAGGCTCCGATTGTATGTCTCAGTGTCTTTCACACTGCAGATCCAGGGAAGCGTTTCGGATTGAGAATGGAGCATACGCATTGCTTCTCTACGGATGGATCGGGTTCGGGGGGACATTATCACTATGATTTGCCGGCTGGGGATGGCGTTGCGGAGGTAGAGTATGAAGGATATTTCAATGTCGCGAAGACGCTTCATCGAATTGATAGGCCTGTCGTTACGCTCGAGCGGGATTCGCGCGATTGAATTGAGAACGATCTATAAGGGTGATCTTGACTCGAAAACGAACTCGCGGAACACGTTGAGAGAGAGAAGGTTGAAATGCACGCTACTAGCAACAAGATGCATTGATGTTGTGGTGGTCCATGAGAATGCTCAATGCTGCGCTGAATACACGCCAACGATATCGTTTTAATTATACACAAGCTGAATGAGACCACCACAGCAATGTAGCAGATACGAGCGTCATCACCCATAAACGCCGAAGGGTATCGTCCGTATCCACAGCCTGATATGTCCAGTGGGAACTCCGGAAAAGAAACGAAGAGTAGAAAAGAACCGTGCCACCCCATCGGAAACACCGATTGGTAGTCCCCATTATATCCATCCAGCGCCGAACCTATTCTTTTTTGTTTGCGAAAACTGTTCAACCCCGCATGCTCGCTTAATGTCCGTGTCCGTTGAAGCAATCATAAAGTCGTGAGTAATAGTAGTACAGGCCAAGGCCTCAGGTCCATGCTCCCATTGCAGAGGATTCCTCGGCATCCTCACGGCAGCCTTCGAACCAAGGACTTCGCAGAGCATCAGCAATTGTGAACCGATCCTCAACCGATCTCTCCAGACAGCCCTTGACAAGGTCAATAACCTCGCCACCACCAGAGGCGGCCTCCCGCAAAGCGTTCTCGTCGTATTCGGCGCTCATGATAAGCTCGGCGGTCTTGCTGGGCATGGCATGACGGAACGGCAGGTCACCTGTGCACAGTGCGTAGACAACCACCCCGAATGCCCATATGTCTCCAGCCGTCTCGAACAGTTTGCGATCTACAGTAAGCCCCTTAGGCGAAGCATATTCGAGTGTGCCGATGACGGAGGATGCCATGATGATAGGATCACCTTCTTTCAGCGAGAGGCGTTGATACTGCCGATCAGATCCCGCGTCATCCACGTCTGCATGCTGGGCACTCTGCAGGAAATCGGCCAGGCCGAAATCGCAGAGTCGAAGGAAACCGCCTTGTTCCTCGGCGCCCGCCGAGGAGAGATCGACCAGACRATTCTCAAGCTTGACGTCGCGGTGACAGACGCGAATGTCCTCATGCAAATATCTCAATGCGCACGCCAATTGATATGCGTAGGTTTTGGCAAGTTGCGGCAAAAGTCCCTTTCGGCCATGGTTACTTGACGCACTTTGCCTCGTTTTCCGAACCATATCATGCAAAGTTCCTCCGACATTAAGATCCATGACAGAAARGAAGGCAAAATCGGTATCATACACCGAGTGTAGCTTCAAAATGTGAGGATGGTTGAGACATCGCCAGATTGATACCTCGTGTTCCACCTGCAGTGAAATCTTTTCGGCTTCAGCGTCACTGATCCCAGGGACGGCCTTGTGAATGATCTTGACAGCGCGCACCGTTCGATTCCCATGTGCATCGAGTGAGTGAACTTCCTTGATGACACCAAAGGCGCCCTGGGCGATTTGTGGACCGATGACGAACTCGTTGTTGATACCGATCGATTGGCCCTCATCGTCAGGTTTCGGCTCCGGTGCTGGTTCATCTGGGTCACCTCTACCCCAGCCGGCAAGGAATGCAGCAGCAGGACTCGCCGAGGAGAAGCCCGAGTTCGAGCGTCGCGATGAGCGTCGAGATCCCGCGGCAGATATCCTCGACGCCCGCGGCACTCTTATGGACGTGGTGCTAGAATGTCTGCTGAGGTTTTCGATGGGCGAGAGCTGTGAGATGGAATGATCGATCGAAGATGCCTCTGGAATAGTCTGTGGTGAAATGTTCAACTTGCCGACAATCGACTCGACCGAATCAGTCATTCGGCTGGGATGAAGCGGCGTGTCATTCTCCGGATCAGAGGTTGGCGACATCATCAATGCGGATGTCAGGGAGGCTGCTGTGGTGGAACGTGGGACGTTCAAGGGCATTGGCGCTGTCATCGCTGTTGCTCCGCGCTCGCTGTCCTAAAGTTTTGCAAAGTGTTGGCGGGCAGGTGCGCATGGTGRCTCATGTGCGTCACAAGATTACTGACTGGACTTACCGGCGAATGGATTGCCTGTGAAGGCGATGCGGCCGTCGCCGCCGGCGTCGTCTGCAGGCCCCACGTCTTCAGGGCGCCTGGGCGGCGATTTTCCTCGGGTGTTTGATTTTCTTCGGCCATTGCTGCCGAGCGGCCCGATGGAGGGCGAAAGCGGGACGCGGCGACCGTCGTCGGTGGTGACGAGCGGGCAGAAGGATATCGATCTTCCTCGTCGCTGCAGACTGGCGGCGAGCGCCTCGACCTCGGCGTGTCGTTGCTCGGCCCGTCCGGCGGAAAAGGCGCGCCAGGAAACACCGCCGTGGAGTTTCGCCTTGTCGACTCGCGGCACCTCGTACGTCTTCTTCGTGGCGGGCGAGGTGGATGGGTCGGGCGGGGTGGTGCTGACGGTGGTGGTGCTCTCCGTGGAGCCCTTTCGCGAGCTGACGGCTTCTTCGTCGCTGTCTGTTTCGCTGTCCTGCAAGTATTTCTAGGTTGGAAAATCCGGGGGTTAGCGCCATGACCCCACATATCACGTGTCGGGGTTTTTGAAGCTTACGGTGCCGGCGAAGGGCGAGGCCACGGTGTGGGCCGGGACTATAGGGACTGCGACGGGAGCCTCTTTTGCTGGAACACGGTCGCCCCGTGGCGTGTCGGAGCGATCCCACGAATCGTCGGACGATTTCCGCGGCGCTGGGCTATTGCGCCGACCGGATCGTTTTGATGGCGGGGGCCGTTCGTCGTCGCTGCTGTCGTCGAGGTAGGCGAGCTGACCCACGGCGAGCTCAGCGGCTCGTTTGGTCGGCGGGAGGACGCCTGGAAGGGATCCACGACGCCCTGCTCCGTCCGTCACTCGGTGTAAGGCTAGATTGCCAGGTGCAGGACTGGGTCGGCGGTCGGTCGCCTTCTTCGTGTCGGTCTTGGGCACGTCGAGAAAGTCCTCGTCGCTGTCGAGCAAGACGTCGAGGGCGGCGATCGCAGACGTGGGATCCGGCTTGGGGGCTGCAGCGGCAGGCACTCGCGGTTTGATGGGCGGAGCCTTGGTCTTCGGTCTGCTCGGTCTGCTTTTTTCATCGCTATCATCTTCAAAGCCAGTAGCAAATGGATCGCGGCCACGACGGCGATCAACACCGACTCGGAGTCCGCTAAAGTGCTTCTGGATGTTGAGAGCGGCCATGCGTGGTAGCTGCGTGTGGCTTGACTTGATGCTGTCGCGAGGGAAAGGAGGTGGACAAAGAGCGAGCGCAAGCGCAGGCTGTTGGGGAGGGGGAGGTTGTTATAAAGGAACCGGTGCAGGAGCAAGAAGAGCTTCAAGGGTCAGGTAGATATTGCAATCAGTAGTAGTCAAAGGGTACCCATCTTCATGCCAAGGCGTAAAGTAGGCGCAGCTTGGGCGGGATGATTTTGTAGCTCCTTAGAAGATCATTGACTGAAGGTTTGACGGCCCCAGAGCGCTAATAATGGCTGCGTGCYAGGGCGGGGTGATCTCACAACTCTAGATTGATTTCCCTCGAGTCACGACGAATCACCGTGGATCAGCTGTCGATGGGCCGAAGGAACATCATCGGCAGTGTCTATAGCGGYGGGCTATCGATATGCCCTGTCAACAACGAATCTGTAGAAGCCGTAGCATTCAATGCCTTGAGCGCCAGTCATCCCTTTCACTGCCTGCGCAACGATGAATCGTTCACTCGACCTCATGCCCCAGCAGCCAATCCTCGTCGGTCAGAACGTATGACGGTCATGCCGTTCACGCCTAGCCAGCTAAGCATCACGTCATGCACAGTGATGGGCTTGTTATATTCCATGTCACGCACGGACGTCGCACCGTGTACCGAACGACCCCGGACACTTCTTGCAGATTGGTTGCCAAGCTGGCGGGGATCAAATGCGTTAATAACAGCGTGGCCGTCGTGGCGTAGCGACGCCAGCCCGGACATCACACGGAGACCTACCCACCGCCATGTTGTGAAGGATGGGRTCGATCTTACAAAAGTCTCTTGCCTGCTCCGTAATGAGGCCCAGCAGTGCTAATGGCAAATGTAAGCAGCGACGCGTGGAACGCCAGCCACGAGGCTCTCTTCAAAGGGCGGTCTGCTCTACGTCAAAGTAAAACTTCCGAGTCAAAAGTCGCTTCTTGATGATGCGGTGACTCAGGTGCAGTGCTGGCTCCAAGTCCGAACGTCGGTAATTGATCGATCACATGCGTCGTCGTGCGGGCGGTTGCAATCTGCAATCATGCGTGCATGCAGCTAGGCTACCTATCTTACCGATGAGCTCCAGCTCCGCTCAAGAAGCGGCCAAGACAAAGACATCACTATGCCAAGTATGCTGACGGCTGCGGGGTGTCCTTTTACGTGACGGATGAACGAGCGAGATCAATAATGCCGCACGGCAAAGACGCTGCGCCCCTCGTAATCTCACTATCTTGTAGGAAGCTGTAGCTATAGCTCTGTGTCGGACACCGATCTTGGTGTGAGCGGTAAGTTAGTCTCACGGGTCTGATGATTGCGTACAAAAGCGCTCTGTAAATACCGCATAGTAGAACAACTCACTATGAGGTCAACATCCTATGAGGTCAACCTCGCCGTGATCTCCTTGATGCGTCAACCTCGCCGTGATCTCCTTGCATCAAGGTCGGCTTGTCATGAGATAAGGTAAGCTCGTTCCTTGTGTCCGTTGTCATTCTGGCCCGACGTGTGGTCAACGAGGTTCTTGCTTTTCCTGATAGCCAGGAATGAGTGCACAACGCGTCCGCTCAAAGAACGAGTTGCTTTTCGCTTGTCGAAATCGGAGCTCGAGCATGGGTGCGTTGCCTCAATTTGCATCTTCCGGTATACCACAAACAGATGACTTGGAGCAACGAGAGGCGACTTTCACGCGATGCGTTGTGTCGCTGGGCCTAAAAGTCGCGGCCAGGAGGCAGGCCATCGGTGATGGCCGTAACGCGATCAACACTCCGAACAAACGAACAAACGAACAAGGGATCAGCCAGATGGCTAGAGACCAAAGATCGTTTGGCGACAGTATCTGATGGTAGCCATCGACAAGTCGCGCCGTATAGGCGGAAAGAGTGTCGTTGATGATGATGCAAAGGTCATCGTGAGAGCGACGGAGGTGTTGCTGGAAGATCTAAAGTTAGTTAGCTTGTCCAGGTGTGCAACCTGAACTTCATCATTGAAACGGGCAACTCTCAAAACAACCCCAGAGCATACCCACCGACACCATATAATTCCACATGCGGCGCCAGCTGTGAGGCTCTCGACATCATGGCCAGCTTACGGGGAATCTTCTCGTGCTGCTGCTCGGGTATCGCCTTCCCCCCATCAACCAACTCCCCGCCTGTATACAGCAGCTAACCGCCTACCCAGGCCGCTCCAAGGTCTCGTACGAGAGTGTCCTGGCGCAGGAGGAGCGCGAAGCGGTCGCCGACTTGCTCAACTATCTCGAGAACGTGAGATGAGCCCCACTGGGTACAAGGACCTGCACGCGCATACTGACCGCCCTGTCCAGCGAGCCGAAACCGACTTCTTCTCCGGCGAGCCTCTCGCCGCCCTCTCCACCCTGGTATACAGCCAGAACGTCGACCTACAACGCAGCGCGAGCTTGACCTTTGCCGAGATCACAGAAAGAGGCATGTGCAGGGAGGGACACCTTGCGGCAAGGTACACGTGCTAATGCTCGCGGTTAGATGTACGGCCCGTCGACAGAGCGACGCTGGAGCCTATCCTGTTCCTGCTCGAATGTGTCGACATTGAGGTCCAGCGAGCTGCTTCGGCTGCGCTGGGCAACCTCGCTGTAGATGGTGGGTCGTGATTCGTCGCTCGCAGCAGGACTTGACTGACCGACCGGCTATCAGGACAAAACAAGACTCTTATCGTCTCCCTCGGCGGCCTGACCCCCCTCATCCGGCAGATGAATAGTCCCAATGTTGAGGTTCAATGCAATGCTGTCGGCTGTATAACAAACCTGGCCACACATGAGGAGAACAAGGCTCGGATAGCGCGCTCGGGAGCGTTGGCTCCTCTGACGCGTCTCGCGAAAAGCAAGGACATGAGAGTGCAGAGGAATGCCACTGGAGCACTGCTCAACATGACACACTCGGATGATAACCGGCAACAGCTCGTCTCCGCCGGTGCCATTCCTGTCCTCGTCAGCCTCCTCAGCAGTCCGGACACGGATGTACAGTACTACTGCACGACGGCACTCAGCAACATCGCGGTCGATAGCACCAACCGCAAACGACTCGCGCAGACGGAGACCAAGCTGGTGCAAAGCCTGGTGCATTTGATGAAGGGCCAGGCGCCAAAAGTACAATGTCAAGCAGCCCTTGCCCTGCGGAATCTTGCAAGCGACGAAAAGTACCAATTAGAGATTGTCCGGGCCGGTGGTCTGCAGCCTTTACTCGTATTGCTGCAGAGCAGTTATCTACCCTTGATCCTTTCCGCCGTGGCATGCATTCGCAACATTAGCATTCACCCGATGAACGAATCTCCGATCATCGATGCAGGCTTCCTCCGACCCTTGGTCGACCTGCTAGGGTCGACTGACAACGAGGAGATTCAATGCCATGCGATTTCTACTCTGCGCAACTTGGCCGCATCGTCGGACCGAAATAAGCAGCTGGTTCTCCAAGCAGGCGCTGTACAGAAATGCAAAGAGCTGGTGTTGGAAGTGCCCTTGAGCGTGCAATCTGAGATGACCGMCGCCATCGCAGTGCTGGCGTTGTCTGACGAGCTGAAGCCTCAATTGCTGGACCTCGGAGTGTTTGACGTGCTCATACCCTTGACCGAAAGTGAAAGCATTGAAGTGCAAGGAAACAGCGCTGCCGCTCTCGGCAATCTGAGCAGTAAAGGTGAGTCTCGTGTTAACTGTGATCAGATATCACTGCTAACGCGCTCAGTTGGCGACTATTCACTTTTCCTTTCTTCCTGGAGCCAGCCATCAGGAGGCATTCACGGCTATTTGAACCGCTTTCTGGCCTCGGGAGACCCCACCTTTCAACATATTGCAATCTGGACGCTTCTGCAGCTATTGGAGTCCGGCGATCAGAAGCTCATGGACACGATAAACAAGTCAGAAGACGTCATGAACATGGTTCGCGAAATCAGCGAGAAGAATGTCGAGTCCGAGTCCGAAGGCGACGAGAGTGAAGACGGCGAGGGCGAGGTTGTTGCACTCGCTCGCAGATGCCTGGAAATCAGCAGCGGCGACATGACTCCTGGTAAATCAGATAGTCGATCATCGTCCTACAAAGCCTGATAGACCTCTTCTGATCAACTTCTCAAAGCCGAAGTGGGAAGTCCTTTGCATTTCTTGGAGATTGAGCGAGCAAGCGAGCGGTCGATTTAAATTCTGAACAAGCATCAGGCGGCGTTGAAAGGGTGGCGGCGTCGGATGGGTGGACTAGAACTACTGTAATTGTGGGAGTCATGGGCTGTACTTTTGTCTGGCAGGTGGGCAACTTTTGAGGAGCATGAAATTCGTGGGTTTCTTTTAATACTGCGGTGTAAACAGACATGGTGTGAAGTGAACAAGCGACTGTGCCTCGTTTGCCTATTTTCCATTTGTTCATTCACAGCTGACATTGCCTGTCAAATTCTCATAGTACATGTAAGTATACATGTATCTCTCACTCCTCTGCATCCGCGGTAAGCAGATTTCAATACCTCGGTTATCCGTCCGTCAGAGGTCAAGCTGGAGAGCTCTCTCTCTTTGAATTGAACGCTGAGTCGTACGCCTCTACCGTATGTCCTACATTGCAAAATGAGCACCGCCGAAGCAGACCTCAGCAGCTGGCTAAAGTTTCCGCACAATCAATGGGCATTCGCAAACATCGACAAAGTTCTGCCTACCGCAACAATCTCCAAGTCGAGCAAACCGGGCAACTTCCCACAAGCTCCCAACGAGTTCAGTGAATTTGAAATAGAGTCCAATGGCATCAAACACAACCTCAGTTCTTACCTCTCCCAATCACAAACTGATGGGCTTATCATCCTCCAACATGGCAAAGTCCTTCTCGAGAACTACTTCAATGGTAACACCAAAGATTCAAAACATATTGTCATGTCCATCACCAAATCCGTGACGGGCCTCCTTGTTGGCATTCTGCAAGCCCGAGGGAAGCTTTCCGTGGATGATCTCGTTTCCAAATATGTTCCCGAGATATCGGGGACGGTCTGGAGGGACAAAACTATCCAGCAGTGTATCGATATGCGTTCCGGCGTGGCCTATGTTGATGGCACGCATGAGTATCGCGCCGCGGCGGGATGGCATCCTCTGAACGGGTCTGAGCAGCACACGGATTTGAAGACTTTCTTGTCGAACTTTGTTCCGCAGGAGGTTATTGATGATCGGTTCGAGTATGTTTCTGCCAACACGGATCTTATAGGATGGGTCTTGGAGCGAGCGAGTGGAAAGTCCTTTGCGGAGCTTATGCAAGAACTCTTGTGGCAGCCTATGGGAGCCGAGAATGATGCTGTAGTGGCGCTGGATCCGAAAGCTTTCGCTCGTGCGGCCGGCGGGTTGTGTCCCACTTTACGGGATCTTGCACGTCTTGTGAAGCTCTTTGTTGATGACGGCAAGAACACCGAGGGCGATGTTGTGGTCCCTGTGGAATGGATTCAAGATATCATGCATGGTGGTTCGAAAGAAGCGTGGCAGCGAGGAAAGTTCGCTGCGATGTTTGGCAATACCTTTGACATGGTATATCGATCGTTCTGCTATGTTGATAAGGCAAGTGACATTGTTATGGGCTTTGGTGTATATGGTCAGGTGTTTTTTGCCGACAAGAAACAGGGACTGGTATTTGTGACGACCTCAAGCCAGGATAGCCCCGTCGATGTCGACAAGATCAGGATGACTTTGGCAGCCTTCAAAGAGTTCAAAAGAGTTTTGATGCAAACTTGAGCGGCGGGGTTCGCGACACGTTGATTGTTTCGGGGTGGAAGCCAGGTTATCTCCATACTCGAGAGTTGCTCTCCTCTGGATGCCAATACGTATAGTTTCTGACCTGAACTACCTGGACTTCGCCAGTGGATGTTCTGGTCTCCCGGCGGTATCTCCGGATGATATACTCTCCTTCATTACGCGGCGTTGCAGCAATCCTAGGTCTGTTCACTGTAGTCTGGTTACTACCGGGCCGGTAATTCTCTCCAACAGGCAATCGTGTCGCGTCTGCTCTGCTGGTCACCCGCGGCCTCAGAGCGGTGGCTTCCGATCTCATACGCGGTTCTTGCTGAGTACGTGGCGATACATTCGATGAGCCCGAGGAAGATGATGACCGACTATTCGAGTTGCTGTTCAAGCCTGAGCTCGCAGAAACGCGGTCTGCCGCTCGTAGTCGGGTCTGGGTTCTCCGAGGTATCTTGTCTGATTCTTCCAACTGCTCGTTCGCTCTCTTGTTCATGGCGGCTTCGTTGAGGCGTAGCTGCAATCTTTCCACAGATGATGTCGGGTTTTTGATCCGTACCGAGAGTCTGTGTGTATTAGCTTACAATGGATATTTCATCTCAATGTGCTCCTCATACATGGTCATCGCTGCGCTTCAGTTCATGCGCCTTCGACTCAACGATGATAAAGATCGCCTGTCGCCTGGATACCAAGGAGCGCGGTGAAGTCCTTCGCTCAAACTGGTGGTTCAGAAAGTACGTGTCATTGTGATACAAATGGGTGGCACTACACTGTCCACGACATGCCACTGGAATCCGAAATCCCACGATGCTCGAAAGAATGCGTCCGCACTTGTTGCAGGTTTCCTAAAAACAGAGCAGCTGAGTCTTGTGTAGACGTTTCCGGCTAAAATATACACACCGGCTGTTGTCAAGCCGTTTGATACATAGATGGGAAGTTGTTTCAACCAGGAAGTCTCCCATAAGCCAACAGGAGCCAATATAGGGTAGTATCGGGAACTGCACAGTGCCCATCCAAACGCGTTCCAGAAAATCCTTGGGTTGCAAACGTCAACATGAAGGCATTGATTGGTACTACAGATGATGCCAGGCGCTTGTGGAGAACGGGAAGTAGTAAGACTCTGCTAGAGCGATGCGAGTGATCTTGTAGGCAAATGATCTCTTTGAAGCAATGCCTAAGAAGTCGTCAATGGAGGAGGTGTAGCGACCGGACAGAAGGCTGATCCGAGTCTGACACGCGACGTGCTGTGCTTATACGTCGACAAGCGTTTACGCCTATCATGTGTAGAGGCTCGCTGCTTGCTGGAGATGCTGCACCTGAAAATGGTACATGTACTGTACATGTACAGTAGCCTTTTGAGATGATGGCATTGCTTGTGAGATGGACGTTGCCACAGAGCCTGCACTTCCACTTCCTTCCACTTCCATGCTAGTCCAAAACAAGCGCTGGGCCTGTTTATAGTGCTTTTTCCCCGCGCCATCCATACTGTCAGCACATGCAACATTGTCGAGACGATCAATCCCAACTCACTAATCCTTCCAAAGTGATTCCACATGGTACGCGCGTCTCGGTCACCTGTTGCATCGATTGATATCTGCCTGGTTGGGACCAGACTAATCTGATATGTCGCAGGCCACTGGATTGCCTGCGGGCTGGGAAGTCCGGCATTCCAACAGCAAAAACCTGCCGTACTACTTCAATCCTGGCACCAAGGAGTCACGATGGGAGCCGCCGGCAGAGACCGACAGCGAGACGTTGAAGCACTACATGAGCCAGTACCACACGGCCAACTTGCCCTCTGATGCCACTGCCAAGCAGAATGTGGATGGCAAGATCCGTTGTGCCCATCTGTTGGTGAAGCACGCGGGCTCGCGGCGACCCTCGTCATGGCGCGAGGCCGAAATCACCCGGTCCAAGGAGGAAGCCCACAACATCATTCGTGCCTACGACGCCAAGATCAAGAGTGGTGAATCGAGTCTTGGTGACCTGGCCGCAACGGAAAGCGACTGCAGTTCCGCGAGGAAGCGAGGTGAWCTGTAAGTCATGCAAATCTTCCCTCCCTTCTCTCTCTCTACGCTCGGTGGTACTACGTTCCACAATGATTGTGTGGTAGGATGTGGCAAACGATTTACTAATCGTTCGCAAAGGGGTTTCTTTGGCAAGGGTGACATGCAGACGGAGTTTGAGCAAGCATCCTTTGCGCTCCAACCAGGTCAGGTATGTTCTTCGCTCCCGCATGTTCAAATAATCCACGTGCTGACCATGAATCTGTTAATAGGTATCGTAAGTCTCGCACAATCTATGTACGAGGTGTTCTTCCGGTCACTACTGACGCTTGCGCAGCCAAATCATCGAGACACAATCGGGACTTCACATCATCGAGAGGTCAGTACCCTTATCTTGCATCTGCGTCGTACCTTAAGAGGTCCACACGGGTGTTTGGCACGACCCTGCCGCATGCAGCCATGCTGTAGTCGCACATGGAATGCAGCCTTGTTTCTTTGTTACTAACTCGCATTGTCCAGACTGGAATAGCTCCGACGTTGCTCATAGGAAGCGAAGCTCAAGGCTCCTAAGACCGGACACCTGGGAGAGCACTTGCCGGGAAGAGGCAGCACGGATGGGATATCATGTTCAGCTAGGCACATAGCTAGGGGCATCACAGCCCAGCGTCCCCATCCACGCGGCATAGTGGACACAAAGAGCGAGACTCAAAGAGATATTTAGATCATCATTGAGCACAGCTCTGGCACAGTTCAAAAAACACTTTTTGTTTCACGTTTCCTCTCATGTCCTGTCGCTGTTTATACCAGCAACGGACCAAATCTGTCACTTGTGCACCAGGGAGTGGCCCGCTCATACGTCCTGCAGCAGTCGCCAAGGTGACACTCGAGCATGATCTCGCCATTGGCAGCTTATTGGAGGCCTTCAAATCATGATCGAGTGATTGTCGTCTCGCGGCACTAGCAAACAGGAGGGGAAAGCTAAAGCCACAGACATTCACTCCTCTTCTACCACCGGCGTCAAGCTAGACAATCCGGGGTACATTAGCATTTTGACTTTCCGAATCCAAGCTGTCACCAAACACCACCCCAGCATCCGACTCGAACCACGTTACTCGGTTCGCTACGGCACGGCAAGCAACGCGCGCGAAACACTCGGGGAAGAACTGCATCCTGTACCTTYTACGTCGGCTTCCAGGCCCGGAAAACAACTCGACAACACCTTCTTGACTCGTGGTACCTTCTCCCAATTCCACTCGAGTTGCTAGCCGCTAAAACAGCCTCGACAAAACAGCCTTCACTCACTCTCCGTTCCCACCCACAACACACACCCGCACACCACCCAACATTCAACACATACACCTCCCTGACACGGTCCACGCTGTCACAACTACAACAACTACAACCTGAGCTCGCATCCACACACCCCTGAAGCCGTCGCTCTGGCAAAGTCGCCAGACCCTCTCCTACCAAAAGCTCAACCACGCACAACTTCATCAACCACACCCATCAACAATGGCGTCCGGAACGCTCATTCATCGTCGCCCATCGCGCGTCACGCGCGAGAAGCATCCAACCCCAAAGCAGCGTACAGAAGACAGTGGTCCTCGTGAGCGGTCTGTCAGCGACTTCAGCGCTGAGAAGTTCTCCTTCGATAAGGATCACATCAAGAACTGGACGATTCCTGTGCCGCTGCTCGTCAAGTTGCCCCCAGAGATCCAGAAGCCAGCAAAAGACTGGCAGTACGCCGGTGCCTCATTGTGCACCGCTCTTGACCGTATCAAGGCCCTGGATGACGAGAGCTTCCATCGCGGCTATCCAGATGCCGAGTCGTCCAGTCATCCTCACCTCCTACGCCGCACTTCGACTGTACAGTCGTCCGCCTCCGTGGCGGGTGCGGGCAACGACACTCCTCCAATGAGCTCGCATGGAGAGTCGGCTCCCGCCAGCTTCACAGGACTCCCATCCTCTTTCACCGGCCAGCGGCAGGTCGTGKACATGGAGAGTCCCCCGTTTACACCAGTCGACAGCCGCACGTGCCCGACGCCGGAGTATCCAAACGCAATGGCCATTCCCAAGGGCTCGATGCCAGATGTCTACGCGCTGTCCCGCCAGTTGTCCCCGATCTCGCTCCGTGGCCGCGTCGACTCGACTGCCTCCACTCAGTACACCACGGTGGTATTTGACGAGCCTGCCTGGGATGTCTACGTCAACACCTTCAAGGCGGAGATGGACGAGGTGCAAGCTCACGCGATGCCGCGCCTGAAGGGCCTGGGTGGCCAGATGGAGCGCCTCTGCCTGGAGTATACGCGCGACGAGAAGTACACGGAGGCCATCAAGGAGTTCTGCGAATGGTGGATCCCGAACAAGGGCAAGGTCGCCAAGGTCGAGGAGAGGGTCCGCAAGATCGAGCTCCCCAGCATCGACTACATGCGCAAGGAGCGCCTGTCGATGGGTCTACCGATCTGATGCCAATGCATTTCGGCAGTGAGCATGGTTGCGAGGGGAGCGGAACGTGGCTGCAGGATGGTTATTGCACGCACCTAAGGAGCATGATTTAAGCGATGGCGCTATGGTGTTTTTGCTTCTTTTTCCAACCTATACCAGATTGCAGCTTTGCGATCACGCGCGAGAGAATATGATAGAGAAGCATGACGGAAGCTGGCTTACGAAGAGACGAAGGAAACAAACACAAGGGAAGACAATGCATGTTCAACTCAGCTCAAGTGTCATTAGCCACCTCATCATGCAGGCCGGCTCGATCACCATGGCTGTCATCAGTCATTAGCTCACATGTCAACGAAAATGTTTACAACAAACCCATCATATGTATCTCATCTCATCTCGTGACCGTTGCTCGTTATGTCCCATCACAGTCGCCTCGCGTGGTTTCGCGGAAAGAGCTTCACCGCCCCAGCATAGACTCCAACCGCCCACTCGGCCGTCAAGTCCTCTGCCTCACGAATCTCAGCATTCCTCGGAAACGAGAGCTCGTCCTGCACATCCTCGGCGGGGAAACGTCCATACTGTGCCAAGTACCGTAAGCCACCTCCACCATCAGGAGGTGGAGGTAAGTTCCCACTGCTCTGCACGCCGTCCTCCTTCAACCGCCAGCCACCGACGGCTTCGCGTATTGTCACCCGCACATGACCGTCACCATAAGGTGTTTCCTGGTACCCGATGACAGCCATGCGGTGTCCCTGGGGACATCTCCGCCACCCAGCAGGGCCATTGGCGGCACTGATCTTCCCCGTAGCGACGAGACTATTGTAGCACTCATTACAAATATCGTAGTCGCCTCCACTACACGTGTAACAGTGATGACGGGTGCGATTGGACGGGATGGGGATCCGGCAAATATCGCAATCGGTCAGGACCGGAAGGAGGACGTAGCTGTGTTCTCGGAGATGCGGCACGGGGACGAAGGCGAGTTTCGCTGGGTCGTGGTGGGAATAATTCCGTAGAGTCGAAATGTGAGCTAAGGGAAGGAGCGGATGCGTACAGTGTTTCCCACCCAGCATGCACGCGTTGCAGAAACCCCAGGCGCCGTCTTGGCATATTTGGCAGTACCAGTAACAGTCGTTGGCGTAGTTGAAGCAAGACTCACAGAAGGCGCCTTCTTGGAGAGTGCTGGTGCCGGCGGAAAGGACTTGAAGGGTCGCTGAGGAATTGGCATATTTCTGCGCTGTGAGGACGTGTGGCTGTTCATTTCCAGGACGTCCTGCGCGTTCCCAGCGATGCAAAGCCACGAAGCCGAAGCCGAACCAGTGGTTGCAGCCCTTTCCCGTGCGATAGCACTGCATGCATAGATTGAAGTTGCCATCAATACATTTGTGGCAGTGGTAGTGAACGGTGGCTTGAATGTTTTGCCTTTCGCATCCGGAGCATGATATTGAGAGTGGTGCAAGATTGTCATCGACAGCGTCTGAAGATCTTGCTATAGGTGCTGTCGTGTTGGTCTCGGATACGTGGTTCGGCGTGGCAGATATCGTGCTTATGGGCTCAGGCGCAAAGTTGGACTGGGACACTGGCGATCTGATAGCCGGCTGCGGATTGGTTTCTGCAGCTGCCAGCRAGCTGTGCGCACCGTCTATGCTGCCGATGTTGTTATATGTTTCGGGAGGCTGCCGCGTAGTATTGTCTCGAGCTCTGTGTGAGCTGTTTGCAGTCTCTGGCCGCAATGTCGCCCCTGATGTGGCACGCACGCGTTGAACACTTTCACGCACATTAACCGGGTCTGTTGAGCTTCTGGGGGTAGCAGATGTGGCACGTAGCCGAGGTCTACCCTGCTCACCACTTCTAGAGTCGAAAGAGAGATCGATCGCTGATCGTGCTGCCAGCGCTGCCGGTGCAACGACGTTGCTGGCATCGCGACCCTCTGCGCGCATATCACGCTGGCTTGTTGAACTGGCAGACCTTTGGTGGCGGCGACTTGGTTCGGCCTGAGTTTGATCGAAGAGGTGAGGCCGTGAGATTGGCGGCCTTGCACGAGACTGCTGTTGCGGTGTAGGGGTATCCACGACGGGTAGCTGGGTTCGCGATGGACTGTCGCTGGCTTGAGGTCCAGGTGGCGGTGATCGATTCCCTCGACCGCTTCTTTCACGGTTCCTCGATCTCTCACGATTCCTTTGTCGTCTACGATATGCTTCTGCGATGCGCTCTGTGAGTTCCTCTTCTTGTGCAGGTGTGAGGTTATCGATGTCGATTCCGTTGAGGAGACMCTCCGAAGAAATGGATTGTAAAATCTCCTCTTGCACGTCCTGGGAGCTGGTTTCCGAGCCAAGTAAACTACGAAGCGATGGCTGATGTTCTACTTGCCTTTGCTCTTCTTGCTGGACGGTCCAACTGTCGTTCTCTCGGTTCCTACCCGACGCTGACTGCTGGTGCTGTGAACGTTCCTGTCGCCTTCTGTGCCTATCCCTGGCCAGCCTGTCCTCTCGTCGCCTCGCCGTGTCCGGATCCACACTGGCCATGCTCAACTCTCTGATGTCCGCCATCAATCTCTCGTCCTCACTGTCGGCATCATTCCTTYGAAGTCGGACTGGCGGCAAAACGTCGTCACCCGGTTTGTACTGTTTGCCCATTTCTTCCTTCTCTTCCGTCGTCTTGCCCTTGCCCGGATTTGCCTTTAGGTATCCCTCCAACAACGTTGCCAGCCGCCAGTCTGCCTTTGTACCTCTCACCGACTCTCGGCAAGACGGACAGGTATACGGATTGACGGTGCGCCTGGCCGTGGCCGCTGCCTCTGCTTGCCACGCGAACCATTCTTTCGAGCAGCACCCACAGAATGTGTGCAGGCAGTCCAGAAGGGTTAGTGGTTGGTATAAGATGTCGGTGCAGATCTGTTTCGAGTCGTCAGATTGCGTGCAATGAGCCACCCCTGCTGCACTACCCACGCACCGAGCAGCTGAGCTCTTTCTCGAGATCCAGTAGACCTCCCCCGCCGCCTTCGCTTTCGGCCATGACCGTATACCGTTCCCAAATGGGCTTTCAGCCAAGGATGCGMACGTCGATTCAGACCATGAAGTCGAGCCCTATGTACGCGTTTTCGGAAGAGTCAACGGTGCAGGGGGTCAACGAAGTGGCTCGCATAGTCCAAATGTGTGAAGTAAGATGTGAGCAGAATGTATATGGGGAAAATCGCAGCTGGATCGATCTGAACTCATGCTGGCACTCGGCAGGCTTCGTCCAAGACATCCGTGGTCACGTCCTCGTACCCCTCCTATCAGTTGCTTGCACGTACATGTAACCTGAAGAGATGGGCATCGTCGCGTAACACTCCTGCCCCCGCGTTGGTACACCCCCGCGTAGCAGGTGGGGATTTTTACTAGGAGCTGCGAATTGGTATGCTGTCTGTTGTGTAGGAATAGAAGGGGGTGCAAGAAGTTCATTGGTTTCATGCCACCGTTTCAACTTTCAAGGTCGCGTGCGAAGACTGTGGCTGAGTTGGGGTCTCGCCGATCCCTTTTGGATTGGATTCGTGGTTGCGCTCTCTCCATCAACGTCCAAACGACAAGTCCCACACCTTCGATTGATCCTCGAACGATCGCCGCCAACTTCGCATAGACCCTCGACGGCCGTACGGTCTCCCTCACCTCCTCAACATTGTACCTTGGTATCCTTAGCTCCAATGGCGGGCCGGTTCGTGCGTGCCTCTAAATTCAGTGGGTCATAGTCCTCCATGCAAGGCGCCGCTACAACAACTAACAACGATCGCGTACAGGGCACGTTTACGGACAGAGTACCAAACGCGAGCAATGCTACGATAACGTGCGCGTATCGCGCAACGCGTGGGACACGAACCTGGTCAAAGCGAACCCAAAATATCTGTCGGTGAACTGGGAGGCGAGCGGAGGCGGCGCATTCGCTGTGATCCCCCTGGAAGAGCGTGGGAAGCTACCTGACGTCTTGCCCTTGTTTCGTGGGCACACGGCGGTTGTGTTGGACACGGATTGGAGTCCTTTTGACGACTCGATACTCGCATCGGCCTCGGACGATGGCAAGGTCTTCCTTTGGCAAGTCCCCGACGGCTTTGGCCTGCGCACAGATGCCGAAGAGCCCGAAGACGTCAAGCCGGTTGGAAAGCTGAGCGGACATTCACGGTAAGGAAGTGCCACACAGATGATTGGTGGAGGAGGTGGAGATTGGAGTAGAGGATAGGGCATGCTGACATCCAGCCTAGGAAGGTTGGCCACGTGCTCTTTAACCCAGCTGCCGAGAACGTTCTTGCATCCTCATCTGGCGACTACACTGTCAAGATCTGGGATCTGGAAGATGGAAAGTCCAAGCTCACGCTCAAGGGGAACGACATTTTCACTTCCCTCTCGTGGAGCGCCGACGGCAACATGCTGGTCACCAGCTCGCGGGACAAGAAACTACGATTCTGGGATGTACGACAGGAGAAGCCCGCCCACGAAGTCCCAGGCCACGGCGGAGCCAAGAACAGCCGAGTAGTCTGGATGGGCGACCACGACCGTGTAGCTACCACTGGATTCTCGAAGATGAGCGAGAGGCAGCTCGGACTATGGGATCTACGGAGTCCCGAAAAGCCTGTTGGAGGCGACTTTGTACCCTTGGACTCTGGCTCTGGTATTAGCATGCCATTCTGGGACGACGGGTGTCAAATGCTCTACCTCGCTGGCAAAGGCGACGGTAACATCCGCTATTACGAGTACCAAAACGACAAGTTCGAGTACCTGTCCGAGTATCGATCACCAAACCCGCAGCGAGGAATTGCGTTTATGCCAAAGAGAGGCGTCAACACGCATGACAATGAAGTGATGCGCGCTTTCAAGACTGTTGATGATGCTTACATTGAACCTATATCATTTGTTGTACCAAGACGAGCCGAGACCTTCCAGGACGACATATATCCGCCAACGGTCGGCACGACACCTGCAGCTACGAGCGGAGATTGGTTTGAAGGGAAGAGTGGCTTGCCACCAAAATTCTCACTCGAGGATCTCTTCGATGGCAACGAGCCGCAGATGATGGCTGCGGAGCCCGCTTCGAAGCCCGCTGCTGCCGCTTCTGCTCCAGCACCCGCTCCAGCAGCTGCACCAAAAGTGGCAATGCAAGCAGAGCCCAAGACCGAGCCAAGTCCAGCCCCCGTTTCTTCGGTTTCTTCGGCGCCACGCGAATTGCCTCAAGTGGGATCTAACAAGGACTCAATGGCCAAGTTCGCGGACAAGTTCGCAGATTCAAAGGAGGATGAAGTACCTGATCACGATGGCGACGATTCATTTGAGGAGATAMCGAAGCCTGTAGTGCGTCCATCAGTAGCTGCGGCGCGTGCTGAGCCCACCCCAGCAGAACCAAAGTCAGTCTCGAAAAACACATTCACAGGCGAAGGGATATCGGAAGCATCAGCTCCATCCGCGAGCGAGCTGAGGGAAAAGGAAAAAGAAAAGGCGCAGTCGCAGACTTCTCTCCCTGCACCTGCCGCTACCCCTGCACCTACTGCGAGTGCAGCAGCAGGCGGGCTCAAGGAAGTCCTAGGTGAGATTCGGGGCCTGCTGATTTCACAAGGAAAGCAAATCGAGCACTTGACCTCAGAGGTCGCGCAGTTGAAGAGGGCCAGGCATGCAGAATAGAACTCCCGTGCATTTGCTCCTCCCACAGCGACCGCACATGCGAACACCAGCGCTGCGCCAACAATGCATTCTCGACGGCTTTCGCAGGCTGCAGCGAACTATATGAGCGCTTGTTACAAAAGCTGATTGAGGCCGGTTTCGTGCTGTAAAAAGTCTTTACGATTGGGGTGCATCCAGAGGCAGATCAGGGAGGATGTGCTCGAGCGATGAGCAGGATACGGCAAAAAAAGGACAGGAAACGGCGTGGCTCAAGGAGAATAGGTGTCGATGCGAGCTCAGTTGTCCGCCCCGGCTTTCAATGTTGATGAGATGCGCAGGGCAGCGCAGCATTGCTCGGCAAGATCCTCGCTAGCCGCCAAATTCACGCGATTCGCACCTCAGCTCTGGGACCTGATATCAGGCCACATCAATGCCGCTAACTAGGTAGGCAATRCAAAAGCTTTGGTGGAGATCCATGTCGTTGATCCGTGTTGGCGTCGTGTTTCCCCTCTCGATGCAACTTCAATATACCACCTTTCTGACAGCGCTGCTACTGTGTAATCGCACGCATGCGGGGCACTCCTTTGCCCGAGACAGTTGGCCGGTAGTAAACACGCATTTAATACAAGCATGCTTGGTTCATCTTCACCCCCACGAATTCCGAGTCTTCCTCCATAGTTGGCGATGTGGACGTCYACTCTTTTGTTGGGCATCTTGCCGGCGGCATTGGGCCAAGGCGGTCTGGTCATCAATCCAAGGAACAGAGACGACCATGAAACCGGCGGGACTCGGTCTTTAATCATCGATCTCTCCGAACACCTCAACAATCGGGCTTTTGCAATGTTTCCCGGTGATGCAGACTTCGATGGAATCCATTCAGGTATACCGGCACAATATCTTCCTGAGACGGACTTCACCTATGCCGGAACTCGGTTCAAATTCCCTCAATACAACGAGACCGGCAACGACAATCTCCTTGCACAAGGCCAGATTCTCACGCCTCCGCAAGGCCGCTACTTCAGCGTGCAGATGCTAGCTGCAGCAGAAGATGCCGTTGCAACAGGCAATGTGACAGCCATATACTCTGACAACACGACTGCTTCCGGGGCTGTGCTGGTAGATCCGTACTGGGCGTGGCCATATCCTGTAGGCAAGCCCCCGAGCAAGAGAATTCGCCGCCTGGTGTAGAACTATCCCATGCTGCGCAAGCCTTGTTCCCTTCCCACATTGTCTCAGGCATTGCTGACGCTTTGGTTTTCTTCCTGTAGTACGGAGGCGATGTCATATTTCCTTACTATCTCACTAACAGCAGCATTGATTACAACAGATCGATGATCTTCCAGACGATCAATTGGTTGGACTCCACGAAAGAGCTGGTGAGCTTGCAGCTTCCCAACGTGACGGCGGGGAGCTCAAATTCGCCAGGCGGAGCCACTCAGAAGACGAGGCTGCATATATTTGCCGTGTCTCTGATCCCGGTGAATGCTTCCGGTATCTCCCTAGAAGTTCAGCATGCGAGATCCACCCAAACGTGGTTCGAAGGCACGAACAAGATTCAGATTGTGGACGTGCGGATCAACAATGTTGGAGAAGAATGGGTCCTTGCCAACAACAGCGTCAAAGTCACCATACAATCGACGGGTCTGACTACAGTTGTTCCGGGCGTAATCAATCGTCTCCGACCTGGCGACCAGGCTATTGTACAAGTCGGCGTTGTCAACACTGATGGAACGGCACCTGGAACCACTGGCGAAGCTACCGTAGTCGTGTCAGGAGCTGGGGTAGATGCGACTTCTACCTTTGACGCTACCTTCGGCATTGGAGCATACGATGCTACGTATGAGAGTATCTACACGCATGAGAGTGTGCCATGGTTCAATGCCGCCAAATATGGCATCTTCATCCACTGGGGGGTCTACTCTGTTCCTGGTTGGGGCGATGTAGGAGAAAATGGTAGGGATTATCGAGTATGGAGGCAGGATCGTCTTTACTGATCGATGTGCAGAGCGTTATGCCGAGTGGTACTGGTGGTACATGAACAGAGGCGCCTATTCAGACAGCGCCAATTTCTACGACTATAATTTGAAGACTTATGGACCGGACCACGCCTACGATGACTTTTTCCAGAACTTCACGGCTTCTGCGTTCGACCCGAAGGAGTGGGTCGACTTGTTTGCGGATGCTGGAGCCAATTACTTCGTTCAAGTCTCGAAGCATCATGATGGTGAGTTGCCTTTGAGAGACGTTCCCCCGCACCACGATGTTAGTGGACGGCGGTGTGGAGCAAGAACACTCACTGACCATGCGATTCTCAATAGGATACGCCTTGTTTGACATTCCAGACACCATTACAAACCGAACGAGCGTGGCTCAGTTCCCCCACAAGAACCTTTTACAAATGCTTTTCGATGCGGCCGCTGAGCATCAACCTCAATTACATCGGGCCACGTACTTCTCTGTCCCCGAATGGTATCACCCGGACTACGAGAAGTACGGCTTCGGCGACTGGCCAGGAGGCAACGCCACGAATCCCTACACCAACGAAACCCTACCATACACAGGCTACGTCCCAGTAAACGACTTCGTCGAAGACCTTGTCCTCCCGGAAATGCATATTCTTGCCGACATGGGAACGGAGATAATGTGGTGCGACATAGGAGGTCCCAACATGACAGCCGAGTTTGCAGCGTCGTATTTCAACAGCATGGCAGAACAAGGCAAACAGGTCCAGCTCAACAATCGCTGTGGTCTCCCAGGAGACTTCGACACGCCGGAGTACGCAAGCTACGATGCAGTGCAAATCCGCAAATGGGAGAGTAATCTCGGCATGGATCCTTATTCTTATGGGTATAATCGTGCTACTCCCGACGATGCATACTTGAAACCGAAGGATATCGTTGCCAGTCTGGTGGATATCGTCAGCAAGAATGGGAACTTGCTGCTCGATATTGGACCTAGGGCAGATGGCAGCATTGTAGAGATTGCGAAGACGAATCTAAGGACTGCAGGCAAATGGATCAAAGACCATGGAGAGGCTCTTTTCGATACAACGTATTGGTTCATTACTCCGGAAGAGGGGGCCGCGGTCCGCTTCACGCAAAAGGCCAATGCGTTTTACATTCTGACCTTGTTCAAGCCGAATGAGACGCTGGTGCTGGATAGTCCGGTACCGTATGTTCCTGGGGATGAAGTACGAGTTGTGGGTGGAAGTATGAATGGGACTGTTGTTCCGTCCAAGTTGCTTGCGAACGGGAGCTTGGAGTTGAGTATTAGTGAGGCTGTGAGGGATGCGGATGAGTTCAGCTGGGTGTTTAAGATTCCCTTTGGTGGTGTGGATGTTGCTGGTTCTAATGGGTCTGAATCAGGAGGAGTGGCTCCATCGACGCAGTACACAGGTKCAGCCGGCAGGTTGGATGGGCAGTCGGTGATGATTGTGCTGCTTGTGGGCCTGGTCATGTTGTTGCAGCTGGCCTGGACCTAAGACATGGTGGATGTTGTCGACGCGTTTCGGACTCGGTTGAAGTCGAGGACGCTCGTAGGTACAACACGGCGTCTCCATGTACCCAGGTAGTATCGGTTTCACTGTCGAATGTTGTGGTTGTGGTTGTGATGTGAAGCCGAGCAGCAGGGTGAAATGATCTTCCTAGAATAGAAATACTTGCTCGTCACGTCCCCCGCCACAAAACATAAAAAACACCAGCCACACTGATTCTAGCTCGAACACGACGCTTGCACAAAATCCACGGCGCCGCTCCTGTCACCAACTCCAGCGCATCTTTTCCAGAGGCCACTGGCCGTTGCCTCTGGGACAGCATGCAGGAAACCAACAAGGGGTCGCTGGCCACGGCTCGATGCATGCCCGTCATCTTGGCCCTCATCGTCATTTATGCCAGTTACGTCGTTATCCATCCCCTCACCATCAACTACTTCCTCGATCCGCCACGAAGTGACATCCGAAGGCGACTGACTCTCGGAATTGTAATTCCAATCGTCCATTTCGTGCTGTTACTACCGGTCGTGCTGTGCTACATTCGATTGCTGCTGGTCGTCTTCTTGGATCCCGGATTCACCGACTTGGGCGCAGAGCCCCGGCTGGGCGTGAACGAGCCTCTGCCTGGATTGGAGGAGTTTTATAACCGAGATGCCTTTGTGYGTGATGAAAATGRCCTTCCGATATGGTGCGACCTCTGCAACAACTGGAAGCACGATCGTGGCCACCACAATCAAGATACAGGCAGATGCACGTTCAAGATGGACCACTTCTGCCCGTGGGTCGGCGGTGTTGTTGGTGAAAGGTACTTTGAGGTCTTCGTTGGGAGTCGCGCAACATACTGATCATTTTTCATCAGGTCTTACAAGTTCTTTTTTCAATTCTTGTTCTACACCATGGTTTACACGGCATATCTGGTCGCTGTTTTCGGGTGGGTTGTGGCTCACTACAAGGGCAATGCTCAGTTCTTGGTGGTGGTTGGTCTGGCAGGCTTCTTCTGTCTCTTCACCACAGGCATGGTGCTCAACAGCTTGACCATGCTCTTCAGAAACGTCACGACCATCGAGACGCAGAACAGCAGAAGAATGCACATGGCAGTAGTGCTGCCACCGGAACGCCAGATCGACCCGCTCATGCTCCCACCACCAGCAAGAATATCCCGAAGCTCATCAGACGGTGAGGGAGATCGGCCCAAAACTTCGGAGATTGATGACGAATCGCACCTCAACTACTTCAAGCGACAGCAGAATGCGGAGTGGCTCCCCTCTCCACCGAAGAGCAGTCCTGGGCGCAAGATTTGGAAGGGTTCCATCACTTATCCGCTACACCTACCTGTCGACAGACCTCCGATCCCAGCGATACCACAGCGTCATTTTGCAATCCTACGAATACCACCCGGAATGAACCCATTCAATCTTGGAAGCGCGTATCAAAACTTCACCTCAGTTTTTGGACACTCATTCGCGGACTGGGTGCTCCCACTCAAGTACAGTCCATGCTGCGATCATTCCTCGAGAATATCAGAGTACCCGTTAGGTCCAGAATTCGAACTGATGTTGGCGGATGCAGGCTTGGTCCGACCAATCAGTTCTAGCTCAACATTAAAAGAACGGCGACCTTCGACCACTCCCAGCCGGAAACGGAAACGTAAGCTCGATCACGGCTGGCAGAATGGCGAGCGCCCTCCTGGTTGGATCAGCGAACAGGAAGCGCGGCGTATGCGCAAGGATTGGAGACATAGGGCGGATCAGAATCATCATCCTGATGCGATATAGAATCAAGTCAATGCATGCACTCCCACCAGGTCTTTTGCGATGATTTCCGAGCCCTATAAGGTATCGTCTCAGTATGCCAAACACATCCGTTAACCCCATCTTCCAGCCGCAGCGACATGTAGAGACATCGTTCATCGGAACGTTGGTCTGCAAGTGGCCGACTTCCTTGATGATGGATGTATTGATTCGAGGCACTGTCTCGGTACTCCTAGCCAACCTCTATAGTCATGAACATATCTCGTAATCGCCTATCCAAGGCAAGGATACCCCCAACTCCTCGCTTAGAACCCACATGCACTTTCCCGCAGCATTTCCAAGGTCCTCATTTACCATGCCATCTTGGCCAAGATGCTCTTTGGATATCTCCGAACCAAAAACTTGCGAGCCTCGTCCAACAACAGGATTCCCATCCCAAAAGCAAAGGGCAAGAACCAGTGTGCGACTGGGACGATGGCTGTTTGCAGCACATTGTGGAATTTCGGCACGTAGGTGAAGAAGATTGCAATGACCAACGCGAAGATGATTGCGGGGAAGAGGAGCCAGTTCATGCTGTGCTGAAGAACGGAGAGACGGCGGGTTCGGACGGCGAATAGCACGAACTGGAACAAGAGTTAGCGAAGACCTGCTGATGAGGCTAGTGATCAACCTACCCATTGCATGACGACCAGGTTGATGAAATAAACGGAGCTAGCAGTGTTGAGGATGTTATTGTACTCGACACTGGTCATGCCCTCAGGAACTTGCCCGAAACCAAACCACAGAGCCGAGAATGGAATCCCAGAGCGCTGCGCATACCAGTAGCTCATGGCGAAGGAACTGACTGCCTCGAGGATACCGATGAAGCCGTATGCTTGTACTACGAGCTTCCAGTTGACCAGGCGGTCTTTCTTTGCGTTTCTTGGTGGGCGCGAGAGCACATCGGCTTCGGGTGCCTCGTAGGCCAACGCGGTGGCGGCGGCGCAATCGGTGAAACAACAGATGATGATCATGAGGAAAGAACTGAGAATCTGTGGGAGACCGAAGGCGACGTTGGTCATCACTGGCCAGAACTCGGAGAAGGAGCCGGCTGGAAGCAGGTAGCTGAGAATGTTGTCAGTGAAGCTCGCCACGTCTTTGGCATCGAGAAAATTACCAAATGGTCTTCTTCAAGTTGTCGTAGACTACGCGGCCGTATTTGACAGCCTCGATGATACCCGCGAAGGAGTCGAGAAGGACCATGTCTGCAGCTTCGATTGCAATGTCGCTACCAGAGCCCATGGCAATCCCAACATCGGCTTCCTGAGAGTCGGAGTCAGATGTGATCACGTCAGAGAACTGCCCGTTCATCACTTACCTTTAAGCTGGGAGCGTCATTGACACCATCTCCAGTCATACCAACAGTGAGGTCGCGGCTCTGGAATTCTTTAACAATCTTCAGCTTATGCTCGGGCGTTGTGCGAGCGAATACAATCTCATCGTAAGCAGCGAGCTTTGTCCACATGCTGTCGTCCAATGTTTCAATATCCGCGCCACTGAGCACAATCGAGCGAGTCTTTGCGGAATCGACAGAAATGCTGGACTTCTCATCGATGATGCCCGCGTGTTCCAGATAGCTTTCATCGAAAGTCAGGTGGGTGACATCGTCAACGTGCTCGGGAAGTTGCGTGATGATGCCACACTCTGCAGCGATCGCCGCGGCCGTGAGCTTGAAGTCTCCTGTTACCATGAAGACGCGGATTCCGGCACCACGAAGGACGCGGACGACCTCTGGAATCTCGGCTCTTGGAGGATCGACGATACCGACGAGTCCGGACAGGATCAGGCCGGAGGAAGCCTTGCCCATGATGTCGCGCTCATATTCACGAGGCTGCTCGCTGGGATCGAAGAGGGTTTTCTCCAATGGTTGCTCAGCGAGGAGGATGACACGTTTACCTTGCGAAGACCAGAAATCTTTCATGCCTTCCAATGTCTTCTTGTCCTCTTCGGACAAGGTCTTAGTCGTACCGTCTGTGTCAATGTACGAAGCTGAGGCTTGTTAGCGACCGTCAAGATACGTTGAGTCTCCCAAACTCACTGCAGCGTGGAAGTAAGATATCGGGAGCGCCCTTGATCATCAACAGTGCGTGATCGGATGTTTCAGACTTGGCGACTGTAATGGCAAACTTGTTCTTGCTGTTGAAGGCGACCTTGAAGATGGAGCGCCAGCCGCCGCGCAGCTCCGAGACGAGGCTCATCGACTCGGCGAAGCGAAGGATGGCAGAGTCGGTGGCGTCTCCATTTACCTTTCGGTCGGCAATCGGTAGGTCCATCGTAGAGGCGTCGAATTCGGCTTCGTTGCATACGGCACTGACGTTGGCAAGCTGTCTGAGGCCTTCACTGCTCACGTAGCGCTCACGAGAGTCGCTTGCAGAAACGGCCACTTTGCCTACAAGAAAGTCTGTGACGGTCATTTGATTCCTGGTGAGTGTGCCGGTCTTGTCCGAGCAAATTACGTTGACTGCGCCCAAGGTCTCCACCGTCTTCAAGCTTTTACAGAGAATGTTGTTGCGCTTCATGATGCTCGCGGTGATCGTAAGAGATGCTGTGATGGCAATCGGAAGGCCTTCGGGGATGAACGCTACAGCGATACTGACGCAGCTGACAATCAAGTATGGGACAGATATCTGCTAGATGTCAGCCATCGCACTGAAATCGCAGCGAGCATATCTTACCCAGTCGGGGTGGTCCTGGCGTAGCCAGCCAGCCCAAATAGCAATCACAATGATGACCATAGTCAACATCAGACAGACAATGAGGGAGACGAAATAGAAGATCTCCTTCTGCAGTGGAGTCATTCCTTCCTTTGGCGTGCTGGTGAGCTTGGCTATTCGACCAAAGACGGTTCGGTCTCCAGTCTCAACGATGAGACCCCAGGCAGTGCCCGAGACACAATGGGTTCCCGCGAGACCAATACAGGCAGTTTCCAGGAAATTGTCGTCGGTCGAGTCAACAGAGCCAAGCAACGGCAATGCCTCTCCGGTGAGGATCGAACGATCGAACCGGGCGTCGCTACTGACTTCGACAAAGCGCACATCGGCTGGTAGCTTGTTCCCGATGGTGATCTTCAAAAGATCACCAGGGACGACATCTCTTCCATCGACCTTCACTTGTGTTCCGTCACGAAGTACAATGCACTCTTCGGGAAGCATCTGTGTGATCGAAGCCATCACCCTGGAACTGGAGAAGTCTTGCCAGAAAGAGAAGCCTGGGTGCCGGTCAGCGTGTCCATTCTCACGCAACAGATTACACACTCACCGGCCTGAATAAGCCATACTGCGACGAGAACAATGGCGAGAGCGAGGTTTGCCACGGCTGGATTGGGATTCCCCAGAGGCTTCCACGCGATGAACACGAGAATCGCTGCGATGAAGAGGATTGGGCCGAAGCCGCCGAAGAGGTATCCCATGATCTGTTTGAACCATCGTGATGGTGGTGGAGTTGGGAGGTTGCGGCCGACGATTTTCAGCTGGCTGGCAGCTTCAGAGCTCGACAGACCAGAAGTACGCGAAGACGAGAAGCGTCGAAACAAGTCATCAACAGATGCCAAGTGGTAGTCGATACTCCCAAACTCAGCTTGTGCAGCTTGCTTCTTGCTTTGTTTCTTGCTCTCCTTTTTCCTTTTTGGTAACGATAWTGATGGCTTCTCACTCTGACGTTTGCCTTCTTCGATGCCAAACGACAGCGTTCTGAACTGTGGAGGCAGCACGATTGACGGGTCGATGCTTCTTCTCGTCGATCTGATCGACATGCTATCACGCGAACGAGAACGTGCGCGAACATCTCTGCCATTGCTCGTACGTCGCTCTCGGAAGCTTGGTGCATAAGTAACGCGTCCCCTGTTTGATGTCATTCGCTCCAAGTCCGCCGAGTCTGTGGTGTAGGCGCGAGGCAACTTTTGAAGGTCGGGGTCCGCCATTGTGGAGGAAGGTTAAGGGGGTGAGGTAGGAATGTCAGTGTTGTGGACAAGAGAGAGAGAGGGAGAAAGCGATGCAAACACACAGGGATGCAGGACTTTTATTGCCTTACCCTGGCGGCATGTGAAGAGCGATTTTAGGTCTCAGAGGCGCAGCGTGCGGGAGGGACAGCATGGTTACCACGTGCGTCCGCGTAGACAAAGAATGCACGCATTGCGCACGCTACAGAGGAGATGAGATCGAAGGCTCGAACATGACGGCCACGCGCTCCAGGACTGCATCTGGTAAGGCGATGGAGGTCGCGATTGGCTCCCACGCATAGACTCAATKGCACGGCMACCGATGCGGGATTTTTGGTGGTATGAGGGATTTAAGTCTGCAGGTCGCGTATTGAATTTGGAGCACGGCCGATGTAGTATTGTACGACACATCGTCCCGCCGCGAAGGAATGTGACGGGTAATGAAGGCTGTCTGATGAGCTCTGACAAAAACCTTGGTTTGGTGGATGAACGAGGAGAAATTCAAGAGACGTTGAGAGAGAGTGGAAAGATGAAGTGTGTCGCGATGCGTGGAACTCCCGGCGCTAGAATAGCGTGCCAGGTCGTGGTCGTCGCGTGTCCTTGTCACTCTTACGACGATCTCGACAACGACTTCATCCTTGTTAGAAGATGTCATCGCCCCAAAAGAACATACTCCTGCTGATTGCAGACGACCTTGGCAAGTTCGTGGGCTGCTACGGCTGTGATAGCATCACAACTCCCAATCTAGATCGGCTTGCCGCTGAGGGTGTCAGATTCACCGATGTAAGAGCACAACGACTGCAGAGCTTGAGCACGTCGCTGAGGCGCGGTAGCTTTTGACGCATCGCTCTGTCTTTAGCCGTTGAAGACGTCGCTTACGGTTCCATCTTCTGCTTCCAGGCGTTCGCCAGCACTGCGTCCTGCAGCGGCAGTCGGTCCACCATATACACCGGACTACATACCCATGAGAATGGGCAGTATGGCCTGGCATGGTTCAAGAGGTATCATGTCAAATTTCCACCATCCGGCTTGAGAATCTGACGATACCAAAGCCATTTCCAAACCTTTGATCACATCGACTCCGCTCCTAAGCTCTTCAATCAGGCCGGATACATGACCGGAGTCGTCGGCAAAATTCACGTGGGACCGCCCGAAGTGTACTCCTGGACTACCAGATGGGAGAGCGAGACCAGAGATGTAGCTCGTGTGGCCGATGAGGGCGAAGCTTTTCTGAAGTCTGCCAAGGACAGCAACAAGCCTTTCTTCCTGACTGTAGGCTACATTGACCCACATCGTGATATCAAGACCCGGGGAGAGTTTGGCAACGTTACAGAGCAATATGGGGATCGCATCTCTTTGCCCGATGTGAGCATCGAGGACGTCGAGGTTCCCCATTGGATCACCGACTTGCCTCAAACCAGAGCCGAGTTCGTGGAGTACTACAAGGCAATCAACAGAACGGACACCGGAGTGGGATTGATGCTCGATGCATTGGAGAGACAAGGTCTCGCTGACGAAACCCTGGTCATGTTCTGCTCCGATAATGGGCCACCCTTTCTCAACTCCAAGACCACACTGTACGACGCTGGGATCCATTTGCCGCTCATCGTTAGACAGCCTTGTTTGAAGGCTGAGAGAGGACTCGTTAATCCAAACATGATCTCTTACATTGACATCCTTCCCACGATGCTTGACTGGGCAGGACTCGATTTGTCCTTGAAGACGCCTGACAGTCAGTCGCCGGCGAGACGCGGTCGTTCCTTCCTGCCGATTCTCGACCAAACAAAGCTATTGGATGAGAGTTCCTGGCAGCAGCACATATTCGGGTCTCACACATTCCATGAGATGCAGAACTACTGGCCCACAAGAGTCATGCGTGAGTGCATCACCTCCCAATTCCCACCCTCGGGCGTGGAGTTATGGCTAACTCACTCCTTGACTAGGGACGAAGCGATACAAGTATCACCGCAATATTGCCTGGCGGTTGGACTTTCCATTTGCAGCTGACTTGTACGCAAGTTTGAGCTTCGAAGACATCCGCAACATGCAGCCACCAGTTAGAGTTGGTGATCGTGCTTTGAAGGATTACATCTTTCGCCCACCCGAGGAACTTTACGATCTCGAGAAGGATCCACAAGAAGTTAGGAATCTTGCCGGTGATACAGCTCATCAAGAACTTCTTGTTGAAATGCGGGAAAAGCTTAGCGAATGGCAAAAGCTCACGGGCGATCTTTGGCTTTACAGAGATGGACAGAGCGTGACCGTTCTGTCGAGATATGCTAGAGATGGACTGGAAATTCCAGATCGTGAGTTGGGTTGCTGTACTGTGAATTGAAGCTATGAACTGACATTTGCTCGCAGGACTTGACTTTGATGCTGATCAGCCAAGTACGAAAAATGTACCTATGACGAAGCATCTTGCTGCAGACGCATATGGCAGCGGGTCGCAAATCTACTGAGATTTTCAGGGCAAAGAGACCTCCATATGATAAGTCGGTCAGGCCAATTGCTCGAATGCTTGGGGGAAGAAGTGCCTCGTGGGGTCCTTGTGTAAGCACGAGCAGAATGCAGCATATATCAAGGTTGTGTCTGCAAGCGAGACGTTAAAGAGAGTGTGCGATTGAGTGGTACTGCCCTCGTATGCCAAGAAACAGCGGTAAAAGATGTAAGAGTCAAGCCCAAAGCTCGCATGTGAAAGTGAAATAGGMTTGGTTGGCCTGTCCGTAGTAGCAGTACCAATAGTGAGATGACTATCGATGGCATTTTCGCGTTCATTATACTGGCGATGTTGCGATGGTATCAATCAAGTCTTGATAGGATCCGTCAGCAGTCGACATATGAGCTGTTGTTTGCACCGTCAGTCCTTCATGCGAGGAATCGATGGTACGACGAGCATGTGAGGCGCACATGACAGCGGAAGTGGAGCGCGTCTCAAATTCCCCAGCGCGTCAAAGTAAAGTCAAATTTCTCTTCCAGCTTTCTGCCTTTCCTTCCTCCCCTCGAACTAACCTTCGAGCACGGCGACCACAAAGGGCAAACTACCGCGACAATGAAATACGTCTTGGTCTCGGGAGGTGTGATTAGCGGGGTCGGCAAAGGCATCATTGGTACATGCCTCCTCCATGCATATTTCTGCTGCTACAGACTCGAGGATGTGACGGACTAACACGCCCATTCTTCTAGCCTCTTCTGCTGGCCTGCTGCTGAAGACGATGGGTCTGAAGGTGTCCAGCATCAAAATCGATCCCTACATCAATGTCGATGCCGGACTGATGAACCCGCGCGAGCACGGGGAAGTCTACGTCCTCGACGACGGCGGCGAGGTCGACCTCGACCTGGGAAACTACGAGCGATACCTCAACATCACCCTCACGCGCCAGAATAACATCACCTTGGGCAAGATTTATGAAAAGGTCATTCGCAAGGAGCGCAATGGCGACTATCTCGGCAAGACGGTGCAGGTTGTGCCTCACATCACGGGCGAGATTGAGGATTGGATCGAGCGTGTGGCCAAGATCCCGGTGGATGACACCAACGAGGAACCCGACGTCTGTATCATCGAGTTGGGAGGAACCGTGGGTGACATTGAGAGCATGGCCTTTGTCGAGGCTCTCACCGAGCTGCGGAGGAAGGTCGGCAGGGACGAGTTTATGCAGATCCATGTCTCGTACATTCCCGTCGTGCATGGCGAACAGAAGACGAAACCCACGCAAATGGCCATCAAGGCGGTGCGGTCCGCGGGTCTGATTCCAGACCTGATTGCCTGTCGATGCGAGAAGCCGCTCGAGGAAGGTGCAATCGACAAAATCGCTCGCTTCTGTCAGGTCGAGACGTCAAGCGTGTTGGCAGTGCGAGACATGCCTTCAACCTATCAAGTCCCCATCCTGCTTCACGAGCAGAACCTGGTACAGCTGATGACCCACACGCTTGGCTTGGACAAGGTCAAGCTGTCGCCTGGTTTGGGGGAGAAGGGAGTCCGCATCTGGGAGACGTGGATGCGTCTGACTCTGGGTCTGGAGCACATCCGCGAGGAGCTGGAGATTGTGCTGGTGGGAAAGTACCTCGACCAACCGGACGCATACTGTTCCGTCATCAAGTCATTGGAGCACGCTGCCATGTACTGCCGCAAGAAGCTCAAGGTCAAGAACGTTGACGCCGAGCACCTCGAAGCCCGCACCAGAGATACAGATCCCGCAGCCTACCACGAGGCCTGGCGCATAGTCTGCACGGCGGCCGGTATCCTGATCCCTGGAGGCTTTGGCGCCAGAGGCACCGAGGGCATGATTGCTGCGGCCAACAGAGCGCGCCTGAACAAGACCCCTTACCTCGGCGTCTGCCTGGGCATGCAAATCGCTGTTGTCGAGTTTGCACGCAATGTCTGCAAGGTTCCACTGCCGCAGGCCACCTCGTACGAGTTCGACGGCACAGACAAGGATCGCGTCATCGTTGACATGCCTGAACACAACCCCGGGGAGATGGGCGCAACAATGCGTCTCGGCAACAAACCCACATACTGGCAGGAGGGCTCAGAATGGAGCAAACTTCGCGCTCTCTATGGGAAGGGAGATAGCGTCAACGAGCGCCATCGCCACCGGTACGAAGTCAACCCCGACTATATCTCTCAGCTAGAAGAGGGCGGCATGTCATTCATCGGCAAGGGCAACACCGGCGTACGCATGGAGATTGTCGAGCTCAAAGACCACCCATGGTTCGTCGGTGTTCAATACCACCCCGAGTACCTCAGCCGTGTCTTGCAGCCATCAAAGCCATATCTCGGCTTCATTGCTGCCAGCGCGGGCATGCTAGACGAGGTGCTGCGAGGTGACAGCCCAAGTGGGCGTCACTCACCGAACGCTGACCTCTACCAAGAGTTCAACAGCACCGTCAACACCGTCAAGGTCAACGGCCACTAGAAAGACATGCGGCGGATGGCAGTGATACCGGATTGGACGCACGAAGGGGTACATTTGAGGGGTAAAGGGTGTTCACATGTCACTTCTGGAGTGCAAGCTCCAACGCCCCAGTCTCAAAACATGACTGCATGCCGGGCCGTCCACACCCTCTAGGACGTTGATTCACACAGCACATCCAGAGACGAATCCCGGTCCGAGCATACTGGGGATGAATTTGATTTTACGACTGTACGACATATTGCATACCAACGGCGCTTGGGCAGAGTGTGGAAAAATTGGGTTGGGCGGCAATGGCGATTGGAGTGCGCAGCATATAGAGTAGCGGCAAGTTTTGATAATCATCCAGGGTTGCAAGTCGTTWCTTCTACACTTTGCGTCTACGAGCCAACCCCATACGACTGGTCCAGGTTAGAAGGCCAAAAAGGTCCGAACAAACCATGCAGGCATTTACATCAAGCAAGCATCGCGTGCCTTCGAGAAGTCTTCACTCCCTGACCAGCTAGCTGCACGGAACGTGACACGCCGAAATGGATAGGTGGAGTGAGCCGCCACCACCAAACCTACCGATCGGAGTGGTTTCTGGGACCGACTTTCGGAGAATTGCGACCTGGATCTTCCCTGGAGATAGGTATAGATGAATTAGGGCTTCTGGTGTGGAAGCCGACATCTCCACATGTAGTTATACAGATCTGTATACTGGTAGAAGGGCTCTTCAACGCACGACAACCAGAACTAGGGAGTAGTACAACCAATGTCGAYTTTTGTAGCATGAAGGAAGCCTACGTTGACCCGCCGCTCATAACTTGATCAGATTCCATATGAACTTCACGTTGTGACTTTCCGTCAAGACAGGTTGCTCGTACTTGCTCCACATCACCGAGAGTTGGAGAGGCTGGGAGATGCCGCATGATACTTAACAATCAGGGGTATCATTTGCATCGTATAGTCTAAGCTAGCAGTACAATGAAAAGGGCTTCCGCAACCCAGGAAAATAAGCGCGGAAAGCATTGACATCTACATATCGCTTCGCCCAAGGAGCAAAATAGCCGCCATGCAACGCTTTAAAAATGGGCATATCCTGGCTAGGTCAATTAACAAGGCCCCAGCCTGGCATCTGAATCCATGATCCTCGATGACCATGCCATCATCATGCTAGAACCTTGCAAGGGGGGGAAATTTGGGGAAAACCAACGCACAAAAAGCTGTGCGGTGAGCGTGCTAAACGGACTCTCTCCGGACGGCGCGGTGCTGAATCGTATCGTTCGTGCTATGATCATGGARGTTCTGTGCGGGTACTGTTTTGAGGGATGGAAWCCCCATCATCAACAGTCTCGCTTCCTCCTCTTTCCCTTCTGTCTCTCCTTGGTCTTGGGGCTGACACCACCAGAAGTGGGATGACTACGGTTCACGCCACCTCTGACATCCACGTCGCTGTCGTCGTCGCCCTCGGAGGACGAAATTGAGCTTTCGGCCTCCTTTTTGGCTTTGCTTTTACCCTTTCGACTCTCAGAGCCCTTCTTCACACCGACATTCAATCCCTGTCGTCGTAACGCCTTCAGTAGACCGCTACTTGCCCGCATACCAGGAAAGTCTTTCGCCGTGTACACATTGAAGRCATCGGTCATGGCGCTGGCAACGTTGCCATGAGTCGCGCCCACTTGCATGTTGCTGGTGTCGACTCTCAGAAGGCGGAACTTGAGCCTGTATTTGCCAGGAGATCTGCAACTGAGGTCTGGGAACACAAAAAAGGTTCCCGCGATGCCATTTTCGTCCTTTGCCTGGTAAGGCGATGCAACAAGCGTGCCCATGAGTCTCCGGGTCGTCGGAATGTCGGGATGTGCAGATGGCAACTCTGTCTCGTCGGCGGTGCCATCTGGACTCAGTAGAGTACAGTGCAGCGCGAGCATGGCGTTGAGGTCTTGCTCTGGAAAGCCTGTCACTCTATCTGTAATCTTGAGTTCGAGAATCGGCGGAGGATCTATAACACGGCGATCGCGTTCCCCGAATCCACAGGCCCGAGCTGCCACGGGCTGCTGTCGAATACTGAGGGCAAAATCCAGCGGTGGCGCTTTGCTGGCGCCAGACTTTGGAGGTCGTGCAAGCGATGAGCGTGGCGATGCTTCGGAATGGCTATAGCTGCTTGGCGATGAGAATCCACTGATCGACGGGCTATGTGGGCTACCATCGAAATGGTCATTGCCCAGGGATGGATGTGCAGGAGAGTACTGGGGTCGCTGGTACTGTGAGTGCGCTGCTGGCTGGAAAGACTGATATGGCTGTGGCTGTCGAAACGGCGCGGGCGCCTGCTCAAATCGATGTGGGGGTGCTGGTGGGTACGAAAGTGGCTGCGGCCTGTACTCAACTTGCGAGGTCGGATACTGGTCTACCGGAGGCTGTCGGTACAAAGTTTGCTGCGTGGGCGCCGCTAGCTGGTGCCTGGGTGGTGATGAGGGATGATTCGAGAGTAGATGAGAGACCGGAATGGACCTGGGCGACGATGCGTTGGCTTCTGAGAATCCTGCTGACGGCGGAACGCGCATTGGTGGTAGTTGCACAGAGCGACCCTCCCTGTGCGTTGACCGAGATGAAGGTATGGAGCTGATGGGAGGGAGCTGTGGTCCTGGAGAGTAGTGTGCCGGTCGATCATAGAATGAAGGCGGTGGAAACGTCGGCGTCCGCTGCGTTTGCGCCATTCTACCCGGCTCGCTGCCCGTAAAGGGAGGCTGGACGGGTGATGGTCGTCCGGACTGCGACATAGAAACACTGAAACCTCAATATTGTCGTCCCAACACCATACACCGTCTTCGATCTGAAGGTGATATGTCAAGTGCTTCCAAGAGTGTGACTGTATCGAGCGATAGAATGTCCAGTCTGGCCGGTGTCGGTCTGTTTCGAAAGTATGATGGGCGTGTAGAAAGACCGTCCTTGGGATTAAGATCTCGTAAACCACACCGAGAGGTCTCGAATTGATATGGGGTCAATAATGTGGCGCGCGTGATGAACTCGGAGCTTCCTGGCCTCCGCAATATGGTATTTGGGATGTGCTGATTTCTCCTTGGGACCATGGAAATCGATCAGATCTTCGCTCAGGAAAGCATGCCGTGTGAACTGGGTCATCCGAAGGAATTTATGCGAGCGCGAACAGGAAAGCCCGTCGTGGTTGACCAACAGACAAGGACGAGAACGTGTAGCACGGAAATGAACCGGGGCAGTCCACAGAAGACCACAGGGAGTCAGAAAGAGTGGCCGGTGCAATGTGACCACAGGGATGCTCATGTATACTTAATGTCTTTGTGCCGCTACACACACGGCGGGGCGCTAAAGCAGGCGGCGTCGGATCAAGATACCCTGGTTTCGAGGGCACTGCACCTGCACAAAGGCGTCGAAATCCAGCATGGGGTTGACGACTATCTGGTAGCGAACGTGCAAGGGTCGAACGACGTCAGGAAGCGTCCGGAAGCGCGTCTGGCGTATTCTGTGATCCTTCAGGGAACTAGAGAGTGGGTATGGGACAGCAGGCGAAATATTTGTGCATTGTGCAACGACTAAGAACCTGGCACATGTGCGGTTAGCCGTTGAAGCTCCATACTACCCGAGGCGTAGCACAGAACGCCGGAAGGCCCACTGGGCTGCGAAGAAGAGGCTTACCCGTTGTTGAGGTTGCTCCATTGACATCAACCAGGCTATCGGCAGAGAGCTGACCGTAAAGAGCCCGCGGTATCGACACGCTACCGAATTTTGCTCGCGGCAGTACAACCACAGTGAAGGCGCACACGGGCGAGAATCCTTCAGAAAGGACCGCTATCTACTTCACGGTCTTGATCGCAAGCAAATCATACAGGGCGTGTGCGCGTGATGGTACACTCCACCCTCACCATTCTTTCCGCGTCTTGTCTCGCGCACTAGCTCCGATGCAGAGCATGGGGCTCGGCGAACAGGGCTGCAGGGGTCAGCAATCACAACCAGTCTCACCAGGCTCGCAATCTGATACCGAACGCTCGACCGCCCGGAATCATGGTCGCATGCAGCAAGGAGTGAGCTCCCGAAGAAGCACGGGGGAACCGACGTGTATGGAGCAGTATCGCCGTGCTCACGCGCTCAATCGGACCGGATAGTGTGGCACCACCCTTTCCAGACTTTGCGTAGTTCCGGTCAACCTCCATGGTTGCATGAACCGAAAATGGGTATGGTWTACTTGTATTCGATACAATGTCGTGCCGATATCATAATCGAGTCTGCCACCACCTATACGTGCAGCCAGACTTACCAGCCTCAGTCCGGAATTGTCTGCCAAGAAAGAAGTGGAACGGTKAGTCTGGCTTGTCTGTGCAGGATGGAGTTGGACGCCCGGAGTCAGCCAGCGAACTCCCCACAAGATCCCAGCAAAGGCTGTGTGATGGATGCGAGACTTGCATCCTCTTTGCCGCTAGAACGCTTTGGTCGCGAACCCACAAGCATCAGTGGGCCRATGTGAATGAAGCGCCTTTCCTACATCAAGGGTAATAGGAGATGGACCACTTTGTTGACCGCTGCATGTGCAAATTACCGCATCCACAGATGGTGAACTGTAAGTTTGCATGCCTTGCAGTTCTCGGGTAGAAACGCTGATGGGCTTCGGCTAAGCACCGAGCATCCCTGAACCAAGTAACAAGAATCTTGGTGGCACGGACGCCATTGCGATTGGTAACCCGGCACGCAAGATGTGCGTCCAAGCGACTTTCTTCTTCCCGCATAAGGTTACTGACGGTAAGAAAGGATGAAGTTGCGGGCCACGTGCGAAGAGTCGTCAGTGTACAAACGACTTGCCCAGAGAAGAAAGATCTGACATTGTCGTCCTTTAAGGCCGTCAAAAGGAGCATCAGGCGTGCTGGATGGGGAATATGATGCATCGAAGGGATCGCCGTGCAGAAGAATATTGATTCTGTGCACCGAGCGCCTGGCAATGTACTTGCACGCTTGGATCATCGGACCAGTCGCTGGCTTGTTGCTCAGCGGTCTTGATTGAAATTYGCAACTCACCGATTATGGTGTATCAGCTACTGTCCGGGGGACTATGGGTGCCAATGAGGAGGCATGAGTGGTCGTTAGGTCTGGTGAACGTTGCGCTGAAGGCGTAGCATCGCCAAATCAACGGCATGTCGCAACGCCACAGGGCCTCAGGAACTGATGGTGACCTGGTCAACAATTCAGCGTACATGAGCTGCATGGCTCGCATCATGCATGCATCCTTTGGACTTGCTCGGCGGCGCTCCGTCTTTCCTTGACCGTCCTAACCGTGACGATGATGATGATGATGGTGGTGGTGATGATGGATGTGCGGCGCCAATAATGCTTGCTCCTGCCTCAGTCCGGTCTCTCGGCGGTCGGTTGATCTCTGGAGACCCACCCGCAGCGGTATCATTGGCAATGGCAAGTCGGTGGCATGGACACGACGGATGGCAATGCTTCGGCGGCGCAACGGGTGAGGAAGGGACAGAAGTGTGGTCTCGGAAAGCTCGAAGGACGGGCTCGTTTGTCCAAGGTTTCGGATCCGCTTCCGGCGGACGTCCATCTCCAACGTCAAACACGATCCGACTCGATCACATCTCGTCTGCATCTTGGTCGGGAGGGGCCCTTCACCCTTTGTATGCAGGCTTGGAGACAGCCCCGGCCAATCATGCACTCTTGTAACACGCGGCCTCGCAGGATACGGCCAGCAATCACCTGTCCGCTCCCGTCCACGTTGTAGCCTCCTCGTAACTACCTTACTGTAGGAGCAGAAATCCCAGCTGTCTGRGCCACAGGTCTGAATGTGGAGCGCTACCTTACCTTACCTTACTCCTGTACCGTTGGCCCTTCTCCCCCTCCCCACAAAACCCATAATTTGTGCCGCCACGTGCCCAGTAGGTCGGGGAGATGCAACAATACCGTGTTCCAAGTGGTATACTAAGGGCAAGCTCGGAGCTGTCTATCAAAGTGGATTTCACGGCCCATGCTCCGCTTTGGCGCTTCGATGATGGTACACTGCGAGAATATCATGTCCGAATTTTGAACGACGGGAGTGGGTTTTCTCAACCATATGCATTTTCTGGGTTGACACCTACATACGTTGAAGACCGACGCTGCAAGGCCATCGCTCATCTCAACGCATCACGACCACAACGACCACAACGACCACAACAACAATAACAACAACAAACACAACAGCATGTTCAACCAACCTTTGACCACTGCACCTGCTATCCGCCTGATGGTTGAAAAGCCTGGAGCGAGACTGCATCGCAACTTTCACGTCGCTCAATGATTGCTGGCAAGCACGTTCTATTCTTCGCCTTTCACGTGGACACGGAGGTCCGTCTTACAGGGTGCGGGTCTACAGTGGCAAGACAGCCAATGCAGTCTGTGACCTGTCTGCACAAGCCCCACCCAACCACGCTCGTCTCCGTGACAGCGCACTACGACGGGGAGCTGCGTGACCTGATCGAATTTCGTGCAGACCATCTACCACGGCTCCGAGTCCTGCTGGAGAGAGAAAGAAGAAACATGCCTAAGCAAGGTTCTATGCAAGCCATAAGCGACGACAAGAAAACCACACGCCATGAGTGAGCTCCAATCGCTAGTTTATGCTAACTTTTCAATCCATCTACATTGACACGCGCCATGCCCGCCGTAAATGGCCATGTGCATTGACGTCCTGGTAACACGGACAATGACAGATGTGTCTCCTCCGGAATTGGGACCTGCTGCTTCGAAGCGACAAGCGAACGAAATTCCTGCCTTAGTTGATGTGATGGAGCATGGAAAGCTGCATCAAACACGAAGACCCGAGGTAGATCGCACTCTATTGGTCCCGCTTGAGTGCATGACAATTCTCTAGCACGGCAAGATCATGGGGCTATGTTGTGATGGTCTATGGCTCCGCATGTATTGACGGTAATAGCCGATAAAACTTCCGCTGGATGATGATGATCATTCTAGCGAGGCTTGAGTTGGACTTTATGGGAGTCGAGGTCATGTCTACGTTCATCCACGACATAGCTCGAAGGTGAGGCCGAATGTGCTCGCAAACAGAGCTTGATGAAAAATCTATCACAATGAAGAATTCGGCAGCCTCAAATAGTTCCCATGGATTGGCATCGGGAGTCGGGGCTCGGAACTCCTGTGGGTGTCGGTCTTCTTTGACCCCCTGAGTAGGGCAGAAATCTAACAGCGGTGAACACGTCGACCAGTTTAGTTCTCAGCCAAAATATCTTACTGCAGCATCTGATTGCATCGGTGTCACAGGTTACAACTAACTGATAGACGGCATCCAGTTCCCCTGCTTCCGGACATTTTTCAAGTCTGCAACTGGTTTCGCAGCCCTTCCACATCCTTGCTGATTTTAGAGGACACAACTCCGATATGCGAAGACGCTATTGACATCTTCAAAAGTGGATCCAAATCATGACAAGAAAAGAAGCGCATGGATAGATATCCACCCTATGATTACTATGTGTGCTACGGCGACCTCCCCCTCCTCACTGTAGGTCTCGTTGCGAAGGAACGGCTCCAGCTTCGGGCTCTCTGCGATTTGGCTCTTCGTCTCTCGGTCTAGACAGTCGCGCTTCAGGTTGGAACCCGGTAGCTCTCTTGAGACTGCCCGGCCTCATCGAGGACGGCACAGCTTCGCACACCGAGTCCGCCTCGAAGATGGGTGGAACAGAGGCCCCCCTTGGCTGTCTTGTGCTACCGGCCGGCCAATACCTCCCAGCCGGAGGGGAGATAGGCCGGAGTGTAGGGTCAGGGGGCATATTCGTTTCTGGCACCCATGCTTGCGGATGTCCAGACGGTGATGGTCTTCTTAGCGGAGGTACCACGGGATGGACGTTTCGCGCTTGACCATATGTCCGCTCTTCTCCTAGGTAGTCCGTTCCAGGCGAGCGAGCGTACTCTGGTTGCGGATGGAAGTGCGTATGCTGTGGAGGTATCGGAGGTGCCATGCGAAAGCCATCATCGATCCGATTACCATATACATCCTGATGTGCAGTACCACCATCAAAGTCCCCTCCATTAGGCCGCCGCGGTCTCTGAGGTCCGCCTTGAGGTCTTCTAGGTGAAAAATCTTTATCCGCGTGGTCAGCATAGTAGTAAGCACTTCCAATTGGACACATCGATGTACTCACTCACCATCACCGCCGATTCCACCGAGCAAATCGTCATCCTCATCATCCCAACCACCTCTTCTACCTCTTCTAAACGGCCGCCCAGCTCGTCTGCCTCCACCACCAAAGTCATCATCAAAGTCATCTCGGAAGGCCCTCTCTCTCCTTCCTCGACCTCGTCGCCCAGGCCCACCAAAACCGCCGCCACCAAATCCACCAACACCGCCGCCGCCAAATTCATTCATTCCTCCACCCGGCATCATAGGAGTGTTCATGGGACCCATCCCAGGGCCTCCAGCCATTGCAGCTGCGGCCGCCATAGGGTTCATCATAGGATTGACATTTATGCCTGGCATTCCCATGCCGCCGCCTTGCATTCCCATCCCAGGTGAACCAGCCGCACCACCCATGGCTCCCAGCCCCGGTATCCCACCCTGCATCCCATTCTGCATTCCCATTCCCATACCCATTCCCATATTCATCCCACCTCCATTCATCCCACCACCACCCATCTGTTGTGCAGCAATCATCTGACTCAGCTGCGGCAAGATCTCTTGCAAAGTTTTCAGCATATTGTTCCTGTACTGTTCCCTCTTATGATCAGAAGCACTCCCAAAGAGCAAAGAATCCCTCTCCGCCATGTGCCTCTGATACTCCTCCGCCATCCGTTGGAACTTGTCTTCAACAGTATCCCGCATCCGGTCGAATTCGCCCCGAGTAGGATGCGTGCGTCTTCTCCTCCCACTCCCATCACCTCCGCCACTGCCATCCCAAGGACTCGGCCCGTAGTTGTTACCACCACCACCCCTCCGCCGTCCCCTCTCCCTCATTTGCCACTCATTCAACACCTCTCCAAGCCTCTCATAATCCCTTACGGTCCACTCTCCCGGATTCTTCGAAAGCCCTCCTCCACCGCCGTTCATGAAAAACTCGCCAACCATATCCACCGGATCCTGATACCGTTCCCTCCCGTCTCCGCCACGCTCCACGTAAAGGTACTTGGGAGAAGAACAATTATGATGTCTTCCGTTACACCAACAGCGATCCGGGGAGCAAACGCGTAAAGAGTAGTCCGAAGGGAGGTATAGTTCAGTTCTTGAAGGCGCTATGCCCATGTTGTTGAGGCATGGAATGTTGTGGACAGCAGGCAGTCGGATTGATGAATAGCAGAGTTTGCTACCAGCCGGCCTCTTTGCAAAAGTGCTGCAAGTGGTAGGTAGAGAAGGCAGTCCCGCCGAGAAGCAGTGTAATGCTGAGAAGGTTCAGCAAGTCAAAGAGACGGTGAGGAGATGGTGCGACGAGGGACGGAAGGAAGTCAGCTGCACACGCCGGGCGAAGCAAACAAATCTTGCTGCCGCAGCAGCGTATGCAGAGCGAGAACTGCCAGGAAGGAGATGTATGGTAGAAAATGAACGCATCACAAGACCCTCTGGCCTTCGAGATGACGGGATCACGACGGGTCGGGAATCCGCAGCTTTTTGGGTCCTACAACATGATGGGCAACATTAGCGTCATGTGGCCCATTAAGCAAAGAGGAGGTTGCTCATCTAGCGGCGTATSAACAAGTCACTCACTCTGCTCTGCATACCTGAAGAACACTGGCAAATTCAACCAGAAACGTCTGCCTATAGCAGTAAGAGTGAGCGAAAACAACGGTATTAGGTATCGTGACTCTTTCTCGAATTTTCATGTATAAACCTGCAAAAGCGTTGAGCAGTATGCAGACAAGGTCGATGCCGAGCTGAGCACAAATAGATGGAGCAGGTCGGAACGATTCTTTGCTGAGGCAGCTCACATGGTCTGTCGCAGCTTTCTTCGATGGCTCTCGCTCCTCCCTCCTCTTGGACTCGGCCTTAGCCGTCTCTCTATCGACTCTCCCGATTCTTCGCTGTCAAGCCTCTCGCTGAGTTCCTTCTCCCGCACAACGTCAGCGAGAGTCCTGCGTCCCTTTCTCTCAGTGCGCTCCTCTTCCGGGTCGATGAAACGATGAATCGTACGGTGATCAAGTACACGCTCCTCCTTGTCATTTTTGTTCTCCTTGTCCGTCTTTGGCCAGTAGTAACCATACAGCTTGCTATGGCGCTCACAACGCGGGCAAGCAATTCGCGTGAGGAAAGCCTCGTCCTGCACAAAGTGTTCGTCGCAGTTTCTACACTCTACCCACCGGTGGTATGTAGTCGCGAGGAGTGCCTTACAGAGCGTGTAGTCACCAGGTGTACGCGCTTCGCCTCGCCGAACATCTTCCTCTGAGTCGTCCGCAGCTTCCATCTTTTCAATACTGCGGATCGGAGTGGCGTCCCCAGACCTCGGACTTTTGCGTAGTATGTCCCCGCCACGATTCGCTTTCTCGGGAGATAGTAGATGTGCTTCGTTCTCCTTCACAGCAGTAGCGCGTGTGCGAGTCCTGCCCCCATCTGCCGCTGTGACAGTAACCTTTACACTCGCCTCTCCCAAGTCCGGCCCATCAGTCAACATTTCGCATATGCCTTGAGCTATCGTTCCGGCGGCGAWAGTCTCCATAGATGTGGCACTCGAGGGTGCTGAAGAGGCGCATGACGCGGCGTCCGTTCCATTCGTGGACGGAGAGCTGGGCCCTGCTAAATCGTCCTCAGGACGAGGATACTTCCGCGGGCGGCCGCGCCCTCTCTTGATGGTTGTCTCTTCCTGTGGAGCAGGTGATGCAGGCATACTGTAAGGATCCACGGGCTCGTTGGCATTGATGACATTTCGCAGGTTGGAGCGACTTCGCTGTTTTCCGAGCGAGGGTATCGACTTGGCCGGCGCCGCATCGCACTTGTTCTCGGCGTCCTCAATCGATGCATGCTTGCTTCTCGTCTCGTCATCGCGGGAATCAACGGCTTTCCTTGTGACGAACGGCAGCGCTCCAGGTTTGCGCTCGGCCGCGGGTCTCTCGCCATAATCTACAACTGTGGAGGTGCTTCCGGAAGTGGCTGTCGGCCTCCCTGATGACTTGGGTTGGAGGTCTTCCGAGGGCTCCTTTTTCTGTCGCTCTTGGCGATCTGCAACCATTCCCAGAAGCTGCAAGACCCTGTTCAAAGTTACATCGCTGTCCTCGGTCTTCAAAGATGGCCGGGAAGGTGATCGCCCTTGTGAACCGTTCGCTGCGGCTTTCCCACTGAACCGACCACGGCGGTCTCTCTCCAGTTGTTCCGCATCGGTCAGCTTCCCCGTCCGCTGTGCTTTGCTCCGACGACCATTTGACTCATTCCCATCCTCATCGACCTCGTCATCTCGTTTCCGCTTGTTCGGTGAGTGTGCCCTCACTTCCCGCTGTACGATGGGCGCAGCCTTGATCTCCGCGCCTTCCTCCGCATCTTCGTCCGACTCCTCGTCACTGCTGTCATCGTGCACAATAGGTCCTCGAGGATCCCAGCCGTTTCGTTGTAATCGTTCACACGTCCCGCATAAGCATTCGCAATTACCCTCTCCGAAATAATCATCTCCATATGTAACCGTAATCTCGTCTCCCAGAGCGATTTCCTTGCAAGCCACAATGTGGATTCCATGCGGTCCGGTCGTCGTAAGTTTGGCGTTTGAATCGCAGTCATGATTGGCAAAGCGTGCGGGTCCTAGGAACAGAGATGGACGCTTCCGGCGACTTGACATGACCACGCTGAAGTCGTTATTCTTTGATAGCTCCTGTTCTTCCCTCTCCGTCATCTCCACTTGAATGCCGGTCAAGTACTTGATTGACTCGTTCCTGTGCAAGGGTTTCCGAGCGATTATGGCAGCCTCGGCAGTGGTGATGGTGTAGCGATTCGTCGTTCCGACCTCAAACGGACAGTCGGCCAAGTACATGTTGACATACTTTCGCAAATGGCGTCGGAAATGCTCCTTCTCGTCCTCGGTCTTTAGACTCCGCAGGTACTTGGCCAGTCCGGGAAGCTGCAGCAGCTTTTCGTGGGCGGTATTCGGATCTTTGTGAATGATGWCATATGTCTGTAGGGTCTTGCATATATCTGCCTCGAGYACGCCACGGCATGGGTGGTAGTTTGGCTTGAGTTTGCGAATCGAGGACCAAAAGTAGACCTGCAGAAGTGTGAGTTTTGTAGAAACGCAGGAGGCTGGCGACAAGAAACGGCAAGCACATACCCGATCGACCAGCGCATCGGTGATGATATCGTCGTAGTTGGCGAGTTGCGACAGTGTMAGGCCTCCCTTCTTCTTCAACGCCTCTTCCAAGTCAGCAGCTTGCGAAGGCATCTTGTCGGCGACGCGCAAGGCCAAGAATGTCGCGGTGTATGCAGCAAGCGATGGTTCCAACCATGCAGTTCCCAATACTGGAAGCCTTGTTGTTATTAGTACTCTTCCCTTCTTATTGTGATTTTTTCTTGCCGCCCACAATAAAGCAAGGCCGTCCCTCTCTCTGTCTCAATTCCGCGCGCGTGAAGCGTGTTCGGAGCTACCTGGGATCGTGATTGGCCGTCGGGAACATGGTCGATGCGTCTTGTCTCGGGAAGCAAACACGGCAGGAAAAGGCAGAATCGCGTGGAAAAGGACGAACAATATGAAGCGGCGGTGTCGTCGTGGCGCAAAGACTCGAGGGCAAGGTCAAGAGAACGGCGTGTTGAATGTAATTGACTAGTTCCGTCAGGCACGCGATGGATCAAGGGATATTCCGCCGCTAGCGGGGCCGCAAGCATTCCGTTCGGTGACGGCCGGACTCCCGACTGACCACAACTTCATCGATCAGATACCTAGCCCACCATCTATCCATTTGCGTCTTCGTCTGCAAGCTTCTGCTGGGCTTTCACGATGATTCAACTAAAGGTGTGATATTCCTGGCCTCTTGGCAATATATACATGGTCCATGGCGCGAAGCTGGCACTCCCAAGCCACGAACAAAAACTAATAGATGCCTCAATCCAGACCATGGTCAATGTCATAGACAACAGCGGCGCCGCCATAGCAGAATGCGTCAAAGTCCTCAAGATGAAGCGCCACGCAAGAATCGGTATGACTTYTCGCACGATTCTCTTGAGACGCTATTGACAACCACCACCAGGCGACCGCATCATCGTCGTAGTCCAGAAACAGCGCAACTTCGGCCCAGAATCAGGATCGGGCGGCTCGGTCTCGGTCTCAGCAGCGAACAAAGTTCGAAGAGGAGACATTAGACATGCGGTAGTCGTACGGACAAAGAAAAAGTACCAGCGCGCAGATGGAAGCGTCGTGAGCTTTGATGATAATGCCTGTGTGCTTATCAACAAGGGAGGAGAGCCTATTGGGAGCAGGCTGAATGGAATTGTGGGAGCCGAGTTGAGAAATCACAAGTGGAGTAAGATCTTGAGTCTTGCGCCGATGCATTTGTAAGAAGATGAGGTGTACATCAGGGACGGCGTATGGCAATGGCATAGCGATGGCGTTTGGAATGGGAATACCAACAAGCTCTTTCGATCTTGAGGTTTCGGTGCTGCACAGACTAAAGATGGGCTCCATGAGAGCAGTTCTGCTTAGTGGACACAACAAGCTCTACTCTTTCACGAGGCAGATCTGCCCATGTTGCCAGCTCGGACCCATCTCTCATAGGTTTACGCTCAGTTACTCGGACAAGTAAGGCAAGAAGGTGGGGGAAGCAAACTTTCAATGTACAGGAACAAGACGGACTGCCGGACGGTGTGATGCGATGTGATTGTTTGCGTAACTATCTCATATGCCTCTTGTCTACCCGACAAGTTTCTGGTCATTTTTGCGTCCATACTGCGGGACATCCACCTCAAACGCCTCGCTAAACAACAATTGGTGGAGATTCTTCAATCTCCGCGGGTGGGGTTATTTCGTCGACGGAACCTTCAGAAGTAGCAAATCCCTCGATCAGATCCTCTTGAAAAACTTCCAGGAGCGGACCGTGCAGAGAGGCTTGGCGCTGCCTCCGAGCCTGCCGCTCATGTTCCTCCCTGATAGACTCCTCGAGTGTGACTGGCGCTTTCTTCGAATCATTCTACTTCTTCTCGTCAAGCGTGGACCACTGTTCTCCACATTCGCAGCACACGTAGAAGAGAGCCTGAGAATGACGTTAGCTGTGCAGAAATGGATGGGCGGAAGTCAAACGTACCATTCCAGTCTCGGGTGTTCGCTGTTGAGACTGGAAGAAGACGGCATCGCGCGCGTGGCATGCCTTGCACTCGACGGCGGCGTGGGGGAGCTGCAACAACCATCTGTCAGCAAATGTCGCTGCAACAGATCCGCAACAAAAGCATGAAAACGTGGTCGCACGGTGTGATCCCTCCTCTTGCCYCCCTAGCGCAATGCTTGTAAATTCGCGCCGCTGCCCGAGAACGTCCGCTCCCGACGCTCAGCTTCAATCGCCTCTTGTTGCTGCTCGCCACTGCCCTGGTCAGGATCATCCACCTCAAATGCGATGCCTCCATCAGAAGGTTGCTCGCATATGGGACAGAGGATTTCCTGACCGCACATGGTGCAGAGCTCCGGCACGACTTCACCGGCGGGTTCCTCTTCCTCCTCGTCCTCGGGCTGTACATCCTCCATCGCGGAATCAGAGGGATCACCCACCGTAGGATCCTGAGCGACGTCGTCGATGTTTCCGGCAGTCTCCTTGATGTCTTCCTTGAGCGAGTTGCGCCAAATGCAGGATGCGGTCGCGGGCTCGCTGTATTCGCAGGTGCGACAGGCGAACATGAGCTGGCTACCCTCGCGATCTTCCTTGGGATACAGCATGTTGCTGCATTCGCGGCAAAATCTGAACGTGACCTTGGTGGTGCTGGATTCGGCCATGGTGGATGGTTGCCGAAGTGGATTGCATGAGGTTCGAAGATCAACTTGGAGAGCGCGGGCTTGACTAAGGAAACTTAGTCCGGCGGGACCTGCCGCTGAATAAGAGCTGGTACAAGCTTCCGGAATCCTGACTGAGGCATACAAAACACACAAATCGAACAAAGCCATCCTTTGTCAAGATTCCAGGTTGAGCATCGGAACAACAGCGCTGAGGTCTGCCTTTTCTTCGCAACTTGAATCGCTGAGAATCTTGCTAAGCTGAGCTCTGAGGCCTTTGGACATCCATACCACTGCGAAAGAGCTGAACCACAATTACTCCTACGGTGTCAATCTGAAAGCAGATTAGAGCACAAACAAACCATCGCAACATGCGAAATAGTCATCTCGGTGCAGTATCCTAGGCCAGGCTCCCAAGCTGACACTTTCACATCTCAAACAACGAAAGCACGCTTCTAGTAAAGCATCGCATTCTGCACATGTCAGCAGCCACATCGTTCAGCTCTACTGATCACTAGCCTTCTTCAATAAGTCTTCCCAAAGATTTCCTTCGCCAATCCGGCAAAATCCAATCCCCTCTCCCCATCCACGACCTCCCAGAGGTTCGGCTGTGTGAACACCGCCAACGTATTCCTCGCAATCTTCGCTCCTTTCTCGGTCCTTGCGCCTCGAACAAAATGCGGCACAGCGCGGAACTTCCCCCTCGTGATCAACTGCAGTGCCTCACCCGTTTGAAACGCCAGACAGTCCCTTGGAATATCAACCTGCGTAGTGCGACCAGCACGATCTTTGATCCAAAGGCCTGCCTTGGGATCCGGGTGAGCTTCCAGCTCCTCCAATATGCCGTCCTTTGACGATTGAAGGTTCGGCTTGTGCAGTGCTTCATCAACGAACATGTTCGATGTGAGGCCAGTGAGAGCGCCAAGATCCGTGTGCGTACCACACCAGCTATCGTCGTCCATTTCCACTTCCTTCTCTCCCTCGGCTGGCGCGGCAGTCTCAGCAGCAGGAAAGTAATGCAGCAGTCTGGCCTTGGTAGCAACACTCCCTCGCACGATGTTCTCCAGCACACCGTTCCCGTAACCCTCCAAGTTTGCCTTCCCATACCGATCACATGCCCTTGCCACCAATGCAGCAACGCCGACAATCAACTCGMACATTTCTTCCACACACGCTTTGAACCCCGGCAGCACATCTTCTTCTGGCCAGACGTTCTCGGAGGTCATATCCTTCAATTCAGGATACATCTCCCTCGCCTTCTTCACCAGACTTTGATCCTGCTCGCCCGGCTGGACATAGAAACTTCCTTTGCTCGTATCGTACTTGCCATTGTCGAGTTTTTCCTTTCCATGGGACCAGCCAATGTTGTAGCGTGCTTCTGGTTTCTCAACCTTGGCCAGTTCCGAAGCTGGAAGGTTGGCAAGGAACGATGAGTAGCTAAGAAGTTTCTTTCGCAGAGCTGGGTAAGTAGAAGGAAGATCGCGGACCAGAATAATGCCCAGCGAGTTGGGACCAAAGGCTTGCTCGAGAGTTGAAAGGTCCACGTTGCTAGATTCGAGGTCTGAGAGTGATACACTAATGGCCGTTGGCCGGTCTGAAGCTATAGAGCCCATGATCATGGACTTGTGGTGTACACTTGAGTTGTAGTGGATGATTGATCAATCGTCTGGTTATACTTGGCAAGTCTTTAATTCTCGCGGTCTCTTAGGATTCAGCTGTGCTTCCCGAGTCTTGTCGTTGTCAAATGACAAGGGACCACATGACTGGAACACCGTAGAAACATCGGCATAGGTTAGGAAGGTGAGGTCGGCAAACGGAGCTCGCCTACTAGGTACTCCGTCCTATCTCGTTCGAACCGTGGAGATGACACACAGGCGGTTATCAACGAGTGGCTATTATTCAGATGATTTACGAGTAGAAGTGACATCGTGAGGGGAGAAGAGTGGAAGGAAGCCCGGTATAGCATAATAAGGTAGAGGGCCAAATATCTTGACACAAAATCGGGTAGTTTACACCAAAAACAATGAGTGAAAGTACGCGTACGGGCGACACATGTTCTGAGTCGAACTCCATGTTGGATTTCACTGTCAAATCTGCTCCACCGGAACATTCTAATCGTTCTTACAGCACCAGAAATCGCTCCACTCAAATTAATAGCACCAAGAACACCATCGCTAAATTCCACACATTCATGCACGGCACGTCCTACTTCATGCACTTGAAATTTTCAAATCCTGCTCCTCCAGAAACGGATCCTATCCGGCTCCGAAGCACAGCATTCGAACTTCACAGTCCTCACTTCCACTCGCGACCCTCGAATCGCTCAGCCACGCGCATGTGACAGGTCCTTGATGTCCAGTGAAGGTCCGCTCGCATTTACCCGTTCGTGGATCCCACACCTTCATCATGCGGTCTTCACTCCCGGAGATCAGTCTCAAATGATCCGCCGATAGCGCCCAGATTCCTTCAACATGACCGAAAAAGGTTCTCACACACGCTGCGGCGCGTGGAGTATGCGAGTTCGTCAACGGATCCGTCGGCAGGATTCCAGACCAGTCGCCTCCTTCTTCCGGAGAGCTGGGTGGGGAACAAGATGCACGATCAACCGCGCTGTTGGGACGGAAATGTGTATCCCATAGGCGAATAGTCGAGTCCAGTGCACCGGTGATCATATATCGCGGCGGTGCAGGTCGATGCGCTTCGCATCGCATGCCGCCTTCTTTCTTTGGCCAAAATGCTGGAGGTGCTGATTCACGCTCAATGCTCTTACCTCTCGACTCGCTGTGTGAAGGTGCGATGAGTACAGACGATACGCTGCTAGCATCATCATCCTTTTCACCCGAAATGGAAGCCCGATGGTCATCCAGCTCGAATTCGGCAGGCATGGGCACAACTTGCTGCACCTGACCAACATGTCCTTCGAATACACGGATGCATTCGTGAGTGTCGAGGTCCCATAGTCGGACAGTGAGATCGTCGGAGGCGGAGAAAAGTGTGCGGCTTGGTTCATCAATCTTGACACTGTTGACCCAGTCTCCATGGCCACGCAGGAGGAAAGTTTCCTTCGTGTCGCTGTCCCATACACGAATCGTCTTGTCTCTGGATCCAGATGCCACGTAGCGACGGGTRAAGTGCAGGGTAATGATGCCATCAGTGTGAGCGGGAAATGTCCGCAAACATTCTCCGGTCCTCCAGTCCCACAACTTCAAAGTGCTGTCGAGACTACCCGTCATCAGCTTCCGGTCGTCGAATTGGAGGCATCTAATTCCGCTTGTATGACCAGTGAGCGTTCGCAGGCATTTCCCAGTGTTGATATCCCACACCTTGACGGTGCTGTCGTATGATCCTGTAATGAGGGTGTTGTCGTCGAACTGGAGACACATGACGCCGTTGGTATGGCCTTTGAAGACCTTGGTGGAGCAGCGGCCGTACTTCCAGGCAGTGCCGACCTTGAAGCGATCTTTGTAGACATCCTTCCAAGGCCGTTTTCGAGGGAAGAGAGAGCTATCATTGTACATGTCGGTGTTGGAGGACGTGCGTTGTTTCTTGTGCAAGTCGGGTGAGGCTGGGGCTGATGGGCCGGAATCGAGGGAACGTTTGCGGGAGAGTGAGTTTGTTGTCGACCTGGCGTCCTCGCTGGAATCCTCTCCTTCGGCCGCTGGCACCTCGGGTAGAGTCTCTTCCGGGATGGGTGTGATGTCCGGCGACCACTGGTTCAACCCTCTGCCTGTGGCTCTCAACTGAATCTGTCTCTTCTCAATCCGAAGCCTCTTTCTCTCCAATAAAGGTAGGCCCCACCCACATTTGGTGCATTTCCGGTCGATGTGTTGCTCGCACATCTTATGCCATACGACATCGTCGTCGGCCAAGCTCCGCCACCGTTGGCTAACTTGTGAGGCCTTGCATAGTGATGTTGTGTCGAGGTAGCAGAGGATCTTGAAGGCCAGCTCGGCGGGCAGAGCTGCGACGAAATCGATCTTGATCAGATCGCGGATGTTGGCTGATATGAATGATAGCTGTGGAAAGCAGCACTGTGTGAGAATACCCTTGAGCATGAGGTTGCGGTGCTTTGCAGGAGCGCCAGAGAAGAGGGTCCAGACGTGGGAGACAGCCTGCTGGTCTTCCTGGCTCAGCTGGGTGAGGTCGGCCTGCAGCTGTTCCATTGACGGCTCGTCCGCCTGACGCCTACACTTGGAGTCTGGTGCGTGGCGGTAGCAGAATTTGGTGTCTCGGGGTGTCTGTGAACCCAGCTCACCGCCGGTTGGACTCTTATCGTGGAGGGCATGCGAGCCTTGCTGCTGCTCGGGGATGTGCTTGTGGAGGAAGGGCGCAATGGTCGATTCGGCGGCCATGGCATGCGATTTGCTCTTGTGTCGGTCGGGGAGGGAATGGTCGAGGTCATGGACGTGATCGTGAGAGGAGTGGTCGTGTGAGCGGTGATTGTCATTGTCGATGCTGTTCGCCATTACTCCTGGTCCGCCCCCAGCACGCAATCCTGAGGCTTTCGACATAAGACCCGGGATCTTTGCTGACTCTTCAATGGTCTGCCGAAGTAACCTTCACATTGCCTGCTCTGAAGGTCGTGTTGCGATGCCGTCGTGGTCCGCCTCTGAGCTCCGAAAGCGGCCGACTGGACTTTATTGCGCAAGCTGAAAAGGTCGATGATGGTGTTGTTATTGGCAGAAGAGAGCTTTGTCGGATCCGGGACTATGTGTAGACAGTCAAATGAACCCGTGTTTGGAAAACGGTATGAGGTGATGCTCTAGACGATTGCGCAATTGAGGGCTCGTCTTTGTCTTTGTGTTTTGGCCCAGACCATTGGAAACTATGCCCTGAATCGTCGTCGCACGCCAAGGTGTGCTCGTCGAAATCTGGGTCGATCACGGTCGCTGCTGATACAAGTGCTGCTATAATAATGCGCTGCCGTGAATCGTCGGGACTGTCGACAGACAGTCACGTTGTGGTGGTGCCACCTCTGTGCACGATGACCACAGTAGTGGTGGACCAGCGATGGCCTAGGCCGTGTTTGGCCGACGGCTGCTCCCATCTCGCCTAGCTGCCAGGATGTGGCCACAAGCTCTTGTGGCTACACCGTGGCTGTGGTCGTGGACAGCTGAGGAGGTAAGGTACGTCCCTCCCGGATCTTAGCGGCGCAAGGCTGAGCCGGCAAGAATCCTCCTCACTTCCGTCCTAAACATTATTTGAGCACTTGAAGGCTTTGAGCGACCTTGCAGTGAAGGGAATATGTCCCCCCACCAGAACAGTCACTAGAAACCACCTGTAGCATCGACATTTTCTGTTCCGAGGAGCAGGCCTCGGCCTCCTTCATCCTTCAAGATCCACACAACTCAGCTCAAACGATGAGCTCATCRGAAGAAGAGCAAGACTCCACATCCYCACGTTCTCCTTCTCYAGCCCTATCACTAGAGGAACAGGACCAGGACCCTTCCCCACCGGCACTAGATGGTCTAGTTCTGTACTTTGTTGCCGCCAAGCGATCCCTCACCTCTACCTCTCACGTCTACAGAGCGAATGAGCTAGTCACTCATTCACGCTCACTGGTTGAGGAGATTGCTCTACTCAATGCCAAGAATAGCTATGCTCGTAGAGCCTTGTCCGAACAGGTCGGGACCTTGAAGGCTGCCCGGGATACCATCATCGACGAAGATGAGCGGATTGCCACGGACTTTGAAGGGAAAGTTCTAAAGCTCGACGCGGCTCATGATAGGTTGAGTAAAACGTTGGATGGACTGAGAAATACCATCGTTGCTGCCCAGGCCTCCTCTCCCCACCGAGAAGGGTTTCAAAGTAAGACCCTTCACGACTTCATTCAGGTTGAGAAGCATGAAGCACTCATCGACTCTATCCGCCAGGGGATAGATGTCTATCACGAGCGCCGGGGACGGGACTCCCAGGTTCCTCTCGAAGACTTCGCCGCCAGACTCAAAACCATCACCACAGCACTCTCGACTCCCGAGTCGGCGTCAGAGACTGCGGACGACAGTCTTCGGCTGAAACCCAACACGATATACTCACACAAATCAGCAGGATCTGGCGACAACATACCCGCTCTCTTCCAAACTTTGACTTCTCATGCACAAACTCTGGCTACCTTGCTAAGCCAACTGGTGAATCATTACGATCTCTGCGTTTCAGCACTCAAGCATACCGAAGGAGGAGGTGAAGCAGCACGTCTAGCTCTTGATGATGGGCAGACTGCAGCTGATGACAGTCTCTACGCCGCCCGTTTTGTGCCCATGGATCGCGAAGAGAGGGATGCCATGCTCAAGGTCCTGGTTGGAGACGCAGGAGAGGTTGAAGACGTGGTCTCAGAGATGGCAGAACTCGGTCGGGCCATGGAAGAATCACACGATGAGCTTGTCGCCCTGGCGGAAAGATCCAGATCAGAACACCGGTTGATCCAGAAGGTTCACAAGGGGTTGAAGAATCTTCGCATGACTACACTCCCGGCGCTGCTCCAGATGGCCGCTCACTTCTATCGTACATTCTACTCTGAACTGGAGGCACAATTGCAGGAGGACACCGCGGCCCTGCTGGATTTGGTACAATTTTACGAGCAGTTTCAACGAGGGTATGCTGCGCTTCTGAAGGAGGTGAGAAGGAGGGAGGATGTTCATCGGAGGGCCGTGACGGTGGCTGAGAAGGCGCAGAGAGAGCTGAACAGGCTGTTTGAGCAAGACCAAGAAGCGAGAGAAGCATTCATAGAGGATGTGGGTGACTTCATCCCCAGGGAATTAGGTGTGAGGTTTGGCATGGATGAGAAAGGGGTGCGATTCGTCGTTGGAGAGGGAGAATGAGGCATATATCTATGTTGTTTCGCTTTATAGTGAGATGCATGTTTGCGCTCAAGCATCATCTTCAGTTCACATCCATACTCTTAGGGATGCACGGTACTGACGGCCATTACGAAAGTCTCCAGAGTTTCTCTATCCCGACGTCGGTTGAAGCATACACAACGGTCTTGAGTGTATGACCACCGTCTCACCTTGAAAACGGAACAAAGACGTCCCAAATACCTATTCAAAGCAATGAGATACATTCGTACGTTTTGGAGTAGCTATAAACACGTTACAACCGATTCATTAACCCAACCCTAACCCTAGACGAAAACCTCTGTCCCCAATATCGGACGGGGTGGAACGGCGACGACATTGTAGCGACAATGCTCAAAGACAGATATTGACAGACCGCCTCCAGAGTGAATACGAGCATGATGCATTGACAATGTGTCTGCTGTTCCTAAGCTTGAATCTAGTACATTGCATACGAAGTGTTAGCCTCTGGAAGATACGAGCTGACATCACTCTTACCTGACTTGCAGATGCTGAGAGTCGAGGCACATGCCTGTATGGAGGTAGGTAGTCAGCCGCAAAATGCCTCCCTGTGGTAGCTTTCATTGATCTACATGTAGCTATGGAAGCAAAGACGTCGGAGTTACATCCACCTCTGGTCTCGATGCACCACGCCTGCGGCCTACCTTTCGGGGCTCATGATGGAGAAAGCAAAATCTAAACATAGCAACAGGGATCGCTCGGCTTCGGCCCGCCTGAGCACGTTCCCCACAGGGTCTTCATCCAGACTTTCCACACCTTCCATGTATGCATAGCATGACTGCTGTACATGCCACATGCCACATGCCACTACACTATATGTCTACACCGCAAGTTCGGAAATACATGTAGGGAATGGATACGACGAAACCGCTTCCCCGACGGTTTCCGACCCGTTCATTAGTCACCRTTGAGCAGCTCTGGACTCGAGTTTGTTCAGTCTCTCATCAACTCACGAAGCAGGATYGACCGCTTGTCCGCGGGGCAACACCACATCCAGCGTCTTAGCTCCATGTCGTCGACAATACGAGGCACACGGTGGGATCAACACCAGGGCAGCTAGCACTGTTTCTCGCATCGCATACTCTCCGGGGAATTCTTACCACGTCACGAAGTCACGGTGACACCCAAAAATGGAAAGGGCACTAGCTTCACGCCAATGCTCACTTCCTCTCGTAATGAAGAATGTACTTGCCTACCGGTGGTATGAAGAAGGAGATATATAACTGCACCTCCCTTCCATTCCAGTCTTCTTCTTCCATCAACAACAACATCTTCTCATCAACAAGCCATYCAACAACATCTTCCACATCAACAACTCAACTTCTCCAAATCACATCAACCAAACAACCACCCACCATCAAAATGCAGTTCACCACCACCTTTCTCGCCGTCTTGGCCACCGCTGGCAGCGCTCTTGCCGCTCCAGCCCCGGCTGCTGATGTCTCTATGATGGCCGCTGGCTCTACCTGGACCATGCAGAACTTCAAGCGTGCCTGCGCCAGCGGCACCTGCAACTACAGCTTTGCCATCAACACCAACGACGGCTCTGCCGCCACCGCTTGCGCCTACAAGGTCACCGGTAACCCAGCCAGCCGTGCCTCTTACCAGAACGTCAAGTGCGGAGCCTTCACCATCGGCAGCAACTGGAGCGGCCAGTTCGGCGAGGGCAACGGCTTCCAGACTCTCTCGGTCGTCCGCGGCAAGCAGATCCTCTACCCGGCCTACACCGACAAGCAGCTGGCCAGCGGCCAGGTCGTCAAGCCTGACCAGAGCTACACCCCTCAGAACCTTTCTTAGGTTCAACCCAGCATTGAGATGCGAGAGATGGAGATGAGCAAGGGGCATGGATTGAGCCATTGCTTTTGGCGAAATGTTACGACAACGGAAATGACAGCACAGCAGCATACAGATAATCAATAATGCATCGTCTTTCACATACTTCAGACTACAGTCTCAATCGTCAAATAACCTACTTTGCTTTGATGACCAGCCACGGTATCGAGCTGGGGATGAGTATCGTGGCGCATCAAGAGGCCTCTCTGATTCAATGAAGACAGTGCTCCCATGCCAAGTATCGAGTTCTTGCTTGCTCTCTACGGTGTGCTTTGCACTTTCTCTCTCTCTATTCAGAGCAAGGGCCAAAAAACAGGGTTGTTCATTGTGAAGCGACTGCCACGTTAAGCCACCCAGACCTAAGATTGCATCCTCTAGCAAGACCACACGTGTTCACCTCACACATGCCGCTCTGCTGGATCTTTTGAACAATGCTATCGTTTTGAGAGCCAATCCTTCGGGAGAGGGACTCTAGCTAATGCGTTGGCAGATGGTTCCGAGATGGTTACTCGAGAGACTGAGAAGGGAATTGAATTTCATCAAAAAGTTTCACCATCCAACTCCATCCATGCCAAGTCATAACCGCTAGCTACCAGACAAGTCGTCGAACAAACCCTCTTAAAGATTGGAAGAGCCACGACAGACTTCCATATGGCATGCCTCTTCCTTTAGCCAGTCAAAGGACATCCACGACCTCCACAACATTCGCAGTGGCTTTCTTCTTCAGAGGGTCCTCGTGCTCACTCTTGTGGTGCGCCTTGAGGCGGAGAATTTCCTTCTTCGTCTCTGCGTGTTCGTTCCTCTGGCTGGCAAGCGTATCCTTGTACTCCACCTCATTGTCTTTGAGCTCCTTGATCTTCGCCTTGAGGTCAACTCGGACACTGTTGACCTCTGTGTCCATGGCATCAAGCTGTGCTCGGACTCTCTCAACCTCTTTTACCTTGGCCGCGAATTCTTTCTCATTCTCCTGCGTCTCCTTGATCTTCTCTTTCAGATCAGCTCGGACCTTGTTGACTTCAATGTCCATGGCATCGAGTTGTGCTCGGACTCTGTCAACTTCCACTCCTTTGGCGGCGATCTTCTCCTCCCTCTTCACGATTGTCGCCTCCTTCTTGACGATAGTCTCGTCCTTGGCCTCGATCGTTTTGCGAAGCTCGACAATCTTCTCATTGGCTTTCTCAAGGTTACCATTGGTGGTCTTGAGATCAATCTGGAGCTGCACCTTCAGCTTGGTCTCCGCTGCCAGATCCGCGGTAAGTTTGGCTACTGTGGCCTGAGAAGCAGTGAGCTGCTCGCGGGTGGCATTCAGGCTGGCTTTCGTAACAACGAGCTCCTGGTTGGCGGCATCGAGAAGATCCTGAAGCTGGATGCATCGCGCCTCGGCCTTGACAGCACGTTCCTCAGCCTGTTTGATCTTCAAGTGATCTGCAGAGATATGTTTGTGATCCGCTTCGATGTGTTTCTTGTAGTCGCCATCACGTTTGATGTCGTCCACTTTGTCCTTGGCAATGTAGGCTTCGGCGGCGGTGAGTGCTGCTTGGGCTTCTTTGAGTTGCTTCCTCAGGAGATCCTCACGTTTTTTGGCCTCTGTGACATCGCGTGCACGCTGCTTCTCAAGCTCGGTGTACTTGCTGTTCAGACCGCGAATTTCCTCTTCGTGATCCCTCACGTGGCATTGGAGGTCTTTGATCTGCTTGGACCTATTCTCAGCAGTTGTATGGAGATCCGAGTGAGCCTTCTGGAGTTGCTCGAACTGGCTCAGAGCATGCTTGGCAAGGTGTGCTGCGTGGTCAACATAGGCAGCAGAGTAGTTCAGGGCCTCGGAGATGTCCGAAGGATATGGGAGAGCAGTAGTAATTCTCTTGATGGAGGATATGGGCTGAGGTAGGCTGCACTCCATGGATAGCTTCTCCTGCTTAGGCTGCGAGGGGTGAAAATAGTGGAACATGGTGAGTTGTGGTGAATGTTGATGAGTGAAGGTATGTATATGATCGAAGGATGAAGAGCTCCTCGCTCGACCGAATGATGAAGGTATTGAACGATGGAGATGAAGATGCTGAGTGAAGATGATGGACGGAACTCACTAGATCTTGATTCTTTTATATTCGAAGCCTGGTCATGGTGAAGCTGTGGCCCAGACATCGCATATGTCTTGCTGCCATCCACACCCAGCTGCATCGACGCCCACAGCGCTTCTCATGTCAGCCATGGGGTGATGCTGGCGAAGCGATACCATGAGCGACTGGTTGTGGACCAAAACGGAAGGCAGAGATTCGCAAACACTCTCATAGAGCTCGGCGAGTCCGCGCAACCGAAGCCGAGTTACATACACCGCATTGGRCGTTTCCGTAGGGGAGAGGACACCCAGACCCCTTCGGTACCGCAGCCAGACTTTGTCCTGCAGGAGACAGGCTCGAAGCGCTGAATGATGTGCCAACCTGTATAGGTCTGGCGGTGTTTTGTCAATGTGGCCTCGAAGTTCACGAAGTTTGCAAAAGCCCGCGGATGACGATCTAGATCGAGCCACGTGCATCTTGGCAATAAATCAGTCTCTTTCAGGAAGGCGCATCATCCCGTCTCCTCTTCTCACAACAACGCCTCGAACGCTCAGACCCGCAGTCCACGAGCGAGGTCACGCCATGTATGCGCAAGACGAGATGCCATTTGCGGACTGCGCATGTTAACTCTCCGAGTGGCTCTCCACGTGTACTCGCTTCGAATGCAAGCCACCGGCATCCCCGTACACTGACCTCAAGACATGGACATGCATGGCGAACGGAGCAGAGCGATGATTGTGCGCTGCCATTACTCAAAGGCCAGAAGTGCTGGAGGTAGCATCTAGACGCAATTCTACATGCATGCTCAACAGTGTACTCCCTCTACTGTGGCTATATATCCCGTCGAGCAGAAGGCACCCATCTCATTTCGTTCATCTCTATCTCTCATCCTCTCTCCTTTACCATTTCACATAAACACACAGTCCTTGGACGCCATCGTAAATCCTAGTTTACCTCGAGCGGCCGCAAACATGACTACACACGAGACTCCAGCCACCTTCGCGGAGAAGCTTGCTGGTATTGATGTCAATGTCACCGAGATCGAACCAGAGCTGCCCGAGGCTCAATTTGACAGACTTACCATGCGAAGCCCAATACCTCACCATGTTCCAACCACCACCATTGATACTTGCGCGGCCGACGGGATAACATATCGTCCTCGCGATATAAGCCCAGCGTATTCTGCGCGAAGCTCATTCAACTCTTCCCGTCGTCGAGTCACCCGACACTCCCATTCGGAATGGAGCCACAGTCACCACCGCTCAGAAGTCTCCAAGGAGATTACAATCCAAGCAGAGAGCGAGTTCTCCGCTCTGATGGAGCTCATGGCCGGAATATCCAGACGTAGTACCTCTTTGAGAGACGTTTGGCACAAGATCATCTCGGAGCGCGATACTTGCTACTTGGAGATGGAACGTATGCACGAGCGGATCGAAGAGTATACCGAGACCATCGAGCGTATCGAACGCGATTCTCACAGCCATGTTCATGAGCACGATGAACGCAAGGCAGAGATCAACAAGCTCAAACTTGAGATAACAGCTGCCCTTACAAGCGCTTCCGAGTATAAGAAGAAGCTTTGGGATCGTGACTGTGAGCTTGGCGAGGCCCGTCGGGAGCTCGCAGAGTCGAAGGACGTCTACAAGTACCTCAAGGAGGAGCATGAGAAGACCGAGACCACTTTGGAGGAGACCACTCTTCTCCTCGCCGCTACCCAAAACCGCTGCAAGCATGCCGAGGATGATGCCAGGCGTCACGAGTGCTTCCTCAGGGATGTACAAGAATCGTACTCGGAGCTCGAGACGAAGTATTCTGAGACGACCACCAAGTATGAGTCCACAAAGGCAGAGTTCACCAGCGTCAAGACGAGTCACGATATCCTCAAGAAGGAGAAGCATGAGTGGTTGCATGAGAAGGGTGAGCTTGAAGAGCATCTTCGCAAGTGCAACCACCGTCACGACGAAACCAAGCGTAAGCTTAGAGAGATTACCGAGCACTACGAGTCAGTAGAAAAGGAGTTCAATGAGAACGTCGAAAAGAAAGAACGCGAAATTCGTGAACTTCATGAGAAAGAGTCCAAACTCAGGAGTGAGAAGAAGGAGCTCGAAGAAAGGGTCAAGATCATCGCCCGCAACTATGACGACGAGCACTGCAAATGGGAGGATGCCGAGGAACGCTGCGGGAAGTGGAAGCTCAAGTGGGAGCACWCTGAACGTGGGATTGTTTCCATCCGCGAGGAGCTTCGCGTCATCGAGATCAAGCAGACCGAACTCCGCGAGACCGTCACCAAGAAGACTGAGGAGGTCAAGAAGATCACCAAACTCAAGGAACACTTTGAGCGTGACTACCACGGCAAGTGCAAGGAAGTTGATGATTACCACCGCGATATCCTCGTGTTTAAGGAGACGATCCGTCGACATGAGTCCACCATCAAGGAGAAGTCCGAGGAGATTCATACTCTGACTGAACGGATTGAGCGCTATCAGACTGAATGCGAGTCCTACCGTACCAGATGCGATGACTTCGAAGCCGAACTTACAACCTTGCAAGCTCTTGTTGTGACACTCAAGCTTGAAATCAGCACAGCCAACAGCGAGCACGAGCACGCTCAGAAGAAGCTTCACGAGTGTGAGACTCGCTATCAGGAGGTCTGCGAGACTTATGAGGAGTACCAGGAAGGTAACTCTGGATTTGAGTTCCAGATTTCTCAGCTTCGCACGATGCTCCGTGAGGTCCGCGAGGAGAAGGAGAGGGCAATCTCTGCTCGCGTCACTGCCGACCATGATCGTGATTTTGCCGTTGCGAGGTATGAGGCGAAATGTAGGGATCTGGAGCAGATGGAGGAGCACTACTYTCACTACTTCTCTTCGAGTGGTGGCAGTCGATCTGGAGGTCGGACCATCATCAGACGGTCTGGTAAGAGCGGGAACACGACTTGTGGTGATGAGACGGCGTCGGTTATTTGTGATGGGACCGATTGAGAGATTGTTGTGGATGGTTTCGGGGTGGAATATTCGCTTTATACCATTGATGCCACCTGATTTGTTCGTTTCCATACATCCAACTACCTCGTGTCTTCCATAACTTAGTGCTCCGGAGTACATGTTCGAGGGAAGTGATGTTGGTGTTGGATCATAATCTAAATACTTTATTTCATTTGTCGGCCAAACTTTGTTCCGGAAGYAAAAGTGCCAGGTCCAGCACCTCGTCTTCACATCTCCGAGCATCACATCCAATGTCGAAGCGCATCCGCCTCTCCGCCTTCTCCGCGCCTCGATGTTCGCATCCGAATCTGCAATCATGCAGCGCCCTCCAACACACCACCGTCCGCGGTAACCCATCCCTCCAATGCCTTCGCCTCAGACCACGACAACCCTTCTCCACCACCGCCCAGCACCGCGTTGGCGCATCCCGCATGGTCACGGCAGGGAAGAAAGCACAACCCAGCATGTCCATCCAGATGAAAGCTCAACAAGAGGCAGCCATGCGAGATGGCAGCATGCTCGACCACTTGGGAGTTCTGGACAACACCTACGTGCCACCTTCGGGCAAGAACCTCCCCTCATATTTGACCAATTTCCGCGAACGATGGCAGCTCCAGAAATACAGACTTTTCTCCTTCCTCGACGGCATAAAAGCCTACCCTATGGCCTACTGGACGGTCAAACCCCGGCCAAAAATGGAGAAGCGCAAGATCCCCTCCATCACACAGAACTTATACGAGCAAATGTACAGGCACTTTGCTGCGGGGACAATAGCGCAATTGGAGACGAAGGTCTCCCCGGGATTGATGTCGAGTTTGCGAAATCGGATGTCGGCCCGCGCGCCGAACAGCGCGCTGGTGTGGCATTTACACAAGTATTTTGGGAAGCCGGAGATTGTGAGTTTCAAGTTTGTGTTGATGCCGGGGGGTAAAGCAGATGACAAGAGTGGGATTGAGCAGGCTGTGGTGAAGATTAAGAGCAAGCAGAGTCTGCAGCACATTGAGCGCGTGAGGACGAGGGAGCCGAAAGGGATGGCGGTGAAAGAGGTGGTGGTGGATGGGCAGGGAAAGCCAGTGCCGGTGCATCAGCTGGAGGAACATCGCGAGCGAAGTGCCAAAATTACGACGGAATATGTGGTTGTACAGCGTTTCCTGAAGAAGAGCGAGTTTGGACCTTGGCATCTTTGGGGAACTACGGAGGAGACGAGCGTTGCGAACATGAAGAAGCAGGCAAAAGCGTTTCGGGCTAAGATGGCCCAGCAGCAGAAGATGCAGGCTGCGAAGTGATATAGACCACCTACCTTCTTGTACAATATACGCACCTTGTTGTACGATAATTCACATAAGGGATGTTCCTGACGATACAGATCTCAACACAGGGACAATAGGTGTGGATAATTCTGCAGWTGCACAGCATTCTCGCATGAGAAAACTATCGAGTTACAGCATGCCGATTCTCTCCCATAGTCGTGCTTGATGTGCTTGATGTGACTCTCCGCACCGTAGCAAGCAAACAAGAAAAGTAAAGCAAAAGCAACCGTAGGAAGGGTACTGATGACCTCTCGCTCCATCCCAGTCAATACGCCCGCTGTATGCCATGTCATAGCCAGATTGGCTGCCGTAATCGTATGTCGTCGTAGTGTGGCCGCGCGAGTCCAGATTGCTGGCTGGTGTAGCCAAAAGACCGAGCCATGCGCGGCGAAGTGCTTATCCCTACGACGCTCCCATGACAGACATGGGCGGCGAGCGCGACATGATCAGATTGTGGGAGAGTCTAGAAACCGTGGACCTTGATGGTCTTGGCATCCAGCTCGAGGCCCTCCTTCTTGTCAGTGAGGAATTCCTGCACATCCTTGCGCTGGTCTCCCTGCAACTGGATCACCTCTCCCATCTCCGTGTCGACAACGATGGTGCCATTACACGCAAACTTCTTCTTGATGACCTTGAGAATCTTCTTCTGGTCGAACTTCTTGGGCAGTCCTTGGACCGTGGTCAAGGTCTTGCGTCCATTGCGTTCTGCGGGGAAGAATTAGCGGGGTACGTCGGAAATTGCAGCGCGCCAGGACAACGTACGCTGGATACGGATGTGGATGTAGTTTCCAGACTGCTTGGTCTCCCCGGTGTCCTCATCGGCTTCCGCGAACGGGTCTGTGTCACATGGCAGGTCAGCACGTGTGTCATACCATGGCCTCGCCTCCGAGAGGCAGGCTGCGCGCGCCAACATCCTTCCGCCGCCGCTGCCCGCGCCACGGCATATTTCGCGCCGATTTCGAGTCGAGGCAACGCGTAGCGGAAGCGGGCGGCGGAGTCGCGGCGGCGTCGCAAGGCTGGAGGCAGGAGGGCGTCAAAAGAGGGGAAAATACCAAAAGATTGGAGGTTCTGAATCGTTTGGCCGGACATGTACAGTGCGTATTGGGGGGGTTGCGGGTCGGTGGTATTGGTTTGGTTGGTTGGTTGTTGGTGGGCAGGTGTGAGAGTTTGTGAATTGGCGGATGATGTTGGAGGGGCTCGAATTGCAGCACGAGGAACTTGTGGTAAGGTAACGAACGTGAGTACTTTCGGGCCGTTCCGTCTGCCGCCGCTGTCGTCGCTGCCGTTTCTATCAAGCAGACGGAGCAAGAGCAAGTGCTCCCATGGGCCTCATCTGTCACACGCGACTATGACTGGCCATCATCAATGATTCGTGCACTAGGTAGCATCGACCAGGTCTACCTTAAGTTGTCCAGGCACATGCACTTCGCCCGATATGAAGGCTGGAGGCCGTGAGACCGAGGAGATATTACAGAAAAGGACCTCTCCATCTTTCTTGTTGGAGGCATCTCGCTCCTCCCGTCGTGGGCTGGAACGTTGATCACGATACCTTGGAGTAGTTATGTTGGCCATATCGCCGTGGTGGAATGGCGAAACATCTGCACTGCCTGTGAAGACATTTCGGAAACTATACCTTGCCCGGTCTTCCGAGGATTACCTAGTACTCAAGCAAGCCCAAGGCCATGGAAACACGATTGGAAGTGCTGAGGTAGCGCTCCTGCCACAGACGAACAATTTGAGGAGTACAATACACTCGGAGAATGGACGCTGCCGTCGCCACCGTGCGCTGACAGCACTGCTACACGCTTACTCACAGCATGTGGGTCCCAGGCCAATGCCAAAGGGGCGGGCCACATGTAGGTGTCAAATCTATCTAGCATCGTTTCATCGCCGACTCATCTATTTGCGATACCATCGAGCTTTACTCAACGGCCTTTCCCCCTTTCGCAAGTACGTACCTCTGAGTGAGGTGGTGTGCGTTGCATCTTGGGGTCTTCCGACCCCTGTGTCGTGTCCCTGCGGAGAGGTACCTTGCTCATCCTGACGCTCAGTCGTTCAACTCGACTGGACTGCATCCGCATGAACGACCAAATGCATCGAAGAAGCACATATGAGGGCTACTCACCCAATTCCCGTGGGCTGTTCGTTCACATCGACATTGTCAAGACTTGGTCCCCTGGAAGGGAGGGTCACACGATCTCTTTCAACCTACGGATCACCGCCACCTTCACAAAGCGTCGTGGAAATTCTTTGTGGACATAGCTAACATGTCAGCAGGACCTCTTTGTCTGGAACAATGCATTACAACTCCCTTTGTCGCCCGCAGGGTGTAGAGGAACACTCCACTCCTCACCCACTTGTTCTACTTCTTCTTATTCTTCTTCTACCACACTTTCTTAAATCTGACCTCCAAACACACAGACTCCGGCAGTCATAAAAGCAAACATGCAATACATCGCAATGACCCTCCTGGCTCTCCACAGTGCGCTGGCCGCACCTGTCGCCATCAAGGCACCGGCATTCGCTGCCCCCAACTCCGACTCCGCAACATGCGTCGGCTATACCAACACGGAAAGCCTGACGCACGACTATTCCAAGGCCTACTTCCAGGTCAACGTCGGCCGTCCATTTCTGGGAGGCGGTCGATGCGACGAGCTCAAGGCCAAGATTGAGACCAAGTTTAACATTGCAGGCAAGCTCAGCTGTAAAGGAGGCGACAACGACAAGAACACTGTGCTCAAATTCAAGAGTGATTTGAACAAGGAAAACTTGAAAATGGTCAACGCTGGCTTGAGTGCCGCGTATCCCGAGATCAGGTTCACATGTCCTACTGACGTTCGTTCGTAAGTGTAAGTACTTGCTTTTTCCGTGCGTTTTACTGCGGTCGAAAGTCTGAAGTTTGGGTCCAGAGTCTAACACTTTCTATACTTTGAGGATGAGAGGTAGTACCAGTCTTCAGAGCGCACCCAGCCATTTCAAAACTGGCACCTGACCGAGGCATTTTTTTCCCTCATCAACCAGATGGACAAATAAAAGACCACGCCTCGTACAACCGCAAGCGAAAACCACAACCACAATCACCATAACAAGGACACCAATCAGACCGCTATTGAACAGCTGGTCATCATGACCACCATGTTCACTCCTCAATCGGCGCCTGCCTGGGGCTCCACCAAGTCGGCTTTCGCGCGCCACAAAGCGATCATACCAACGATCACAGTCACCGACATCGACAACGTTACGAGAACGGTCGAGCACGCATCGGCTATGCAAGACATTAAAATATTGAAGCAGAATATCGATGAGAACGACCGGAGCATCAGCTGGAGCTTACATAGGGGGAGTCGACTACACACCTTGTCTCCGAAGATTGCTACTGCAAGAAGTTTTGACGAGGAATTGAATATCTTGGAAAGAGTTTTGTACGTTGAGGAAAGTCGATGTGAAAGAAAGACGCGCAAGGAAGAAAGGAGTGCTAGGATGAAGAGGTTTCTGAAGCGATTCATCCGGTGTTGTTAGTGAGTATTGGTTGGTGCGGAAAAATTTCGCAAGAAGACAGCTGTTAAAAGCAAAAAGACCAACAAAAAAACTATTGAATAGGTTGTTGAATGGGTCCTGCTACGGCAAACACGCTTCGTGGCCCAGGTTTGGACTGGAGAGCAAAAAGGGCGACAGGCAAAAGGCAAAAATAATTTATGTTCAGGTTCTGCCCAGGATTGAACAGGGCTTGTTGATGTGTATCTCCAGTTTTGACGTACTATATCATGACTCTCGGTGTGATACGATTGTTATGCAATGTGGAGACGACTTTCACTCACCAACATCAACGCTAAATAAAATTGTAAACCTTAATTTGGAAATCGTCGTTACGCTGTGTCGCCCACAGTCAACGCGTGCACAACACACAACTAGACATCGATTGAATATGAAGCACCTTACGATACGTTTCCTCGCATAGCAATCGACAACACCGTTCGTTGACCATTTTCGAGGTTATTGCTTGCAAAGGCCGAAGAGGGTGCAAGCTGTACTTTGGGCCTTCACAGGTCTGATCTCGTCTTCTTACAATCGACAGCTAATCATCATATCCTCGCCATCCGGAGTCATGTGTCAGCACAGACCGAAATATTGACTGATGCATATATCATCTGACGCTGTAAATAAATGCCTTGAATGATAAAATCTGCATTATAAAACATTGCCACAGACTCCATCCTAATGACTGAAACTTTCTTATCTATCGTTGGTATTTTGAGTCTCCGGGACCATCTGCCCTTGAATGGCATCGACAGTCACCAAAGGGACAACCTCCTCTTCTGAATCCTCCGTCTCGGACCACTACTAGGTGACCACTCTGCAGTCCGGACTTCGAGTTGTGATCAATCTTGACTTCGAAATCGAGGTCTCGCAGGACGTTATCATGAGGAGAATAGGAGCCTGGAAAGATTTGGGCTCAAAGATATGATCTGCGGCCAAGAAAGAACTATTCGTAGATCGACTGAGAAGTTATTCGTAGATCGACTGTGCCGCCAACACATCTTGCGAGCCAAGGAAGAAGAGCAGGACACATTGGCCTGCGGGACATTGACTATTCCGCCCGCGACCAACGATCAATTCGGACAGCACTCGGAAGGATCGAGACGAGAGCCATACATATGAAGAAAGCAGACGAGGAGGGAAGTCATACAATGCCAACTCTCGTATTTCGCTCTCTCATCTCGATTATTAAGCACCTACACACTCATATATGCATGCATCGCCATTCGACAAACATTAAGTACTCCAATCTTTCCTCCAAGCATGCAAGCAACAGAAAAAAGCAACGACTCGCTCGCTCGTTCGATGCAAGAGGTATCTCCACACGCGCAGACGCACCCAAGAATACACGCACGCTTATGCAATCGCAACAGCAGAAACAGACCCAATTGAACAAAAGAAACCGACGTCGCCTCAAACGTCCCCTGTCCGCCTCGAACTTCTCTCCTCTTCTTCCTCCAACACATCACTCAGTCTTGTTGGATGATGATGTCGAGGAACATACTGCTGATACCCCTCGAATCCCTGACCTTCATAATCCGGTCCTTCTCTATTGCCTTCAGGAGCATCCGGTGCTGGGACTCTGCCCTCACCATCAAAGTCTTCTTCCTCGTCGCTGACATTACCGTCCGCTCTACGAGAGTTGAAGACTACCGGCTCTCCGTGCTCGTCTCGACGGATGTTGCCGCTCGGGTCGATGGCGTATTCCGTATCACCCTCGCTAGTCACGTAGCTGGCTTCAGAACGGACCTCTTCCGTTCGGACACGAGGCTCCTGTCGGGCCGCGACCTGAGGAGCATTCCCTTGTTGATAGAAGCCCTTTCCGCTTCCACTCGAACCGGAAGCAGATCCCGCTGTAGTTGTAGCGGCGCGATGAACGGCAGCAGTCGTCATCGGCTGTTGCTGAGCAGAGGTGTTAGCCATAGCGGCGAATTGGTTCGCGCTGGGGGCCGCTGTCGGAAGATAGTCTCTTCCAGATGAAACCTGACCGCCTCTTGCGCCTTCGGTGAAGGGGTCCGTGTTGGTAGGACTGGCAGCCGAAGCGTGTTGCGCTGTGGTGAGGTCCTGGTGGTAGTATTGTCCATCATCACCATCCCTGTCACTCTGTACAAATGCACTCCTCGCGGCACCACCTTGACTAACACTCGTTCCGCCCTGTCCAAACCACGGAACCACCTGCACCCCTCCCAYGATCGTCACTCGTCCCTCTTTCAGACTTTGACTGAGATCGAGAGATTCCTGGTTTCTCCTACCTAGCTCCTCCCATGCTCGTCGCGCTTCGTCTTTGCTGATCGCAAGCTCCCTCCTCATCTCGGCTACTTCTCTCCTAGCAGCCTCCACCTCCTCACTATTCACTACATGGACAGCGGAAACTTCTTCTCGGATTTTCCGCTCCTCAGCCAAACTCCTCTCCAACCCTGCCTGCACTTCTCGGCTTCGCTCGTTATCTGCTCTTGTCTCGAAGAACCATCTCTGAAACTTCCGCTCACTGCTCGCTCGCAGTCTCTGCAACTCTACAACGGCGTGGAAGAGATTGGCACCAGCAGCCGACAGATCCGTAATCTGTCGATTCAAGGTTGAGGCATTGGGAACCGTCTCGCGAATCTCCTCCGTGTTCGACTCCAGTTTATGAAGCCAGTACGAGGTGAGACCTTCCCAATGTGATGAGAGAGTTTCCCATCGCTCAAAGGCGTGAGGGAAGGAGGAAGTTGTGTTGCGCTGGGAGTTGCTTTCCTGTGGAAGGGTCGCCGAGGTCTGTTTGAGAGGAGATGGTTGGACGGGTGCGGGGGCAGTGTGTTGCTGCGTTCGGCGAGTTGCGCCTGCCGTTGCGGGACGCGGTTGATCGACTTGTGACATGCTTGCTCCTCGGCGATGAACTTGGTCTACTGAAGACCGACCCGTCGGTTCACCCAGCACGTTGGTTCCAGCGACTTCCCCAGCTACGCGGGAGTAACGATCCGAAGATCCATCGAATCCACCGGTCTGCGCCGAGACATCAGGACTGTACTGTGATGAGGTGTTACTGAATCGAGGTACAGCTCCAGGTACCGTGGGTATTGTCGCCGCCCTCCGCTCCGCACTTTTCCTCCGCTCCTCACTTCTCCTCTTCTCGTCCGCACGTTTCTGGTCTTCTTCCTGCCGCCGAGCTTCACGCGTAACGCGATCGCGCATGATGTCTCGTGGCGTGCGGATACCGGCGGGTGTGCTCCCGCCTGGAACAGGTACGGGACCGGTAGTCCGGACGCCGCCATTGCTCGCGCGACCACCAAGATCCGACATTTGTGCGTTCTCCTCCCACTCGTCAATGGTAAATGGGTTGGGCTTGCGGACAGCCTCTTCCAATGCGTAGAGGATGGCAGAGTGCGTACGCCGGGAGATGCGAAGTGCGGGATGTGGGGTGGATGTGCTGTAGTGAGCGCTGGTTGCTCGCCGGTGGCTTCGTGGGGTTTCTTCTTGTCGTTGTTTGGTGTCAGACCTCTTGAGCGATTCGAGAGATGATGAGCGCAGTCGCGATGATCGCAGTTCTTCTCCAGCAAAGCGATTCTTTCGTCGAAGTGACTGTGTTCCCACACTTCCGGCCGACGATGAGGCACGCGAGAATTCTTGCAAATGCGGCGCAAAGTGGATGTCAGCCTGTTGCTGCTGGCGGGCTAGATGCGATGTAAAACGGTCGTTTCTCTCGTTTCGGGCGTCTCGGTCGTTAAAAGTCGCTCGATATGTCGACACGGCTGCTCTGGTGAAGGAGATATTGGGTGTTGTGTGATGCGCGCGCAAGTAAGCAGATGATGATTATCGGTCGGTTCAATGGTTCGGGTCGATCGTCGGGGATGGGCGACCAGGATGCTGGGCTGGTGCTGGTGCTGCTAACAGCGCGCTATGCGCGAGTGCAGACAGTGGTGCGTCTGGGCTCTGCGCGTCCAGATCATGCGGTAAGCGAATGTGAGGAGTGAGACAAAAACGACAACGGCGACGACAATTGAAGGAGAGGAGATCGATCCATGGTCCGGAGGGAGGTGCGAAGCAGCAGGGGCAATGAGTGAACAGAAAGGGAAAGCGTTTGTCGCGTGTCTGCGTGTGCTGGGGGTAAATGCACGAGGTTGGACGCGATAAAACTGCGGTGGCTGGRGGTGACGGAATTGCGTGGCTTGACGTGAATTGAGTTTGGCCCGGACCCAAGCGCGTCAAGGCAGGTACGAAGCAAAATGATGGGCAGATTGATGGAGATTGAATCTGTGTTGTGCTGGACTGACCTTGACATGCACAATGCTGTTCGGTCGCTTCGCGAATGCAGTACCGGTCCGTCGGGGATGTCAAGTCAATGGAGTTGGTTGGCGGTTTCCCGGCGATGATGCGTTGGATGCGTTGGCACTGCGGAAACGAAACGATTTCTTGGCTGCATCGTCAAACCATCGCGGGAGACTCCCTAGCGCAGGGCAGTTCCGTCGTTCGTCTCTTGTGCCTGGCCTCGTGATCTTGATTGACAAACGAATGGTGAAGGACTGCTCAGACGCGAGGCAAACACGACGAGGAGGAAAGGTCATCTCTCACAACAACGACAAACCTGCTCCGGCAACCCGCGTCCTCTATACCCGGATGGCTGTTCGCAGGATCGCTGCCAGCGCACAGCATGCACCCCCTGTCCGCATGTCGAGCGTGTGTGCACGTACGGCGCACGTTCAGGCGAGGCGGACGTTGCAACCCGGTGTGAGGATCTCCTTGCCGGCGCGTGGTTGCGCAACATGTTTCCGCAAACCCCGCTAGGCCGCCAGGGAGCAAACGATGGTGATGATGATGATGATGATGATGATGATGATTGAAGAACGAAGAAATGAAAGCTTTTGTTATCTTATTGTTTCTCCCCTTGCCGCAGCTGCTTGCGCCCGCGAGCCTGGTAGAGTGGCAGAGACATGTCCAACCAATCACCAGCCGGAGAAGCTTGCTTGGGCTGGTGCTCTCCACATGAACCAGGATTGGTGGTTGTGGCTGATGGGTGTTTGTCAATAGTTCGGGAGGAGACCGGGGTGTCCCTCATATATATGATATTGCGGAGCGGAGCGGAGGTGTTTGAGTTTGAGGTGAGTGACCCGTTTTTGATCAAACACTGACATCTGCTTTCGGTTTCGGACGGACCTTGAACTCTTATATGTGTATGTCCAGAACTTTTCATCGGACGTATTCTATCGGTACAAGGTAGTGTGCGAATATTGCCCTTTCTGATTTCTACCCGTTCAATCCAGCAAAATTCTTCGACCAGTTTTCTAGACGCAAGGCCAGATTCGTCGCGTCTTTCAAAATACTTCCCTCAATCGGCAGCGCCAAGATCCAACTCCGCAGTCTTACTCTCAGCTTTCGGAGGACGTGGACCACTCGTAAGCAGAGCTGCGAGCTCACCATCGTCGTTCCAGCGTATCCATGAGATATCCTAGCATCCATGTCAGTCTTAATGGATCGCGGTTGCTCCTTGCTCTGACACCTAGCCAAGCGGTATAGTATCTAATGATGTGGCAGACAACATCCACGGCTCACTCAGGGGTTCCGACCCGGTGAAATCTCAATCTAACAGCTCGATGATAGAGATTGAAATCGAACTAGGTATGTCATAACCAACGTTCTAGATGAACCCTTGCTTTCTGGCATTTGCCAGAAGTACGATAGATGTTCTTTACTGAGGCAGCCAACAATGTGTTGAATGTGTGAGAGCACCTTTCTAGTCACGGCCGCGCGGTAGTTTCTCTTCAGTGTAGCTTTACGACTACCTCTTCTCTTCTTGCTTTGAAACTAGGAAGGTTGCCTTAGACAAGGTCGAGCGTGCGAGTCCTGAATCCGTGTCTCCTTTTGAGGACAACATATCCTCGGCATCGCCTCTTGATACCGTATTCATAATCGACACGATCTTGCTGTATTTGCTCAGAGTTATGGTTAGACCACAAGAGATCACTTAGTGACTCGATGAACAACAAATCATGCCAAAAATGGCAATTCGAAAAAAGAGCGTACATGGAGTACGAGCACGGCAAAGGGATAACGATCTCACTATAGCTGCCAAATCAAGCAACATTGCTTGGGGTCTGGGTTGCCACGCATATCTACAGTACGGGAAACTGCCTACACAGAAACACGCCACGGTGGTAATAATTTGAGAGAAGAAGGCACCCCCACGAAGAGTCAAAAGCGAACCATAGAGGTCAATTTTGCAGGTCAATCATCGCCTTCAGACCGTGTCGCCTCTTCAGAGCCTGGTCTCGCTAAATGAGGGCACTGAATCTCGACGAGGTAACTGAGCTCGCCGGCAATTCGAGAGAGGATCTCCGTTCGCGGGACATWCTTTGGATTGGGGGGAGTCATGCCGATACGAACAGGACCATCTGCTCCACATAGCATTGACGAGTACCTGCCTAATACATGGTAATGATACCAAAGAATGGTTTCCGTGCACGAATCTAGCCGTCCCTCGACCTAGATACTCCCTATATCAAGCGCAGCGAGAATATGAACTACCCCAACCCTAACCCTTAAGATCATAACGTCTGAGGACGCGCCCGAGCGAACAGGACAGTCTGTGATGCAGTCATGCAGACGACTATTGACCCTCAGTCCACGCTTAGATATGTTGCCAGCCTCTCTCATCACCATGGAGTAGCTAGAGACTCCTCCTGCTGTTGACGTGGAAAGGAGGAATGTGCAAGGATTGTGCCGCTCGAATGTGCAGCTCGAATCTCAAGACTTGTGAAAATGAACCCGACGCGTTCATTTAGATCCACGAGTCTCAACACCATGTTTTCACACCCCCGTATTCGCAATACCTCGAGTGAAGGCCCGACATGCCATGGATGCGATGATAATACATGCCGTCTAATCTCCATACGCTAACTCCCCCTCMCGCTGCGCCATGGCGACAATGGGTGCCCCACGAAGACTCTTCCACCAATGGCATTTGGCAGATCGCATGCAAGACGCTGGCCGAGCAGCTGTAGGAAAGGGCAAGACCGATGGAAGGTGGGATACTGGTCCAGCAGATGGTATATATATATAGGGTAGCTTCCGAAGACTTTCTGGCTGCTTTGAAAGAGGTGTAGAGTGGCCGGTGGGAGGGCTTGGAGAAGACAAACCGAGATGATGCATCTCCGATTGAAGGTATTAAAACATCTGCCGAGAGAGGGAGCGGCGGATCGATGTGTCTGGAACTGCTCGCGAGATGTAGGCAGGCAAAGTATTGAAGTGCTCCGAGGTAATGTATCATCTTCTTCGCATTCGCATTGAAAACCCAGGTCCTCAAACGYGTATGAGCAGGACATGATCAGAATGAAACGTCCGTGTGAAGAAGGCCAACGGCAAGTGAATGGGCACTTGCACTCTCACTTTCCGTTCCAAGCTCATGCCTTCTCAAGCACGTCGCGACTGCCCCCACAACTTCCCAGGGCTCCTTCCTACACTCTCATCACCACTCTGCGACCACGCGCTATCGCGCCTCAATCTTCCGTCGACGATGAAGACTGCATCAGGACTCGAGGTCAAGCTACGTGCTGGTGGTGGCAGCCTACAAGAATACGAGCGCGCTTCCGACAATGACGAGCCCGATCTCTACCCAACTCTTCGCAGCTATGTCGAGGCGGTGTCCGACTCGACATTTGCTGTTCAGGTCGCCATGCCACCTTGGGCAGCCCGAAGCCCTGACGAAGCTATGCTCGTCGACGTGTTTCTCGATGGCAAAGGCGTGACAGGGTGCGTCTGCCCTGCGTCGAGGTTTGCGTCCAAGCCATACATCCTGCTCATTGAGGGCATCGATCAAATGACTCCCCGCGGTCGCGAACTCCAGCGTTTTGCGTTTGCGCAGCTCAAGGTCGATGAAGAGTCAAATGCCACGGACACGAAGCCGGAGCACCTCAAGCACCTTGGGACCATCACGATCGAATGCATCTGGTGTACGCAAGGACAAGAGTATACCAGCGTCGTCACGGATCTGTTCAAGCCAKCTGTTGCTACGAGTATCCACGAAAAGTGTCTCAAAGGTCGCGCCATCTCGAATCAAGCAAGGTACGTCAGCTGCACTAAGATGTGATTGATCGACTGACATCTTCAAAGCACTGCGAAGCCAGAAAACATCGCTGGCGTCGCTAAAACTGTCGAGGTCGCTTTTCCCTACGGCCGAACGCCATTCGCTATATTCGAGTACAAGTATCGCTCACGAAGGGAGTTGCAAATCGAGGGAGTCATCGACAAGGATCCTGAGCCTCTGGCACTAGAAGACCGGGATCCGTCTTCGTTGACGGCAGCAGAGATCGGTCAACTGCAGCGACAATTGCAGACCAAGCGGGAAGACATGGCCAAAATCAAGAACGAGAAGCGTGCGTGGGTACACGCCGACGGTAGCAAGGACGGGGAAGGTGTAGAGGTCGTTTCGGGTGGTCATGCCTCAAAGAAGCGCAAGCCGAGTGATTCCGAGGCGGAGCTCATCGATCTGACTGATGCTTGAGAGATGTTGATGACAGCTACGCTGCTTTCTGTATAATCGAGACGATAGCGCTTAGAATTTTTGAGAGACGCTGCACAGCTGTACAACGCGCTTTTGGGAGCGGACGTTGGCTCCTGCTCTCTCTCGAAAAGGATTCCGGACACCGTAATTACTTAGTACGGAGTGTCTCTTCCTCTCAATCGTCTTTGTCGAGTCGTCTCAAAGTGTCTGTAAGCGTGCGACCTCATCGAGACCTTCTGGCGAGACCCATGGACGATACCCAGGTAAACATACCCCATACTGGCAGCCCGGGTCTGGGATTGCGGCGAGGTCGAGGTCGAGCTTTGGACCCTTTCTCAGATCGGCAACATTCCCAACGGCATCCTTGTCTCCACTCATCCTAGGTTCCATCCCCAGCCTGTTCCAACAATCAGCTCAAAGTTTATCAATGCCAATGGACATCCGCATAGACTCCCCTCCTCTTCGACACACACATGTTGTGCGACCACTGAAGCGTCCTTGAAGAGTGGCAAACAGAAGCTCTGCATCGCCATTCCTCCGCGTCACGGAATACCATCCTTCCATCAACATCAACACATCCTCAGCTTGGCACAAGCTTGGAAGCTCATCACCACAGATGACGGACACCGCGACGAMGACGGCCCTGTCAAACGGCCGTCTGCTCGATCCTGTCCGCACCAATGGTAGACCAAATGGGTCCTCGTTGCCATCTGTTCCATGCGGAAGCGCAGGCACCAATGGCGTACTCTCACCACCACCTACACCCTCAAAGGTCGACGCGCGTTCCTCCAAGAAATACAAACACGCCTTTGCCGTTCACGCAGAAACCAGAGCTTCGGCATTCAGCCAGGATGCGCCGAGAACACCCTCTTCTCTGGGCTTTCGAAACCTCATGGGCTTGATCATTGTCATCTCGAACATACGATTGATGGTGGAGAACTTCAAAAAGTACGGCATACTGGTTACACTGTCAGGATCAGATATCCAGGACAAAGACTGGAAATGGTTTGGGATACTATATGCCTTGACGCCATGTCATTTGTTCGTAGCGTACCTGATTGAGATCGCGGCCGCGAAGTATGCCGTCTTGATCGCAAAGGCAAGGAAAGACGGAAAAGACCCAGCATACACAGCTAAGAAGGAGGGAAGCAAGGTCAAATCCTKGTTCTCGACTTGGAGGATGATATCCTTCTGCCATGCTGTGAATGCGACATTCATGTTGGCCTTTGCCACGTATGTCGTATACTACCTCGTACACAACCCGGGACTTGGCTTCTTGATCGAAGTCCATGCGATTGTGGTGTGGCTGAAAGTCTGCTCTTTCGCCTTTACGAATCGGGATCTCCGACATTCATACCTCCATCCAGATCCCTCCGGCGAGGACTCCCTACCAGCGATGTATGCGTCTTGTCCTTACCCAGAAAACATCAACTTGACCAATATCTGCTACTTTTGGTGGGCGCCAACGCTTGTTTACCAACCGGTTTACCCGCGGTCCCCGAAGATCCGCTGGGACTTTGTCCTGCGTCGGGTTGTTGAGTTCTCCCTGCTCTGCGTCCTGGTCTGGTTAACGTGCGCCCAATATGCGGTACCTCTCCTGCAGAACTCCCTTGACGACATCTCCAAACTCCACGGCTTCAACATTCTGGAGCGTGTGATGAAGCTCAGCACCATCAGCCTCGTCTGCTGGCTAGCTGGTTTCTTCGCTTTGTTCCAATCCTTCCTCAATGCACTTGCTGAAGTGCTGAGATTCGGGGATCGAGAGTTCTATGGAGATTGGTGGAATAGTGTGGGAATCCGGGAATACTGGACTTCCTGGAACAAACCCGTCACGCACTTCATGAAACGACACATCTACGCCCCAATGGTTGGTCGAGGCGTTCACCCTGCTCTGGCGCAATTCCTCACATTCCTCTTCTCGGGCGTACTTCACGAAGTCCTCGTCGGGGTTCCCACACACAACATCCTCGGTGTCGCATTTCTGGGAATGATGGGCCAACTACCTCTAATCTTCCTTACGGATTCATTGAAGAAATATGGTGGAACAGGACATAACGTGAGACTTGCAGGAAATCTAATATTCTGGTTGAGTTTCTGTATTTTCGGACAACCTTTGGCAGCGTTAATGTACTTCTTCGCATGGCAAGCCAAATATGGCGCAGAGGGAACCAGACCTGACTGGCCGGAATTGGTGCCCGCGACGTGGAATGCTACGAAACGATGATGATGATATGATGGCGTTTGGGCTGCTGGGATTTGTGGGGCGTTTTAAGGCTCACAGCTGGGTCAATAGCACGTGCTTGTGTCGATTTTTGGTGTTTCGTATGTGGTAGTCTGTAAGACTGTATGAACCACTGGTCTGAGCAGCTTGCCTTCACATTCCTCGTCACATAGAGACAGACTCTCTTGGGAACTTGTCACCCCGCATTGGCAGAGAGTTTTGGCTTGCGGCTGCAGGTGAATGATCGGCAATGCAGTGTCTTGCTGGAATGCTTTGAGTCTTTTCACACGCAGTCCTGCGACTCGTCGCTCTGAAGATAGTTTGTGGCGTAGTGAAGATGCCGGATGTTTTTGGGCGCACTACCGGTTCAACCATTTTGATCTTGTGCAGCCACGAGTCGCCTTGCACGACCCGAGCCGTCGCCGTAGCATCGCAATGCTCCAGCCGTCTGCGGAGATGTTCGACGCGCGAGAATCCGTAAGTTGGAGCAAGCATCTCGATTCGTTTCGCTATGGAAGCCGCTCATGCCCACATCACAAGAGAGGCTACAGCCTTGAAGGTACCATGACACCGACAACAGGCACGCCGCAGCATGTATCATTTTGTGACAGCGATTTTGAGCGATAACGTCGAACACGAACGCTAAGATACGATTGGTGAAGGTGAAAAAGAAATCGAGAGATAGAGGAAATGCATGATGCTCAGAATAGTGGTCAGATATTCACACTACCCAGATACCCTCACGCTCGGTGTGCCGYCTGTGCCGGTCGARCACTACCTTCTCCACCACGAGTTTCGAGAGTCTGGGGAGATATCGTTGGTGGTAGGGGATAGGTATGAAAATTGTGGTTTGCGGCGAAGTAAGGTAAGGCAAGACACCCAAAGGTCATGATAAGAACAAGGCACTACTGAGCAACTCACGGCTCAACAATGTATAGTGCGTTTGATTATGCGATCCGTCTCGATGTCTCGATGAGAGTCGTTGAATGAAGGTCAGGATGATGTACTCAAGTACCGTGACCTGGAAGTCTCCAAATTCTCCGCTAGTTTCTATCCTAGTGTCCCCACGTCAAACACGCGACCATCAGCTTGCGCTTGGCGGCCTAGCGATCGGCAGAAACATCACTTGTCTCGCATCACCACCCAGTGCGTCATACCTCACATCGTCGCGTGTCGCTGAAAGATAACATTCCGCCATCACTCTTCCCTCTGCCGGTACTGGACAGCAAAGTGGGAATCCCCGCGCCCGCTGCGCAACGGAACCCGCGCCGCCGCGCCATCTCGCCCGGCGCATAGCGACACGGATGGTCTGGCGCGTTTACCACCGACAGCAGGCAGCGCATCAGCATGGCGCTCGCTCCTGCCAACGACAAGAAGCGAGTCAAGGTGTATGAACTGAAGAATAATGACTGGTATGATCGCGGGACGGGATTCTGCGTGGGACACGTCTTCAGCGCGCAAAAYGCCGCGCCGGAACACCTCGACGCGCGCATTCAAGTCACCAGCGAGGATGAACCCACGCGCATGCTGCYGGAAACACACATAGCCAAGGATGACGGCTACCAGAAACAGCAAGAGACGCTCATCGTCTGGACCGAGAGCAACGGCGTGGACATGGCGCTGAGCTTCCAGGAAGCCGATGGATGCGCCATGATATGGGACTTTGTTAGTGACATTCAGTCGCGCTTGGTGCCCGAGGACGGCATATCCGATGACTTGCTAGACACGGGACATGTGATTACGTTGCCGGAGCCCGCGTTAGGGAAGCTGGAAGAGGTTGTTGAGGCAATGCGGGCTACATCGGGCACTCCTGCAGGACGAGACGCGCTGGCAAAGTATGTCATGAGCACAGGACAGATGTATCTGCTCAAACTCGCGCCTCTGGTGGAGGAGGCCGAGCGATTACATCTTCTCGGTGATTTGTGGAAGTTGTGTACAATCACAAAGCACCTCATCTTGCTCAACGACACCTCCATCATTGAATTCGCGGTCACTGACCAGGCGATCATGGGTGTCGTGGGCGCGTTAGAGTGTAAGCAGATCGCTCTTTGGGCCGCGTTGATGATGCTGACTGTGTTGCAGACGATCCCGAATTTCCCCATCATCGAGGAAACCATCGTGCATATCTTTCCGATTCCACCAAGTTCAAAGAAGTGGTCCATTTTGAGCACACCGAGATCCGCAAAAAGATCCATTACACGTACCGTCTGCTCTACCTCAAAGACGTCGTACTCGCACGCATCCTCGACGACCCTACTTTCTCCGTCCTCAATTCTCTCATATTCTTCCATCAGGTTGACATCGTCAACCACATTCAGGCCAATCAGGCCTTTCTCAAAGAGCTATTTTCAATATTTCATGACGACAAGAAGGATGCTGAGAGGAAGAAGCTTGCAGTGCTTTTCATCCAGAATTGCTGCTCCGTGGCGAAGAACATTCAACCGCCGTCTCGAGCAGCGCYCTACCAAAATTTCCTCGCTCATGGCCTATTCAGCGTCATCACCTTTTCTCTTCGCCATCATGACGCATCTGTGCGTGTAGCTGGTACGGACGTGCTCATGTGCCTCATCGACCACGATGCGCCTATGGTCCGCGCAAGCATTGCAAGAGCGATCAACGAGAAGACAGTACCTCTTACAGATACTTTGATCGATCTGCTCCTCCTCGAAATGGACCTTGGGGTCAAGAGTCAGATGGCCGAAGCGATCAAAGTTCTTCTCGACTCATCACCTGTCAACGCGGGTCTAGCACAGACCACCGATTTCGTCGCCAAACAGCGAGGCGAGCAAGGCCATGGGCGGCCGCTACCGACCCAGGCGAACCAGTTTATCCAGACCTTCTACGACGATGGAGCGAAGCGACTCTTCCAACCCTTGAAGGATCTTGAACAGCGACAGTCCATGGCCGGTCTCACTGTTCAAGAGACCAGCCTCTTTACCCACCTTGTTGAGGTGTTGGGGTTTTTCGTCCGACAGCATGCTTATCAATCAAAGCTGTTCATATTGGCGGAGAACCTACATTCACGCATAGCACAGTTGCTGGAATGTCCGCAAAAGTATATGAAACTTGTTGCGTTGAAATGGTTCCGGATATGCATCGGACTCCAAGACGAGTTCCACAACCGACAGATCATCCAACACCGGCTGTTTGAACCCATCTTGAACATTGTTTACGAGACCATGCCTCGAGATAACTTGCTCAACAGTGCCTGTCTGGAGATGTTTGAATACATCAAAAGAGAGGGCATCAAGCAGCTGATCAACCACCTTGCGCAAAACTACCGAGAACGGTTGATGGGTATTACCTATGTCAATACTTTCCAGGGCGTCGTGCAAAAGTACGAACAGCTTCAACATCCTTACATCGCACCCAGCGGTGAAGGCGACGCGAGCTTCACAACAGAACCGGATACTCCAGATGCTTTGAAAGCACGCATGACGAATGGCAGGCAGATTTTCAGCGGGCTGAAGGAAGATGCAGATGAGGACKCATACTTCAACGCCGGCGACGACGACATGGACGGCGATATGGGCGATGACGATCTACCGACTGGACCCATGATGGTGGAGTCCCCCCGAAGACTGCCAAATGGACACGCAAGTCCCGCGACGAAACCGCTTGTCGATTATCCGGATGACGATGAAGAAGATCTGATGGATGTCCTGGCCAGCTCACCCGATCCCATGGCACGGAAAGAGAAGATCGGCACTCCCGAACAAGGCGTAGACAGCCCCCGAGGACGAAGTCGGAATACCGTGCCAGTAGATGGATCGCCCGGATCACAGCAAAGCCCAACCGGGTCACAAAAAAGCCCCCTCGAATCCATCGCTATGAAACGTCGCAGAGAAGAAGAGGATGAAGACGAGCTCGGGAAAATGATGGGAAGCGGCAAACGCCGCAACAGCTCTGCCTCACTTAGCGGCGGGATGAAAGCTAACAGCCCTCGAAGCGCGGATCCACAAGATGAGAATCGTGCTCCTGAACCTGACCCCATCTCTCCCAAATCCCAGCCGAAATCTCCTCCTGCGAACCCCGCTTCCACCGTGAATGCTCCTCAACAGCACATACCGAATCAATCATTGAGGAGAAAAGGCAGCTTGAAAGTCAAGAATGAAGGTCCTGCGAATCCTGGAAGGTTTGCGATAAAACCGTTCAACAATCTTCCTGGAGGAAGAAGTGCCGCGGATGCGCAGAGTAATGGGAATGGAAATGGAGGTGGAGGCGGTTGATGCTCATTGGATGATTTGATGGTTTTGTTTTCGGGGAAGCGAGGCGAACGTGGCGCATCATCATCGTCAAAGTAAAATACTTACACAGTGACGAAATGAATGAGATGGGGAGAAAGTGGGACGCTACTCCTGAGATGATTGATCTCAAGAGGAAATGATGGATTCCAAAATGTCCTTGACTTTGAGTGCATCGGGGTTGGACGGGAGTAGTGGCGTTCTTGAGATGATGCGGTGTAGATGACGGAAAAGGCTCCCTTCTTTACTTCCTTGTCTATGAGATCAGCTTCAAGTAAAGGGGATGATGCTGGGTAGGGCGGCGTTTTTGTGAAGGAACGGGAAGGAACCTTTCGGTCCGAGGATGAGGACAATGCAGCATTGTATGAACTGTATCATATGCATTCCACGTTCTCGACTGCTATTGAAAGACGCTTGTGTGGCTTGTGACTACAATGTGCGGATTATCACGCAAGCCTGCTTAGCTGAAGAGTGAGGGCCTGGCCAGGAGCCACAGTCGTTGGCACGTTGGTCCTCATCATTCAGCGGAGGTTTGCGAAGCGGAGTGAAGCGGAGTGAACCCACCAGTGAGGATCCTAGACCTGGCCAATCAAGCGAAGCAGCCAGACAGGCGGACAAGACATAATATTGAGCCCCCTGAGCAGAAAACCACCGCAGTGTCAAAATGTTGTCGTTACGTCGGCGAGAGGTTCATCTACTGGCTGAGAGATGGCGTGCTGTGGCGTTCGCTACCCAATCATCCAGATCGTCGAGGCCGGAGACGGGAAATCTGATATTTACGAAGATTGGAAACTCGTTTAGGCTCGTAGAGGTCCGCACATACCTATGCATGGCGCGATAGATTCATAGTGCCGCGGGAATGCATTCGCTTTGGCGAAGCATCAACTGCGCGACCAAGGGGAGTTTGGCTCGTGTTGACCAAGAGGAAGTTCGATGATCTGGTCAGAGTGTCAAGAGCGCCAGCAGCTTTGAGCATCGTTCGCCGATAAATCCCCGACGAATGCCTTGTGTGCCCGCTTGCCTCTTAACCTGTCATGAAGTCTGCTAGACCAAGACCAAATCCTTTAGTCTGAGTTGTAGGCTTGCGACTGTCCAGCATAGACTGTAGCGAGGATTTCTTATTGCGGTTACGCTTCTTGGCGCCTGAGGCTGTCGTTACTTCGGTTGACGGGACCTTGGGTACCTCCGAGGCTTGCGATATTGGAGATTTTGTTGTCTGCACTTTAACTGGCAATTGGCGTTCAATACTCTGGGCACTGGCAACTGCATGCTTGAGCGGTTGAATCGTGTTCACACTGTCACACGCCGAACAGCGAACGTCGATGGTTTCCGCACCGCCCTTCCTTTGAAGACGGTCTTGGCGTGTCCGCTTCTTGCTCGCGGCACCTTTTCCCAACCTTTCACTATTCCAGCCCAGGATCAGCGAGTTCCCACATGCTTTGCACAACTGCAAATGGGCTGGTGTTGGAATAGATCGGCCTTCGCCATTTGCTAAGCGGCGTTGAGCAGTCCGCAGGTGACCAGATACTGCAGGCGAAGTAGTCGCCAGAGACTGCGCCGCTTGAGACAAATGGTCTAGGCGTAAGGTGAMCGCGCTCGATGCTGACATCGCTCCTGAACTCGCATTCGGTCAAATGTGTGAGGTTAGTGTCAAAGTAAAAGATCAAGACAAGAAGTGAAGTTTGATCGTCGTCGGCATTATTAGTAAGCACCCCAAGGACGTACTTTCTTCACATGTCTTCTGAACCTTGACCTTCAACAACAAGGTAAGGTAAACGTCACCGATCTTGGACATTGAGTGCTGTCATGAGTGTTGAACTGAGAGAGTCAGGCGGGGTGCGCCTTGCCGTCGAAGGATGCGGCCACGGTACATTACACGCCATCTATGCTTCCATTGAGGAATCATGCAAACAGAAGGGTTGGCCGGGTGTTGACTTGCTCATCATCGGCGGCGACTTTCAATCCGTACGAAATGCATACGATCTACAATGTGTCAGCATGCCCGCCAAATACCGCGAGATGTGTGACTTTCATGAATACTACTCTGGCCACCGAACTGCACCTTGTCTGACGATCTTTGTGGGAGGAAATCATGAAGCGAGCAATTACCTATTCGAGCTATACTATGGCGGCTGGGTGGCGCCAAACATCTACTACATGGGCGCTGCGAATGTCCTTCGACTTGGCCCGCTCAGAATCGCTGGTCTCAGTGGGATCTGGAAAGGCTTTGACTATCGCAAACCACATTTCGAACGTCTCCCCTACAACGAGTCCGACATGAAGAGCATTTACCATGTGCGAGAAGTCGATGCCCGTAAGCTTCTCCACATTCGGACTCAAGTCAACATCGGTATTAGCCACGACTGGCCGCAAGGGATTGAGTGGAAGGGCAATTTCAAACAATTGTTTCGTTTCAAGCCTTTCTTTGAAGAGGACGCGAGAAGTGGAAAGCTTGGGAGTATTGCAGCGAAGCAAGTTGCGGAGAGGCTGAGGCCTCATTATTGGTTCAGTGCACATCTTCACTGCAAGTATGCTGCCGTCATGAACCACGGAGACGGCTCTTGCACCAACGGAGATGTTGCTACCAGAGACCGCGAGAATGGCACCCACAACGAAGGATTGGTACAAAAAGATGGGCATGTCCCGGTGAAGAACGATGATGAGATCGATCTGGATCTTTCGGATGACGACGATCCTATCCCAGCCGCTTCCTCAGCCGCGACCGAAGCTCCCCGCAACCCTGATGAAATCGAGCTGGATCTTTCCGAGGACGATGCTGACACGCCTGCGCCTAAAAAGGAGAATGTGCCCCCGAAGCCAGATAATGCCACATCAAGCGTGCTTGCCGAGGCTCGCGCTGCTCTGCCCGCCTCATTCAACCGACCTAAAGAACGAGRGCCAGATGTGCATCCACCGGATATCAAGAACGCCGAGACAAGATTCCTCGCGCTCGACAAGTGCCTGCCAAATCGCCATTTCTTGCAGCTCATTTGCGTGCCGACAGAGACAGATCTAGATACAGCTCGGCCCTTGAAGCTACATTACGATAAGGAATGGCTTGCGATCACGAGAGCATTTGCCCTCAGCGAGCCAATCGTCGTCGGAGACCCCAGTGCTCGTCCACCTCCCGCCAAGAACCAATCTGAGTATTACAGCCAGATCGACGAGCAGCTAAAATGGCTGGATTCTCAGCTGGACGAATCGGTGCTTGTGGTGCCCGAAAACTTTACCATCACAGCACCGGTCTACGATGGCGGCAATTGGCAGGATGCAAAGTATCAGCAAGTTGAAGGAGGGCTCAGAGAATATCTCAACCCGCAGACTTCAACATTCTGCCAGATGTTGCAAATTCCGAATGCACTGAATATGACTGATGATGAAATGCTTGCAAGAATGCAAGCCGGACCTAGACCAGATGATTTCGGGGGTGGAAGAGGTGGGAGGGGCGGAAGAGGACGCGGCGGGTTTGATCGCGGCAGAGGTGGTAGAGGTGGCAGAGGCCGTGGACGTGGCGGAGGCCGTGGACGTGGGCGTGGATAATTGACGGAGGTGCCGCTGTGATTGCAGCAGCCATCGCGCCAGTTTCACGCGTACTCCAGATCGAGTTTCGTTGGATTTTCAATCTTACGCAGCAGCAGACGATTCTTGCGCTCGATCGCATTCCAGGTAGCGGCTAATGCAGCACAATCGAGTCAATACCGCAGCAAGATTGGCTTCGTCAATGCCGTTCAATGACGATGCCAACAGTTCCTGCAATCCTCACCGACCGTTTCCTCTCCCCCTGCCACCTCTGCCGCCTCTCCCACCACCACGCTTTCCACCACGTGCGGGTGCTCTCCGCTCATACACTTTCTCTCGCCCAAACGCAGCATCTGCGATCCGCAGATAACTTGTTACACCTTGGTCCACGATCGCAAAAATAACATTCTTATACCCATACTTGAATTTCGCATGCATGTGGCCGTCTGGTTTCGGTGGGTCATAGGGTGTCGAGTCCATGAGAGCACCCATTTGTTCAAGTGTGGGAGGTGTTGTCTCACGAGCATTGATAACTGCGATTCTGAAGTCTGGAATTCCTGGAGCTGATTTCTTAAATGTTGTTGAGCCGGGTTTCCAGACGTGGTATGTGATCCGAAAGTCGGGATGTGCTTTGCTTGGGTCTTCAGTTTGGAAATGTGCGGTTGGATCGTGGAAGTTGATGAGTGCGAGGCGTTGGAAGATTTGATTGTAATCACGATGTAGTGAATTTTGAACAAGAGGTCCAGTGTGGTGGTTTGAGGTGTTGTCTGCGGGTTTCGAGAACCAGAATATCTTCCAGAATGATAGCGCGTCGAGCAACCCTGCTTGCCATGTCCGTCTCGCTGGCATAGGATAGCATTCCATTCCAGGAGGCGGTCCTGCAGAGTTCCAACTCGGTGCTCTCAATACCGTATAGCCCATACGTTTCAAACCTGAATAGACCGAGTATCGCTCAAAAGTAAGACTCTCATTGTGGAATTCGCTATCGCCAAGGAACATGGCGTATGCGCCTTGTAGACTCATGGGAAGCCCTTGACCGACTTCGTCTCCGTCCAGAGCCGGCCATCGTATATCTATGGTTCCTCGTTCGAGCAGGTATAACACTTCTTCGGGAAGAAGCCAAATCCGCTGCCCTCGTTGGGGATCTTCGCCATGTCCAAGAGGATCATTCTTTGCAGATCGCACATGGCCCATCTTAGCGAACAGCGGTCCTCTAGGGCTCGTGGTATACGCCATATTAGTTTCCGGATGATATGTTCCAATGGTGTATCCTTTCGGAGCATGGACTCGTTGATAAGAAAGAGCATTGTGCATCGCCTGCCGCGATGCAGCCAATGTGTTAGATTGAAGTGCAGTGGCATGAGGTTCAAAGTCCTTTTCTCCTCTTTTGGGAATCGTGGCATCCTCTTTCCTGTTCACTCGTCAGTGATTGAACAAGACGACTTGSTTTGAAGATCAGCATACGATATTGAGGTCAAGAATCGAAAGTCTTGCGTTTCATCTGAAAGATCCACGTCCTCGCCTCCGCCTGCCCGTGGCATTACATCTTCGTCAGCATCCGCCATAATCGGCGACGACCGGGCCCTGTCTTATCGATATGGAAGTCCAAGATTCAAAGTAGATGTAGTGAAGTAAAAGGTCGCAAGTTGCAATTTTAAGAAGACGATGACTGTCCGTCGCGCTTGGACCAAACCTTAATTCGGCCCTGCTGCATACCTACATAGGCCTCACTTCACCTCGCTTTCTCTCCTCCCCTCGAAATGCCACTTCCAACAACGGACTACTCCATAGCAACTCAAATGGAGTCCCCGTCGCCCGAGGATGAATTGTTGATCATAGTAAGTTTTTCATCCGCCACGTCTCAACGGAACATACGCTAACATGGACAGCTTCTCCGAAACCTCCAAAATGCAGCATCCACGTTCGGTGAAGGAACGCCTCCATATGAAAGCGTGAGGGCGACAGTAGAGGACCACCTCAGAGAGATGCGGAAACAGAATAAACCAACGAACATTACCAAGGCTCGAGCGGTGCAGACACGACAAAAATCGGACGATGACATAGTGCTTCCTGCCATGTTTGAAAACTTGGCGATTCGAACCAAATCTAGTTCACAAAATACAAAGTAGCTGCGGCAAACTTCTCTTGCGGAGCAGCATTCTCAACGACCAGGACATCAAGAATCCACATCTTGGCACCTACTCTCCAACCGTGATCTGGCGAGACTTTCCGTCGACAGCAGGTTGGTCCAGATGACTTCGGAACGTTGACCATGAAGAAGCCTGGTCAGGCGGAACCGCCATCCAGCGCAGAATTTTCAGACGAACCGCCATCCAAAGCATCGACCTTAGATGACGACTGTGGAAATCTTGGTGAGAGTACAGTGTTGTCGCCTGCTGGCRATGAATCTATCACGCTGCCACCAGATTATGGATTTCGAGACGAATTCCTAGGAGACGTCCCTCGGACCACCCGCTACGACACTTCCAGCGAGCCGTGGTACTGCGACTATAATGTTCGCACTTCCATGATGCTGGCTGAGAAGATTACGGTGTTTGAGATTCACTCCGAGTTCGACCTTCACTTGGGCTCGGATCTTGAGCGTGTTGCCATGCTCACTGCCACGAACCCGTCTACCCCAGGAACAATGCATGCAAGAGGCGTATGATGGCGACGATGCTATACACGCGGATACCCTTGCCAGCTTCCAGGAGTTCTCTGGAGATATTGATCTTGAGAACTACCTTCAAATTGCAAATTACTGCCACCCTCTCACCTTTCAAGGTTTTAAAGTCGCCAGCTTCATCTCCAGACACGATGAAGTTTGGAAGCCGTCAGCTGCGTCGCGTCCCACGACTCTACGGAATCGTTATTTTGCAGATAGCGGCACTCGAGATCCACTGACACGGAAGGTGTTTTCTTGTCCTTGGTTAGCAGCTTGCAGTTTCCAGACTTTTCAACACAAAGATTTCCGCGCTGTTCATGTACATATTGTGGCTCATACTGCAATTTACACAATACGAAGCGGCCCACACCGATACCATGACTTCAGCTTCGGCACTTCATCAAAGCTTGCCGAAAACATTGCGGTACGTGAATCTACATCAGCTCTGGAGCATACCACTATGCTCGCAGCTGCGACACCCTCCCACACTAGACATTATCCAGACCGCGTATGGCGACGAGCAGGCTATACATTGGGCACCACAGCATGCCATTAAGGTATGAAGTATGCATCAGCCTTTGATTTCCAGCTGATGATTACCCTCCACCGTCAAATGAATACGTTTTTCCTGGAGGCTATCATATTTTGGATTGATACTTGAGGCTCACGGTAAATCTAATATTCGCTTCGCCTTGACAGTATCCTACACGAAGATTCCGAGACTTGATCAATCCAATCAAGCTGCTTTGTGAAACGACGACCAAGATTCTTTGTCTAGATGAGATGGCCACCAAAGACCACTTCCGGGTTGAGTCCACAATTCGAACAAAGAACCTTTTAAAACTGTGGCCCTCGAGGCATCGGGGCACTGTTTAGTATTGGTACCTCGCAATTAACCGTGTTGAAACGAGTCGCGCAAACGAAGATGGTGTCCACGAGAAGCTCGAAGCGTGGAAACGAACAAGATCTTGCGGACCAGTCGCCTTCCAAGAGACGGAGGAACTCTTCAGCTGTTCCTGCGGTGGCAGCAGCGGCATTCAGAGCCAGTGCCGGACCAGCACAAAGTAGGGACGGAAGAACCAGAGAGGTTGTMGAAGCGCCGCCGGGACAAGGTCGTGATGAGGAGGGAGATTACGCGGGAAGCTCTCGCAGCTACGAGACGCCCAACCAGATCATGAGAAAGATTCAGAGAGCCGTCGATGTCAGCGGCCCCGTCGCAGCTTTCACACGCTATGTACAACCAATCCTAGACATGCCAGAAGACATGGTCCGTAACAACTCCCTTTTCTCGATTTCAAAGTTGATGAACATCCACGGCACAGACGGAACTTTCTGGACTGAAGCATGGCCGATTGAAGTATATGCCGAATATGATGAAGGAGATGACTCTTTCGATACACTCTGGTCTGGAGATTATAACGACAACGTTCGAGCAGATCTTCTGGACGAGAGGGGACGAATGCGACTGAATTGGTACCATGCGCTCAAATTTCTGCGAGACAATGGCGCTGAGAGCGACATGATTGTCGATCTTGCAAAACAGTACAAGGAGGCAATAGGACTTGCAAACGATGGCGTGTATGTCAATCCAATCCTCGACGAAAGAGACCAGAGTCAAGAAGAGCAGACTCTGACGACGTCCATGGAGCAAGCCCGGCTGCGGAAATCGTGGCTAGACGCTATCGGGCGGTTGCGAGCAGTTTTCGGAGACACTGCGGCAGAGGAGTTGCAGTCGGTCTTCCATGGCATGATAGTCGACGGTCAGCTCGGAAATGTCGAATCGTGCGACAAATCCGAGCGAGAAATCTGGTGGGCATATCTCCAGAAACACGTAACGAGGCCTAGCTGTCTGCACAGAGCATTGCATCTTCTGGTCTTTGATATGTGTAGAATGTGCATAGGAAAGAGGACGAGACCCATGCAATTCGAATGGTTCGAAGCTCTCATGGAATGTATCCAGAATATGGGAATGAGGTTCAATCAGTATGGGTCCATAAAAAACATGGTGGCTTGCGTTGCGTATGTCCGAGATGGAGGAAGATACGAAGACATGTGTCAAGAACTTGAAGAACATGTTGTCAACCTACGACGAGTTTGTTTTGAAGCCGCTGCGTCAGAGTGGCAAGCGGTAGTCAAAGCTGGAGAAACCCTCATGGAACGGAATAGGAGATTCAAGATGTACCATCTCATGAAATGCCACTTCGAAGCTGGAGGCCTTCCTTACTCATTTGAGGACCTCCAACAAGCCGCGAACACCACTGATCCGAACAGACTCTCCCCAGCGAAAGCGGCAATGGACTTTAGGTGCCCCTGGAGAGTAGCCATGATGAAAGCGGATGAATTAGATCGAGGTGTATATTATAGTTTGCTGGATCAATTGATGAACCGCTCGAAGAAGGAGCAGGCGGAGTATGGACCCRGCATTGCGACAACGTTGAGAGATTGGAGAAAGCTCATAAAAAGAGTCCAAGGAGGATCGTTGGATGGCACTACAGAATACCGGTTTCGAGATCTGCATGATCGCGTGTTAGAATTCTACGAAAATTATGGGATAATCGTCGCTAGTAATGTTGGAGAAGACACTGAGCTGTCTGATGAAGTCTGCGAAGCATTGGTGAGACGGACTCAGGATAAGATGGAAGTGATCGACACTCTGACTTGGAATGAATGGCGTTTGTTCTGTGCTCCACTTGGAGAGGATACCGAGTGGGAGCGCCTGAATGGCATTCGAAATGAACTTCGTCCTAGAGGATACTTCTGGCTTCCATATGATCCAACACCCGTACTCCCAACACGTTCAGATCGAAGCAGAAGTCTGGGTTTCGGTGGTGAGAGAAGCAAGATTCAAGGAGAATGGAGGTGGCAAGGGCCTCTTGGAGCAGGAAGCTGGGGTGATGCCAGTCTCTGGCGACAACACAATCGCGTCGAAGATCTGAGTGATCAGCTTGTGATCAAGGAATGTTATCAAGGGAAATTTTTCAATGTTCCAGCGTATTGGGAGGGGCACATGTATCGACGCGTAATCAAAGAGGAGAAGATCATGAGAGATATGGGGAATATTCAGGGGAGTGATACGATGGTGAGGTCTAGAGGATATGCGATTTATGAGAGCTTGAGGATGTATAGGATATACATGGAGTATTGTCCACATGGGGATGTCGAAGAGATGATTCTAAGGGCTATCGGAAGAGGTGAAAGCGTTCCGGAACGGCAGCTCTGGTCGATCTTCCAAGCAATGGTCTCTGCGCTTTGTATCTTGAGGGACGGACGATTACCTGGAGCGGCGACACAGGGCGAGTCCCGGAAAGTCGTTGTGCACCGAGATATCAAGCCCGCGAACATCTTCCTCGGTAGGGTTCAGGAGCGGGAATGGAAAGAAATTCCAGCCGCGAAGCTGGGAGACTTTGGACTTGCGACGGAATGGAACCAGGCCATGCGCTGGCAGACGGGGATCGGGACAAAGGAATACCGCGCTCCTGAGCAGCAGGAAGGCGCGGGGCCGGAACAGAGTCCCGGTGTATGTTCCGCGAGCGATCTGTGGGCTGTGGGGAGGGTTCTGTTGAGTTTGATGAATCTGCAGGAAGTCGCGAGTGTTGAGCCCTTTCAATTTACAGGCGACAAAGGGGTGCTGGCTTTCAAACCCCACGTCGAGCAGCTTTATTCCGAAGAATTGAGGGGACTAGTTGTGAGGTGCCTAGAGGAGGATTCACTTTCCAGGCCAGGTGTGGATGAGGTGTGGGAGGCGATTCGGCAAAAGGTTGATGCTGTGGTCGGGGCGACCGGGAATAGTATGAAGGAAGGAGATCCACCTGCAGGAGAGCCAATGATTGATGTGAAGAAGGATCGATATGCGGAACGGTTGGCTCGACGATTATAGGTGCCCGGATACTGTACCTGGAGAGAGATGACTGACGGTGCTCCGAGTGGGGCGAGAGGTGAAGCTGGCCAGGTCTCCACGAGATAGAAACATGTGATCCATACTTGTGAGAGGATTGTTTGCGTTTGCACAGAATAGCTGGGAGTATTGTTAGATTGTTGTAGTAGGAAGGTCAGCTACATTTCCCAGCCAAGTTCAGTCAAATTGCGCCTGATAATTGATTAGCTGATTGCGGGTATTGATGGAGCGGGATGCACATGTTAAGCGAGGCGCTAAGATAACGATTCGGAAAATCTTGGGAGGGGAATCTGCAAGGTGAAAACATTCGACTCATTCAACTCACTTTCTTTCTCATCCTCTCATTCCCTCAACAACAACCACCCATCATGGCGACCGATCCGACCCAGAATGGCAGCGAGATGCCCGCTGAACCTCACAAATCCTTCGATACCATCCTCGTCCTCGACTTCGGCTCACAATTCACCCACCTCATCACGCGCCGTCTTCGCGAATTGAACATTTACAGCGAAATGCTGCCGTGCACCCAGAAATTGGCCGATCTGGAGTGGAAACCCAAGGGTGTCATCCTCTCTGGAGGCCCCTACTCAGTCTATGCCCCGGATGCACCGCACGTCGACCCAGAAGTCTTCAATCTGGGTGTCCCGATCTTGGGAATCTGCTACGGACTGCAGGAAATCGCATGGCACAATGGAAAGGGGGTTGTGGCTGGTGAGAAGCGGGAATATGGAAGAGTCACGCTGGAAGTGACGCGACACAGCGGGAAGGCGGCGCATATCGATCGGTTGTTTGAGGGCTTGGAGGACGGCTTTGAGGTTTGGGCTTCTCATGGCGACAAACTGTCTGCGATGCCCAATGGTTTCTTGACAATTGCCACGAGCACCAACGCTCCGTTCGCAGGAATTGCACATGAAACCAAGGACCTCTTTGGCATCCAGTTCCACCCAGAAGTCAGCCATACGCCCAAAGGAGGACATATCATTTCGAACTTCGCTGTCAAGATCTGCAAGGCCCAGCAGAATTGGACAATGGRCGCTTTTGTCGAGCGGGAAATCTTGAGGATCAGGGCATTGGTGGGTGAGAAGGGACAGGTCATCGGTGCGGTGAGTGGAGGCGTTGATTCCACCGTTGCTGCCAAGCTTTTGCAACAAGCGATTGGCGAACGCTTCCACGCCGTCTTCGTCGACAACGGAGTGATGCGCCTGAATGAAGCCAAGGAGGTGGAAGAGACTCTCACCAAGCAACTCGGTATCAATCTCACAGTCGTCAACGCATCGGATCTCTTCCTGGGACGATTGAAGGGTGTGTCGGAACCGGAGAAGAAGCGCAAGATCATCGGAAACACATTCATAGACATCTTCGAATCGAAAGCGAAGGAGATTGCCAAGGCGGCGGAAAACACCCCTCAAGCCGGCAAGATCGAATACTTCCTTCAAGGAACTCTCTACCCGGACGTCATCGAATCGATATCCTTCAAGGGGCCTTCTGCTACAATTAAGACACACCACAACGTCGGTGGTCTACCCGAGAAGATGGACCTGAAGCTCATCGAGCCTCTTCGCGAACTCTTCAAAGACGAAGTCCGTAAACTGGGCACAGAAATGGGAATTCACGAAGATCTCGTCTGGAGACATCCTTTCCCTGGTCCTGGTATCGCTATCCGTATCATCGGCGAGATCACACCCGAACGTATTCGCATTGCTCAAGAGGCCGACAAGATTTGGATCGAGGAGATCCGCAAAGCCGGCTACTACCGTGTTATTTCACAAGCATATGCAGCTGTTTTGGGAGTGAAGAGTGTCGCGGTTGTGGGTGATYAGCGTCTTCATGGAGAGATCATCCATCTCCGAGCTGTGCAGACTACGGATTTCATGACCGCCAACATCTTCACGGATGCACCCATGAGCTGGTTCGCGAAGGTGTCGGATCGGATTGCGAATGAAGTCTCGGGTGTCGCGAGAGTTGTGTATGAGACGACGAGCAAGCCTCCGGCTACCATCGAGCTGGAGTAGAATTAGGTAGGGGAGATTGGAAGTGTTGAAAGCGGAGACAGGCGTTTGGCGAGACGGAGATTGTCTCCTGCTATGATTGAGTCGAATTGAGCTCGTTCAATCGATAGTAGGCGATCCGTGGTGAACCGACAGAGGTAATTTTCTGGGTGAAGAGCAAGGCGTTCCGAGGAGATAAGTTAGACGAGCCGTCAAGGCAGAATCGATGGCAACGATACCCAAACAACCGAAAGCAATGCATGAAGCTGGCTGGCTTTTCCTCCACATGTGACAATATTAGGATGGTACAAATTTAAAGTTGAAGATCATTATCTGACTTCGTAGATCCTTGCTTGTTGATCCTTCCGCGCCTCGCGCGCTTTCTTGTTGAATCCACCCCTGCGACATCACCCTATTCGTCGACAAAAGGCTCCATTATTAGATTGCATCTCCAGGGACGGGACGGGACACACGCGTTCCCTACATGGATGGATGTCCATCATAGACATAACAGCTGGAGGGTTCGGCAAAGCCGAGCGACGGACAGACCGACATTCCCAACGCTATGCATCGCGGACCAAGCACGTGGTCGCGACTCGGGTCTCCGCAGCGAGATCTGCATGTCGAGCAGGAGATCTTCAGCCCATTCCCCGGCTCCGCATCTTCCATGTCGGAATCCTTGGTCCTTCCTTGTTACCGCTTCTTCCTAGGGACGCCATCAAGGCGGTCAAACCGATGACTCGCAGCGAAAGCCTGCCGTCTCCCGTAGATTCAATAGGCCGACGCGGCGACGCAGCAGTACACAATCTTGCAGTGCGCTATCGGGGGGATACTCGAGTCAAACCTCAACGGAATGACGGCGCCGTACCCATACCTGACACATCTTCTTCCCCGCCATTTCACTCCTCCCGTTTAGCGGGGTGGGATCCATGTCGAGAGAGTAATTTGTTGAGTTTCGTCTGATATTGTTCCATTCGATGATGCTTTTCTAACTGCGCTCACATCTTCTTTCCTCTCTCCTTGCCTTCTCACCCCACTCTCTTACGGCGGCATCATGGAGTTGACACTCACTCTTGTCTTGTCGCTGCTGGCATGCAGAGGGTATGCGGTCGTCACAGATCCATTGCAATATGTTGACCAACTGATTGGCACGCAAGCTGGAGGTGAGTGATGTTGAGCGGGAGGATGGCCGGATCAAATGCTGATTTTACGACAAGGCAACGTCTTCGCAGGAGCAAGTCTGCCATATGGACTGGCCAAAGCATCTGCCGACACAGACTCTCAATCGAACCAAGGTGGCTTCACCACAGACGGAGCGAATGTTACTGGCTTCTCCGGAATGCACGACTCCGGTACGGGCTCCTCGTCCCCTTCGCTCGGTCTCTTTCCCCTCTTCGCCTACGGAGAGTGCAAGAACGACACAATCAATGGCTGTGTGTTCCCGAAGAAAGCACGGGCAACGCCTTACATCAATGACACACTCAAAGCATCTCCTGGGTTCTTTGGCCTTCAGCTCCAGAATGGTGTGAAAGCTGAGATGACGACAACTCAACACGCCTCTCTCTTCCGCTTCTCCTTTCCCAGTGAAGGGAGCGGCAGTCCAATAATTTTCATGGACTTGACTGATCTGTCCAACTCTCGCCAAAGCAATGCCAGTATTGCGGTAGATGCCACTTCTGGCCGCATGACAGGCAATGCACGCTTCCTTCCCTCTTTCGGCGAGGGAGATTATGTTGCCTACTTCTGTGCAGACTTCCAAGGTTCTTCTATTCGAGACAATGGCATCTTCGTCGACAGTCGCGGAAGTGCAGATGTCAAAGAAGTTAAAGTCCCTGCAGGTATTCGAAGTGGTACCGCCACCGTCCCGGCTGGAGCTTTCAATCGATTCAAGTCCAAGGACTCGGTTCTTGTAAGACTTGGGACAAGTTTCAAAAGCAGTGAGCAAGCGTGCAGTCTTGCCGAGGCTGAGATCCCGGATTACGACTTTCAAGGAATACAGACTGCGGCAGAAGATGCTTGGAGGGCGAAGATGACACCCATCAGTGTCTCTACTAACGGGGTTGACGAGAAGGCATTGAAGAACTTTTACTCCGGCATCTACAGGACGATGATGAACCCGCAGAACTATACTGGGGTGGTACCTGATGTGGATGAGAACACCATATACTTTGACAGCTTCTACTGGTCAGTTGATACAGAGAAGGTGGCGCCACCGACGTGCTAACATTTTACAGCATCTGGGATCTCTTCCGCTCTCAGCTTCCGTTCCTTACGGTTTTGGATACACCGGCCGTCGAAGACATGCTCCAGGGACTTCTCACGCTTTACAACATTCACGGATGGTTACCTGACTGCCACATGTCGCTCAGCAAAGGGTATACGCAAGGTGGCAGCAACGCCGATGTCGTAATGGCCGATGCGTATCAAAAGATCAATTCCAGCAAGATCGATTGGGGTTTGGTGTACGAAGCGGTGGTCAAGGATGCCGAGGTTGAGCCATACGGTATTTGGACCGATACCAGTAGAATGACTTGATTGAGCTGACAGCCTGATAGATTGGTGCTGTCAAGGGCGTGGAGGCCTCGACAGCTGGAAATCGCTCAACTACATCCCCATTGAAGATTTTGACTACAAGGGTTTCGGAACCAAGACCCGCTCTGTTTCTAGGAGTCTGGAGTACAGGTGAGGGCACCGTCCAACACCCGAATTTCATTTCACTAACAATTGACTCAGCTACAACGATTTCTGCATCTCTGTGCTCGCTTCAGCCCTCGGCAACATGGCCGACACCGAGAAATACTCTCTTTCCAGCGGCAACTGGCAGAATCTCTACAAAGCAGACCAAATATCGAACAAGATCAACAGTACCGAATCGACAGGCTTCACTGGTTTCTTCCAACCCAAATACCAAAATATGACCTGGGCGTTTCAGGAACCACTCAGATGTTCCAATATCGACACAAACACCACTTCCATCTGCTCGTTACAAGTGACAGCGGGTGAGACGTTCGAGAGTTCCATCTGGGAATACTCCTTTTACGTTCCACATGACCAGGCAAAGCTGATCAAGACCATGGGGGGAGCGGAGACCTTCGTCAAAAGGTTGGAGTATATGCATGACGAGAACATCACTTACATTGGGAATGAGCCGAGTTTCTTGACGGTTTATCAGTACCATTATGCTGGTGAGTATCTGCTTCTTCACCGAGGAAGCCGACAAAGTTGCTGACGATGTGTCCTACAGGCCGTCCCGCCCTCTCCGCTAAACGCGCACACTTCTACATCCCAGAATTCTTCTCCCCAACTGCTGCAGGTCTTCCCGGAAATGATGATTCAGGGACCATGGGCGCTTTCTTAGCTTTTGCCATGATGGGGCTATTCCCAAATCCAGGTCAAGACGTCTATTTGATTACTCCACCCTTCTTTGAGGATGTGAACATTACAAGTCCAGTCACTGGAAAAATGGCAAGGATCAGGAATGTTGGATTCGATCCAACTTACGAAGACGTCTATATTCAACGGGCAGAGTTGGACGGAAAGGAGTGGACGAAGAACTGGATCACGCATGACTTCTTCACGGAGGGAAGGGAGTTGGTCTTGTATCTTGGGAAAAGCGAGAGTGAGTGGGGTACGAAGGTGGAGGACTTGCCACCCAGTCTGAGTGCTTATGAGTGAAGAGATCGGTGATGGCTAATATGGTGGCTGTGGTGGCCTCCTTGGTGGCATGTTACGTGTGGTAACTTCGGGCGGATTAGTCCAATGTGGATGTCGGGAAATCAACGCCTCTGGTGGCACGCGTGTTTTATGAGAGCATTGAGTAGTATTGAGAACATGAATTTGAAGAAGTATGATCAWTAACGACGAGGTTCTGTAGCCTCACTGATATGTCCTGCTCGCTGGGTCTTCCGCTTGATTTGCCTGAAGCCCGTTAGGCTGGAATCGGCTCGGCAATCGCCACAGTCTACCCGATCGACCCGGACCGAACTCGTACATGCGGCGGCCCCGCCAAACACATCGCTTCGCACAGGCGGCAGCAGCGGACGTCATTCTACATTTTACATCCCTGCCAGTGTAACCGACAAACCACACATAAATCATCTTTTACATCCTTCCATTCACAATGACAACCTACCGTCACAATTCAATCGACATGCCTTCAGAAGCGCCCCCAAACCCGCTGTCCTACCCCAGCCTCAGCAAACTGATGCTAGCTTCCCTCCCAAAAGACGCCACGCCGCATATCAACAACTCTTGGGATGCCGTCGCCTTGGCTGCTCACGCCTCCATGATCGCCTTGGCTTTCCGGCTCGTGGGACTGGGGGAAGATCACCGAATTGAAGCGCATTCGGATTCAGAGGACACACAGCCTTTACCGGAGGAATGGAATGCTACGAGTGGGAGTTATGCTTTTCGGTACAAGCACGGGCAATCGAGCATGGAATTCTTGATCAAAGTCACGAGGATGGGAGGAAAAGTCGTCATCATGGGTATGGCTTTGGGTGACGACAGGACTGCGACGTTTGATATGAAGGCACAGGACTATGTGAGTGAGGGGAATCTACCGCTTACGTTAGAGGGGAATGATGAAGAGGAAAAGAGGAAGAAGGTGGTGGATGCCTTCATCAGTGTAGGGAGATTGAGCGACTTTGGAAGTTTGATGAGAGTGCATTTGGTGCAGAAGTTTGCGCCGAGCTTGAGGAAGGAGGGATATGAGGAGTCGTCCTCCGCTTCGACGCCAGGCACGAGGCAGCCAGCACCAGGCCGGGAAGACAACACACCACAGTACGACCCTTTGAGGGAAGACASAGATCCTCGCGCTCAACCTCATCCACTTCACGACCCTCTCGCACGGCCCCTACGTCCACGCGGTCCTCTCCCGGAACCCATTCCAGGATTTGATGACGAGCTTGATCTTCAGCGTCCTCGCAGAGGAATAGGCCAACCTGGTGKCGGGTTCGGAAGAATCGGTGAGCGAGATCTCTACCCGCAGGGTCTAGGACCCAACGACCCTCTACGTGGAGGTATCGGACCTGGCTTTGGTGGCGGCATGGGAGGTGGTGGCATGCATCCCACATTCGATGATCCCCTCTTCCAAGGACAGGGCGGACGCGGTGGTCCTTTCAACGGACAAGCTCCACCTGGGGCTAGGTACGACGATCCGTTTGGGCCGGGAGGACCTGCGGGTGGTCACCCTAGAGGCGCCGGGATGGGTGGTAGACCGCCAAATCCGTTCGGAGGATTTGGAGACGGAGATTTCCTCTGATGTGCTTGATAGTGCTGGACTTCAAGCTATGAAGAGAAGTCAGGCAACCACATAGATTCGGTGGAATGTATTGGAACGGCCGTTAACGAGACACATGAGGGCATGAGTTCTACAAGCACAAGGGCGAGGGGTCTTTGTTGAGACGTAACCGCACGAACCACGATGACCGATAGAAGGGTATGTAATAAAGTAAACATGTACGATCTTGACTTCGCTGATTGAAGCTTCCGTCTTCTTCATTTGTCACTCACCGTAGCCTATGTCTGCACAGTAGTCCTCTTAAACACATTCCTTGTGAAACACAAGAACCATATTGATGGACGGTTCCTTGTAAGTTTCCTTGGCCTCGAAGCAGTAGAGCTCAATCACTGATGTGAGCAGGACGGTTTTTGAGTGGCAGAGAATTTACCCTATGCGAAACTGACGCTTGGAACAGGGCCACCCCTATAGTCTAAGCCGGTCACTGTCTAGCAAGCTTCGGAAACCTCTTAACGAGCAATCGAGCACGTCGTGTGGAATGCTCCTTTAAGTAGCATCTTCCTAGGGTTACTCTTGGACATTATCTTGTCATCCACCTGGTCTTTTAACGACTAATCGCTCTTTTCCCGGCCGCTCTTTTCGAAGAGCGCTGTGGCTACGGGTATCGTGGAACAGTCATGGAGCCTTCGAGGCTCTACTCGTATAGGAAACTACCTACCGYGCCTCGCTGTTCAGAGGGTCATAGGAGGCAGTGTACAATTTGGTATTAGACGCGTCGAAAGGACATAGAGATCTTGAAGAGTATGTCGATGAGAGAGACGCGTCGATTCGATTGAACCATCCAACGGCTTCGACGAGCTTTACTAGTGGTAGAGTAGAACTTCGRCTCGATACCGTGGAATAGTACTGATCCTTTGCATGCATGTCGTTGGTTGCTGTTCTAGGAATACCTTTGACGCGTMGTTGTGTTAAACGAGCCCTGACGCGTCGAAGGCTCTTCGATGGGAGGGAAAGGATGGATGGTGTAACAGTATGGGGAGTCCCCTGGGAGGTCATGGACTTGGTCTTCCAACTGCTAGTATCACCAGTGGATCGAAGCTGACGCGATGAGTGACATAGGAGATGATGGTACTGCAAAGACCCCTGAGACTCTCAGAGCAAGCTTTCTCGATCCAACTCGTCTCGCGTCGGCGGCTATTCAAAGGCTACTAGAACGGCTACTGAAACGAGCAGTGGTACTGGCCGCGTAGAGGAACACGATGGACAGAGGATCCTCATGGAAGACGCGACAGGGTGTCTCGGTAATCGGATCATGGAGACTTTAGAGCGTATGATCACTAGCGATAGTGCGAAGGTCTGGCGGATGAGACGAAGCTCTTGCGGCGCTGGAGAGTACCCTCATAGATTCATGCCTGGCTAACCTGAGATGTTCAGGAGGTCCATAGTCCTAAGGTCTGGTAGGTCGAGACCCTCCTGCACCCTCTGGCGCGTACAGGGTATACTCAAGAAGCACAGGGAGGTAGTTGTAGCCATATCCCATGCTACCACCGTGCTCGGAGCCCCTGTGAGAAATAGGGGTAAGCATGGCCTCGTTGCAGCATATGTAGACTGCTCATACCCATCTTGTGATCTTCAGTCCATGTTCTCTACCTTCTGGCAAGAGAGCGAGACGGGTGATCACGGGGTCCTCGTCCGTTTGTAGCCACTCTTGCTTGGTAAGTGTATTCTGTGCGCCGCTAAGTCTTCGTTTCCYCTCCTCGTGCAGCCGAAAACTTTTCATCAACAGCAATCATCACCACAAACAACACACATCATCAAACTGCCGTGCATCCATCCGACAAACCACAGTAGAACAAGAAGAACCGTTCACGCGAATTCTAGTAGCAGAGATGGCTACCGGAGATCAGCAACGCCAGACCCGCAGTGCGACAAAGGCAATGGCAAACGAGTCGGGCGAAGCTCGCGAGAAGGGAGGAGAGGAGATCGTGGCGCCACCTCCACAGGAAGTACCACCACAAGAAGACGAGGTCATGTCTGAAGCACCGTCAGGTCGTATAGACTCGATGGGACCTGAAGCGCAGCAGTCGCCGCCCGCTGCACAGCCTGCCGGTACTACTGCCCTCTCCACGCTGGCTTCAGATCGTACTGCGACTTCAATACCGAGCCACCTTGCCTCGACTGGACCTAACAAGCCAACAAGAGCCACCAGAAAAACTCCAGCTGAGCGGAAAGCTGCTGGTCTTGCTGCTCTTACTGCGGGAGGGTCGATGCAGCAGGAACCTTCTCAGGAGCTCCTGGATGCAGTTGGTGGTGGACTGACGGCCACGCAACAGGTTGCCCGTGATGCACAAGTTGCTGGTAGCATTGCGCAAGCCGAAGCAATGCTTCTTAGAACCGAAGACGTTGCGGTCGCCATTCAGCTCACTCGAGAAGAAGGCGGTGATCTGACAGCAGATCCATATGCTGTCACTTGCGAGATTAGGGACCAGTACGATGCTACGCAGGAGTCTTCTCGTAAGCGGAAGCGATCGAATGGTGAGGACGCTGCGGAGCAGCAGCAGCAGCAGGGCGGAGATCCTCCTGCCTCATCACTCACGCAAGAATTGGAGCTGTCTATCCGTACGGGACAGATGCTTCCGCCACCTAGACCTGTGAGGCCGCTACAGCAGCAGCAGGCCTCTCCAGCAAGCGGTCCACAAGCTCAGCATCCTCCAGCTCGACGAGGTGTACAAGCTCCCGATAACTCGTTCGAGATGGGTATTGTCCCGCCTCGGCGGACCATACAGGATCACCCACTGGCAGAGAATCCTCTTCACCCGGATCACATGCCAGCCGAGCGTCCACCTCCTGGCCCAGTCCCACTTCGCAATGCGCAACAACCGGTTGTCCCGGTTGGATATCCACTTCAGCCGGGTGTCTACCCGATACCAATCTCAGATGGTGGACATATTCAGCACCCAACGCAGCTGCCAAATGAGATGCGTCATTTCGCCAACGCACCCAATATTCCGACTGTTCGAGACGTGAATATCCAGCAGCTTCGCGACACCATCTCGCACTTGCTTATTGCGAGAGAAACCATCGGGTCATACAAGGGCCGAGTTGCGAGGCCTGACAATGCGGAAGATATTCTTTATGACGCAATGATGGTTTTGGGCAGGTTCTGGAAGGATTTGGGTGGGAAGCGTTGAATTTGAGGAGAGGATTGGATGCAAGGGAGAAATAAGGGGCTGGAAAGCGAAGTGAGTGGATGGATGCAAACAAGGACGAGGGTGGATACATTGGTGGAGAACGAAAAGTTCATGTTCTGTTGGAAGTTTGGGATCAGAGCGGGATGAGGACTGGTAGATAGTTATGAGATTGAAGTACTACCTTAGCGCTGCATTTGCTTGATCGAAATGGAAATTGCAATTTAAAAAAAACCACAGGTGCCGTGCTCGTCACTCGTCACACTCGGTCACACTCGGTCACCTTTTGCCTGGCTGACACGGCTCTTCTCTATGCTATCCTCAGATCTGCACTACCTCATCACTACTTTCGGGTCAGGTGAGGGAGTGTAGGGCTGAGAAATAAGGGAAAATCAAGTAGACCACAGTTCGATTCCGTATTTGTTCATTGATGTCTACACTCGTCACCATTGGAGCATCGTTTTGCCCAATCGCAGCACGCGAAGAAGATGATGAGATGCTGTGCTCTCTTCTCATACGTCATTGCTAGGTCCAGAAGTAATTCGAATCAATCTCTCTTCCCTTCTCCGTCATCATCTTTCCGGCTCTCAAAAGCCGAGGAGTTTCCATTGTAGAACTCTGTTTTCTTGCCCGGTGCATCAGCTCTCACGTCCTCTCTGATCGCCTCACTCGGTCCCGTTGCTGTCTTCCCTTCCGCAGGCTCACTAGGCCCAAAACCGGGGACATAGGTCAAAGCTGCTCCCAACATCCCCGTCGCACCGCTCGCCATCCCATACGCCAGGTGCAGTGCCGAACTCATGTACCCTCTTCCTTCATTCCCATCGTAAGCTTGCGTATACCCTTTGACAGGAACCAACACCAGCGTGGCGTTCGGCGTCAGGCCCAAGTCAAGCAGCGACTGCCGCTCCTCTCCAATCTCAATGCTTCGACTTGGCAACGGCGCTCTCAGCATCTTGAATGTAAAGGGTTCCTGTCCGACGCCCTCCTGCGTAGTGATCCACTCCCTGACACTCCCTTCCAGCGTCGCCGAAGGTTCGAATCTTCGCTTGATACTCGTCCCGTCAAACAGTCGAATCTGAAGTGCACACATCCCACCCGCGCCAATCCGCCGACTTGCCGCGTCAGCGCTTGGGTTCATCGGCGAAGAAGCAGCAGGAGCATCCGTAGGCGCTCTTTGCGATCTTGCCTTCCTCTCCATGCGATCCGCTTCGATTTGCGCCAATATTCGTGCCTTTTCCGTCTTGGCGTCTTGTTTCGCTTTGCTCTGCTGAACTAGGTAGTCTCGCCTCGCAGCTTCCTTGCCTTTATCGGTACCTTCGCTCGCTCTCCCCTTCCCCTTGTCCTTGTGGAAGGCATGCGCTTCCTCGGCTTCTTTCCGCCGGGCAGCTGTTCGAGCCGCTTTCTCCGCGGCTTCTGCCGAGCGGACCTGGTCATTTTGAACAGATGTTCGGGCGGCGCGGTCGGGAAAGAGGGAGGTCATATTCACTGTGGCTGGGTCTGGATGTTGCTGCTGTTCTTGCTGTGGTTGTTGCTGCTGTGCTGTGGTGATTTGTGCCGCTGGGATCTCCGTTTCTACTTCTGTCTCCATGTCCATGCCGTCTCCACTGATGTCGACGTCCATTGCCCGCCCAATTCTGCTGGCGAACTCGTCTCTTGAGACTCCGCCTTCCACCTTCTCCAGTACCTGTCCATTTCGAATGACAACAAATGTCGGCGTCGTTGCGATTGGACAAAAGGCAGCCAGGAAACTCGCTTCTTTACTCTCGGCTTCTATCCGTAGCACTACAGCTTTGCTAGAGATCGCGGCGAAGAGGATCTCATTGGTGAGCCAGGTTTMCCATGTCGCGCTTTCGGAATCGGACGGAGAGTGCACGAAACAAGCCACGAGCTTGGATTCCGCGATGGCAAGAGAGATACCCGATTGCAAGTCGCCAGAGTGGAACATCTTGAATCTGGGGGGGAGAAAGGCAATAGGTTATAGTTAAGAGGGAGATTCGTGTTCTGGAGAGGGGACGGGACGTGACGTGAAGCTGAAGCTGCCTTGCATGTGACGACCGCGACTTTCCGAGCTCCGAAGTCCGTCCGTCCGCTCGCTTATCTTATCGCCATCGCTGACGTTTATCTACCGTATTCACTTACTTTCCCCACTAAAACTCTAGTTCGGCACTACTTTCCACTGTGTCGCATCCCAGCCGTCAATGACCCTCTCGTTTTGTGAAAAACTCAGGAGAATCTCCGCCGCATCTTGTCTTTCCTTCATCCGTTGAATTTCCGCCTCAACCTCCTCATCAAATTCCGAACTCTCGCTGTCCCAACCCTTTCCTCCATTCTTCTCATTGAACATCTTCACCCAAGTCCGCCGAGCTACCAAAAATTTGTTTCCCATCTCATGTTCGATCGTTTTTTCAATGCAGGTTTCGATCATATCCGATAATTCATGCATAGATCCAGTGAGCGCCTCGACCGCGGCCTTGAATCTGGCATTTTTCATGATGCGAGAAGTAGCCCACACTCCTTGCATGAGATCTTCGTGGAGTCTACGGAAGGAAATATAGCAGCCATGTGCCCTCGCAAATTGGCGAAGCAGAAGGGAGGTTTTATGCTCGGATGGGGCAAGCGCGAGGGCGTGCTTGGTATGGATTTTGAGGGCKTTGGCGGATGGTATGTTGCTCATGATCAATTCGCAGGTTGCGAGAAATGCCGGGGTGATCTCTGGAGTGGATTCATCCATCACGGAAGTGTCGGGAGAGAGCGAAATCTCCCTGGTGGTCTCCTGGTGTGACGATGATGGAGACGGGCCGAGATGGACCGCGTAAGACCGCCTGCGCGGTGGAGTCGTCGAAGACATCTTGATGAATACTCTGGTATTTCAACAAGGGAAGGAGAGATATTGGAGAAGTATATAACTGGAGAGCTGGGAATTAGCTCTTCCAAATCCGAAAGAAGACTGCGGGAGCCATGGGACCTGTTGATGACGCATTAGGTAAGCTACGGGGCACCTGACCGGAGAAATGAATGAAATTGACTATTCGAGTGCGAAGTTATGCATGAGAGGAGAGTACTGCGATGTAGGATACCGTGATCTTACTATTTTTCGTTCGAACTGACGGTCCTCCGAGTTTTTGGCGTTTTCGTTGGCAGACTCTTGATCTTTGACTCTTGATTCTTGGCATAGCTCTTATCTCTGACATCAAGCAACGAAGACTCTTTGACGAGGAATTTGGAACCACATTAATGCTGGAATAACAAAGTGGCACTTCAGGCATCTGCTAAAGACCAAGAATTTGAATGAGTTAAGGCAGGTACTGCGAATCAAGTGAATAACTACATAAAGCCTCTTGTTCAATATCATCAGTCATACATCTCCTCATCCACCCGCTCTTCACGCACGTTTGAGACCGACACATTTCCAGCCTTTTCTCCCGAAGTTCTCATTCTGTCGTCCCCTACAAGAACCTCCTCCACCTCTCCCGTCAATCGGTCAATGTTCTGCAGGATTTCTGCGAGCTGTTTCTTGAAATTGCTCGAGACCTCCTGAGACCTATTGGACTGGGGCGCAGGACTATCCGCAATCATCCGGAGAAATTTCTCGTTCATCTCGCTGAACAAGGTGTTGTGAGTACGAAGATCACTCAGACAATCTCTCAGCCGCTCGTTCTTGTGCAGCGAAGGTGCAAGTCCCTGAAAGAGTCTGATCTGCGTGAAAAGCTCGGAAATCGACTGGGAGGGAGCCTTGAGCTCGGGGAAAGAGGTTGGAAGGGTGGTTGCGCCTCCGTTGGTGCGTGTATTTCTGAGGGGCTGGCGCCGACGTGGAGTGCGTGGCGGGTTTTGAGAGTGCAGAGGCACGGGCTTCTTTCTGAGTGCCTTTGCGGGCGGTTTGCGTTGGCTGGGAGTGAGTTGTGCGGCGTGCTCTGCAGATTCAAGGACCTTTTTGGCGGGCCGACGGCGGCGTTGTCCAAATAGTTTCATGGTTGTGCTTGGCAAAGTTGAGCGTTTGGGCTGGATGGGTTCTAACTTTTGCGGCCTGTGGGAGAGGTGAGGCGACTTTGGTATGTGAAGGTGAGGGGAGGAGTTTGAATTGAGGTGAGGGAAGCGACTTTATGCTCGCAAAAGCATTTGAGGACGCATCGAATAGAGTTTGGATTTATGGCGTGGAGTCCGAGTTGATCACAAGACGCCCCGACGGATCCGATATTCCTGCCTTGAATAGAGTTAAAAGACAGCTATCGCTTGCGTTGCCACCTGGAAGACGTCCTGGATAAGGTAAGTAAGAAGGTCGACTAATTGTATTTCCCGCACTGCAAGCCCCTTATTGGCGTGGTCGGCATGTTTGAATACCCAGATTTCTCTCCACCGGCAAATTATTCGGCCGATCAGTGAAGAGAGACGTATCAACTATGATATTCGGTAAGTTCTGAAGGTATTGTAAAGCATCCGAGCAGACGGAGACCCCGGACTGGCCCCCGAAAGTGCTGTGTATAGGTGGCATGTTCAGTGACATGACCCACGGTAGAGCAACATTGATCCCCCTTAATCGCCAACTCGGGCATGGCAACCTTCATTTGAAGATTCATCTCCACCGCATCGAAGACCTTGAGTCTTCTGAAGGATGTTGAATGGCCACGATGTATGGACAGAGCTCTAGGAGACACCTGATCGTGACAGACATTGTACAGAAACTGCGGAAACCCTGTCAAATATTGCTTCATGCGAAGGACCTCCTATCATTTGTTGATATGCAAGCGACATTCAGTCGGCATATATCAATTACAACATCAATCAACACACTCCGGTCTTTACAGCCAGGACATCTGCCGTCGAACTCGTCCCACCAAATCAATCGCGCTCTCTCGATTCAATCACCCTGCCCTCATCCCACTCAGTTTTCCCCTCATTCTCCAAATGCTCGATTGCATCCTCCAGTCCATCCAAAAACGATTGCAGAGCCTTGATAGCGCCCTCGAGTCGTTTGAAACGATGGTCAGAAACCGGCATGTTGTCCATTTCGTACACATCAATCGCTGTATTGCGAGCTGATTTTATGTCGGCATAAGCCCGCTTCATATCGACGAGTGATATCATTATCCCTTGCTGTTGCCTTTTGAAATTTGCGGCTGTGTCGGACTGGTGGCTTCGGTTGGAGACTTGCTTCCCGTTCGGTGGAAAAAAAAGATGCAATGAACGCGGGACAAGAGCAATGTATACGATCAACCAGAGAGTGACAAACATCTAGACATACAACTTGTAAAGCAGACCAAAGCATGTGTGTCGACATCTATGGTCAAGAGCTTTCTGGCAACTTGTAGCGGTTTTGAAGCACTCCGAACGCATTTGCATTCTTGAAGCTCAACAAATCATTCTTTGATCTCAAAGGGGAGAAGGCAATGACGACTCACCGAGTATGCGGCTAGAAGGATGCGGAAAATTAGGTGCCCATGATTGATCTCGGCGGGAGAAACATAAGATGTAGGGCAATCCCCAAGCCCGGCGATGTCTGTAGATGCACGCATCACTCCTTGGTAGTGTAGCGGGCGGATTGTGAACAGGGGATGTCGTGAGAGCAGTGGTAGATCCAACACGGTGTGCAAGACGACATTCGTCTGCCTCATTCAGCTTTCGGTTCAACGGACCGCCGCAACGCTGCTAGATTTGCAGACGTGCCCATCAGCTTGCTGTGCTTCGTGCTGCGTGGTTTCGGCATCCCGTACTGACAAGCCATGCTCAAATCAGAATCTTCTCCTCCTCGCCCGGCTTCCTCTTTGGCTCCACCTCGTCCATCATTCCCGTCCCCCTCTCGTCCACCCTTTGCACGTCAAACCCAGTATCCGCATCTCCTCTCTTTGGCGGCTGATTCGTCGCCCACATATCCGCTACCCTTAACTCAAACGGCCCTTGTACTCGATCCGTCAAGCCAATCCCTATACTCCTCACTTTCTGCCTCAACATCTCCCGTTGTGGCTCCACCACCATCCCGTAGTTTGTCCGCACGAACGCAGCAAAAGGTATTGTGATGGTCTCCCATTCGCCCGGTCTACTGCAAGGCAAAAGATGTTGATGTAGATCTGTGGGAACAATCGATTCGGTTTGGATGTTGATGAAGTATTTCCTCCCGTCGCTCTTAACGCGGAGAGCGAGGTAGTTGTAGGGGTCAATATCCCACAGCAGCTTTCCGAATAGGGAGACTCCTCGATCTCTTGTGCGGAACGCAGCATACCCTGATCGTTGAATGTTCGGCCGGTTCTGCGGGAGTTCTGTTGATATTGTGCCTTTGAACAAAGCATGTGCTGGTTCGCCTTCGTGTTCTGTGATTGCTGTTTCCTCTGACTTTTCGTCGCTACTTGATGTAGTCGTCCTTGATGTCGTTGAGCTCCTGCTACTCCGCTGTGGTGGCACCCATGTCAAGCTCGCTGTACTGAATCCTCCCATATCTGAATCGCACATGATTTTCGTTGCGCCTATGCTCTCTTCCTTGTCGAAGTATATGAGGGGGAAAGGTTTCGTGGGTACATGCAGGCCCTTGACAAAGACAAAGTCAGTCCTGAGCATTATCCCGTAAGGATTCTGGCGCATTGTACCTCCATGTTCACAGCTATCACTGCTTGACGTTTGAACTCTGTTAATGACCTCTTCCAGAAACCAGGCTGTCCAGCTCGGAGGATCGGAGTGGCGAACATTTTGTCAACACTTCCTCGATTATGGGCAGGTGGTCAAATGGTAGGGTATGGGAATTGAAGAGTAGTGGCGTGAAAGGTCGAGATGCAGGTGGAGACCTACCTCGTTGCGGCGATCTCGGGAGTGTCTCTCGCGCTAGAGCAACGGCGACACTAGCGTGATCTGATCCGAATTCCGAGATCGAGGTTGAAAGCCAAAAGCTGCCCGAAAACATCATCCATCCAACATTTAACATCCATAATCATCTACCCGCCGGAAATCCTCTTCGAATCATCGCCATATCAACCGCTTCGCATGGTATCAGAACCGCCATCTTCCGCCAACAGTGCGATCATCACAACCAACAACAATGAAATTTCGACAACCTCCCCTACTCCCGCTCCAATGGAGGCGCCCTTGAAGGAACGTCGTCCTTGGACACATTTTGTAGCGGGTGGTACGGGCGGAATGACAGCAGCAACGCTGACTTCTCCGCTTGATGTCCTCAAGACGCGCCTTCAGTCCACATTCTATCAAGCGTCATTGGCCGCCTCCCGATCCGCAAAAGGCATTCCTCCTCCACATGAGCTTCCGCTGGCTCGCGCCGCTCTTCTACACATACGGGAAACAGGACAGATATTAGCTCAGATTCCCAAAGTAGAAGGATACAAGGCTTTGTTCAAAGGTCTGGGACCGAATCTGGTTGGTGTCGTTCCTGCACGCGCAATAAACTTCTGGGCATACGGGAATGGAAAGAGGGTGTACTCTCAGCTTCTGTTTGATGGAAAGGAGACGGCAGGTGTACATCTCMTGTCTGCAGCGACGGCAGGAATCATCACGGGCACAGCGACGAACCCCATCTGGTTGGTGAAGACACGACTGCAATTGGACAAGCAGCATGCGAAAGATGCGGCTTCTGGACAGCAGGGCAGATTGTACAGGAACGCCTGGGATTGCGTGGTGAAGACTGTGAGGCATGAAGGGATCCGAGGACTATACCGAGGACTTTCAGCGTCTTATCTGGGTGTCAGTGAATCTACACTACAATGGGTGCTTTACGAGCAAGCAAAATCCTCACTAGCCAGAAGGCAAGAGAGACTGGCCATTTCAGGTCGTCCGCCGACGACGTGGGACAAGACGGTGGAGTGGACCGGGAAATTGACGGCTGCTGGAGGAGCAAAGTTTGTTGCTGCGCTCATCACATATCCGCATGAAGTTGTCCGGACGAGATTACGGCAAGCACCTGTTGATGCGAGTGGGAGAGTCAAATATACCGGGCTTTGGAGCTGCTTCACGACGGTGTTCAAAGAGGAGGGAATGGCCGCGTTATATGGAGGTCTCGTACCACATATGCTACGCGTGGTACCGAGCGCGGCTATAATGTTTGGTGTATATGAGGGTGTCCTTTGGAGTTTGGGTGAGAGTGCTGGTGTGTAAAATGGCATTCAGAGGGTTGGCGATGTAAGATATCGTGGCGGCACTTGCTTCTGTGAAGGGGCCGCGGCAGGAGGATGGGAAAAGGCAGCTGGCTACTTGACTTCAACGCTCGTCATGGCCAGTCGAAGGAGACATAGGTTTGAAGAAGATATACCATCCACTCATGTACTGTTAGACGACGATGCTAAAGTGTAATATAGAACTGTACAGGAATCTGGTTGACTCCACTCTTGGGTTGGTCGTGACGGCCTCGTGTTTAAATTTCAGAGCCATGGATACAATGTGTGGATTCGACCAGGACTGGGGTGAGACCTGGCGATTCCTACTATCGAATGGCATTGCAAAGCACCGTATTATTTGGAAGTACGGGGTGACGGGAAGACAATTTAGTTGAAGATTTTGCGGTCCACTACAATGAAATGGCAGACGGCGAATTGCCATCTCAAGCTTACCACCAAAAGTATCAGACAGAAGATCGAGAGCCCAGTTTTCCGCAAGAATTTTGGAGTGTTGATCTAGAGGAGATCGCGTTGGCAGCGAAGGGCAAATTCCGGGCTGCATTAGGTAGAGTAGCATGAACATATAAGCCAATACGCGCAGGATCGAAACCAGATTATATCAGACGATTCATCGTAAGCAAAGATCTTAGTCAAATATGCCTTCCTGATGCTTTGACTTGCGTATGTCCTCCGCATTGAACCGACACATGGAAAGATTTCGGAAAGCAGAGAGTAAGGCGAACATTAGCTGATTGGGATGAGTGAGTGAATCACTGGAGAGCCTTCTTCATAGGCGTTCAGTGGAAAAAAGGGCCGGACCTACTGCATCTACAAAACATGATGTCGTGATTCCAAACTGACACTGCATATTATTAAGACATACATCTAGCACCATACCAGGTACAAAGACCACAAGCCTATAGTCCTACCCAAACCCTAACCCTAAGCTCCCCCGCGCAGTAGGGTACGAGAAGGAGGCAGAGATAGATACGACGTACATAATTCCATTTCTTCTGGTAGGAACGGGTCACAACAGCGAGACATCTGAGCAAGCCAAGAAGCGGATATGTCGATAGTACTGATACATACATACATAAGACCTCTCGCAGCAGAGTTCCTGGGAGCTACACACGGGTGACCGTTGTTACCCGATTTCATCGACACATCCTACGCTAAGACGTGCTCGAACTCTCGCCGCTGCTCCAGAAAAATGAGGCTTCGATTCCCAACGCCATCTCTTTCCAACATCGTCTCGAGGCTTCCTAGCCATCACCGAGATGTCTTTCGAGGTTGCCAAGGAGATCATCATCGCCGGCATCATCGGCTTTGTCGGCATCCTCTTCAGTGGAAGGCTCCTCAACAACAAGCTTGCTGGACTCTGAAATGCCGTCCCGCGCTGTGGTTTCATCTTTGGGAGGAGCTTGGTCGGTAGCACCAGGCGCAGGTTCATGTGCCTCATCGTTTGCAAGAGAAGCTGAGCTACCGATAGTTGGAGCGGCAATTTCTTCAGTCGGTGGTGCATCATCGTTCAAAGRGACTGGTGGTAGCTCGACGTTTGATCCAGATCTGCTGCTCGACTTCGCAAGCGGCCGATCTGGTGAGCTCGAGAGATCGCGAGGTGCTGACGCACGTTCTGGTGCAATTGGCGTCTCTAGCGGCTCCTCGTCATCCGGTCTCTCTGGCTGAGACTCCTGCAAGGCTTCCTCGACCTTGGCCACCTCTGCATCCATTGCTTCTACCAGTGCATCCTCCTTGTCATGCTGAACATCTTCCATGTGCTCGGACGTATTGGTATCGATGCCCTGAGAAATATTGGCATCGGGAGCTTCAGCAGCCATAGCTGCATCAGCCATAGCTACATCTTTGATTTCTGTCGCATTGCTGTCGTTGGCGATGATGTTGCTTTGTGCAGGAGCTGCGGACGTTTCATCCCCATTCGCTGCGTCCTCGTTATCCGAGAGGTCGCCGTCTTCCCTGTCATCATCGTCGTCATCATCGCCCTCTTCACTACCTGATCCGTCTTCGCCATCGTCGTTGTCGTCCTCGCCGCCCTCAACACCATCTTCAGGAGCAGCTGCAGCCGCTTGTTCCGCAGTAACATCCGCTCCAGCTTCTTCACCCTTGGCAACATGCTTGACCGTCTGCCCAGGCTGCGGTACAATCTTGGTGGCATTGGGAACCACAGTCGTGTATGTAGAGCCATCCGGATTGGTGAAGGTGACTCGTTTCTTGCCACGGCCGGGACCGCCCTTCTTCTTCGGCGGAGGCCTGTTCCGACGTGGAGCAGAAGGTTTGAGGTGCTCAGCAACCACGACACCTTCCTCGTTCGCAATACCGACACCCTCGATGACCGTGCCAGGCGCAGCCACAACAGGCTTGACATCTGCGAGCTCGGTAGATTCTGTGACTTCACCCTCCATGGTCTGTCCTTCTGGCACAAGAACTTCATACACTGCAACTTCGCCATTTGCATCTGCTTTCTGGACTTTGGTCTTGCGCATCACTACAGGAGCACCGGATTGTTGATCAGGTCCGTACAGACTTGGCAAGCCTTTTCGTCGTTTGGCAAGAAACTCAAAGTGCTTGTGCTCCGGTTCCAGCTGATGCTCAGGGACGGGCTTCCACTTCTTCGCGATGTAACCGCGATCTTCCATGCTAACATCTTTGCTGGGCTCCTCAGGTTGTTCCTCTTCAGGTTTGTCGTCGTCTGCGGTATCGTGGTCCTGCTTACGCTTGGTTCCGACTCTGCCGGATCTAGCAAGACGGAGAAGATGTTGGGTAAAGGGTTGCAGCATTTGATAGTCCCTTGGCATCGGAGGGTCTGCCCATTTGTCGTCTGCACGATTTTGAACCTCCATGACCGGCGGCGCAAGTGAGACTCGCGAGAGTGATTGACTCCATTGCTTAACTGGGAGGCCTTCAAAGACATCGTTGTCGGCATTGGATCGACCAGAGCGGTTGCTGCGGCCTGGAGGTCGGTACTGTTCGGAAGAAGACATGTGAGCGGATGGTTCGGCAATGGGGGCGAATGTTGAGGTAGTGAATCTTGTGATACAGCGAAACTTGGCGGGAGGTTTCGAAGTGTCGTGCGAGTGTAATGTCATAATTTGAGCTACCAAGATAATGGGTATGGAACCATTGGATATGCCTCAGAAAATCGGGCGAAAGAATCCGATTTGTTTTTTGATGGAGATGGAAGCTTTAAACGTACCGGCGCCATGATTGAGATGTATGCTGGGTTGCGGAGTGACGCGCAAATGGTRTTGCGAATTATCGAGTGGGTTTCACTGCTGTGTGAGCATACAATTAGCGTCCTGTGGCTGGGTATTCATGCAGTCTAGTGATGCATATATGGAGACCAATGCAATCTGATGAATGCGAATAGATGTCCGTGAGTGAATAAGTCGCGCGGGAGACGGCGGCCTCGACGCGTGAGGTCGCTTCTCGCTTCGCCGGCCTCACCTCCGCACACGGGAGTAGCCGCTGCTTCGAGATTCGCTCCGTCATCATCTGTTTTGTTCGTCGACCGTGATCGCTCCGCCACCCAATAGTCGTATCGACAGGACATCTTCTGAAGCTCATCATTCAAAAGATTGCAACAAGAATGGCCAGCACCACTGCCGTCGAGGTGCGGTCACTATACCGCTCCCTCCTCCGTCAATCGAATCAATTCGCCGCATACAACTTCAGAGAGTACGCCAAGCGACGGACGAGAGATGCGTTTCGGGAACACAGCACGGAGAGTGATGCGCGAAGGATACAAGAGTTGACCCAGCATGGATTGAAGGAGCTGCAGGTGTTGAAGGTGCGTTGATGATGCGGAAGAGATGGACAGAAACTGTTCATTTGAGGCAGACGAGATTGCCGGAATGGTATGCTGACTGGGTTCATGTTGCAGAGACAAACGGTGGTCAGCCAATTCTTCCAACTCGATCGGCTGGTGGTAGAAGGTGGGAAGACGGGAAAGCAGACGGGTGATAGGGGTGGTATCGTACGGCAGAAGGATACTGGGTAAGTCTCCAATGCGAGGACCGCATCCGACGTATGCTGACATTCACTATAGTTGGGATTGATCATTTGATGCTTCTTCGTTTCGATCTGAAGTTGTCGCTCTGTACAGTATGCCCTCCAACCTCTGATAATACCGATGCAGAAGTTTTGTATGACACATCACATACCTACGCTTGAGCTCGAATTATCATACCAATTTTCATGAAGGTCGGGGATGGAGGTTGTCTGGTCCGTACATCCGACTTTTGGTTCCCCTCGTATCCCGCAGAAGTGGAGAGAGTTTTCCCGGTCGCCATGACCGCCATGCTGCGAAGGGTCTTTAGAAAAGGTTCCATTGGCGGGAGGACTTGAGGTTCATGCGGTTTCCTTGGTTACCCTGCTCCTTCCTTTCTGCGAGCACTCCTTCCTTCGCCCGCGCCTTCCGTAATCTTCTTCTAACCTTAGCGCGCCCGACGCGACGTTCCCGTCTCAACTGAACTTCCCTCCGGACCTACCTCCACTTCGTCGTGCACTTACAATACCCGCTCATTGAATCTGCGGCGCGCCTGACCACAGCTCCCAATCACTCTCCTCCCCAAACCCGGTAATTCAAAGTAAAACTCAAGATGTCGGACGACTATGACTCCTGTGACCCCCAACTCTATGACTCTGAAGAGTTTCTCGACTTCTCGGACGACCTCTACGATGGGGAAGATCTCTGCCACTACTGTGAGTGTAGCGAAGGATTTTCTGCCCGCCCTAGATGACCGAGACACTGCTGACTCTTGTGCCCTTTGCTTGTAGGCAAGGAAGAGCCAAACGACAGCAAATGTCAATTTTGCAACTGCTGGGAGTACGACTGCCACGTCCCTGACCCATGGGCCTGCTCCGAATCCTGCGAGTGTGAGAGTTGCACGGAATACCGCTCCGAGTTCCCGTTTCCTCTCCGGTCGAACTCAGAGAGCCCGCTCACGCCGGCAACAATCTATGATCGCTCTACAGTCTATGAGCTCCTTCGGTTTGTTCACGATCGCCACCTGGTAGACCCGCAGCCGGGCGGCCTCACACACAAGCATCTCTACTATCRCATCCTCCGTGCTGCGGATGAGAAGCCTAGCTTCCGATTCCTGGATCTGTCCGCCGAGATGCGAAACCACGTCTACCATGACTTGCTCATCTTTCCACGAGCGGGAGCCCGCACAGAAACGACATGCTTTCCCGCAATCCTCAGAACCTCCGGCCAGGTTAATCGGGAGGGCAAAGGTATTTTGTACGGCGACAATGTCTTCCAGGTCAAAATCACCCAGGACCACACCACAAGCGCCTCAGTCAAGAAAAGCATACGCGTRCATGACGAGAACTTCCCAATCACCTGCCTGCACAACAAGTTTAGCCGCATTCCAGAGGCGATCAATGCATACCCCGAGGTCTTCAAGCGCATCCAACAACTAGAAATTGAAGTCAAATTCATTTGCATGGACGTCGGTCGCAATTGGCTGCACGGGAGCCATAGCTGGGACTTCATCAACAGGTGTCTGCTCTCGCTATCATCCTTCCTCATGGATGGCCACGAACTGAAGAAGATCAAGATCGAATTCAAGGTTGTCACCTCCGAGCACCAGAACGACTTGCCGGAGGATTGGGAGATTGGCTACATGCTGTACCCACTGCGTCGCCTACGCGGTGTCAAGAAAGTAGAGGTCACTGGATCTCTCCCGAAGAAGATGGCCAAACTCATCGTCAGCGAGCTTCAGAGTACGGCGAAAGCGCCCCACAACACTTTAAGACACTGGCAGCTTCTTGAAACGGAAGCTATTGCACGTCTCCTACTTACTCAACATCTTCATGGATCGGAATGTCACTGCGGATCGTGCTACGAACCAATGGAGTTCTGCATGCTTGAGCTACAGAACGCCTTTGCGACTGTTCAGGACCACGAGATCTTCCAGAGCGAGAGTCCTGGCATTGAAACCTCTGTGAAGGAGGAGAATCTACAGGTACGCCTGGCCGGCCTTCAACGCGCTCTTCGCGCTGCGAGAGCTGCCGAGTTGAAGGTAAAGTTCGATGCATTCTTCAAGGCGGAGAAGGAGAGGCGGAGGTTTGATAGTCGTGTCGGACAGGAAATCCCGATGGATGCGGAGAAGAAATGGGGGGATGTCGACATCGATGATGAGGATGGAACGGAGGATTTGCGCGCACGTACAGACTGGGGATTTGCCGAGTATGAAGAGGGCGATCATGTTGACTTGGCCACGTGAGCGTGCAAGGTTTCCACGTTGAATGATATTGCCGGATGAGTTTACTGGGGAAATGGACAATTCCCATATGCTGCTATAGCTAGCAGCTTTCGTAAATGCTACATGCTCGCCAGAGCTGTCGATATGGAAATACACCAATGACAGCAGCGCTCTCAACTGCTCTCTCCGGTATACTTCGCTAGTAGCAAAGGGTCTAGCAGGTCTAGGATCGTCGACCGTGCAGAGAAAAGGCAGTATGAGAGGGACTGAGGGTGTCTTGCCTCGAGGGAGAATGTCCCATAGCGACCGCTCTCATCCTCGCTGGGGTTCCGAGATACGATTTACGAGATCGCCCACCTCATTCTGGATGGTCTTCATCTGTCTGCTGGTTTCCATTGAGGACCCTCTGGAGAGCTGCCTCGTGCCCCAATCCACAGGAGAAAGCGCGTACCCTCTCATGTAAAGATATTGAAGCATTCCGGCCATTCACGCTACTAATCGATATATCTCGGCGCGCAGTACTTGTCGAAATCACGCAGCTTAGGACCCCAAATAAGTGCCAAAAGCGGCCTGCAGAAATCATATCCACCACCCAGCGCTGCAGAACTGAAGTTGAATCAATCTTCGTTCCGATCAGAGCAGCGATGCTTTTAAACCATATCGCCCGGACGTCGTTGGTGATACTGAGGAGGAAGAAGAAGGTCATGGTGAGTCGTTGGACTGAGAAGTCACCGAGGTTGTATGCTGAAATTGTGCATGTGAGAGATGGAGCGGACATAAGCACTTGGCGGGCTTGGAGGAAATTGGCTATCTGCTATCGCTTGTGTCTMGGTGAAGAGCAATGAGCCCTTCGTAGTTAAATTCAGGTACGGTCTTTCCATTTCAAGGGTCTGGCTGCAGACTGGTCAACTAAAGTATGCTTGCAGTAGTCATAGAAATCGCTCTGCCGTGGTAGCTGAGGCTCCTTCTTCGTCTCTTTGATTCACAGCGTCCTGGTGAAAGCTCCAACACCAGAGCAGCTAGAACCGTCTGCGTTGATCCTTTCAATCCACCGTGGCTCATGTTGCCCGAATCGGAAAATTTGAGCACGTTYGCTTTTGCCCTGAGTATTAAGGCTTGCCTCTAGACATCCTTAGGATGTGGCCACCATGGTGTACACCGTCTTTGTTGATGCTGACGATTGATTCCAATTTCCGGATTGACACTTCAAGAGCGCTTACAAAACTGATCGGCATCGGTAGGTAGCGAGCTTCAGGTGCTTGTGGCCTTTGTCAATGCCACTGATCTCTCGTGTCTTGATAAGGATTTCCATAAGCAGTGCGGTTGGTATTGCCGGGGTGTTGCTCTTCATGCCCTGTCTGACAATGCTGGAAGAGATTATGCTCACGATGAGGCGCCGTAGGCCACTGCTTGAGGGAAGCCTTTCATAAACCATGGCGATTATCTCAGGTGTAACCCATCGAGTTCTCAGAATCTCGCCGTTGGAATCTGTGAGAAGAGCGGTGATGATCGTCTTCTGTAGCATGCGATCACCAAGCGCTTCTGCAAGAATCCACAGGGCGCAAAGCGCACGTTTGCATTCATCGGCTTGAACTTGGTCGATCTTGAGGTTGTTATAACGTGAGAGAAGGGATTTCAGCTCTTTTCCCTCTTCCGTCAAAGTTTCCGCCCAGTCTCTTAGAAGATTTGCACTGTACTCACCAGAAAGAGTTGCAGTGCCAGACTCATCCAAGGTTATTTGCGCGGGCGGCAATTCAGATGGCATGCTACCTCCTGCCTTGAGCACCGTGGAAAGTAGTGTAGAGCGTCTGATAGCAAGACTTCGATCCACAGTCAACGTCTGTGCGTTCTCGCCCGCCCCGATCCGAATTGTGAGCTTCGTATGGGGTAGAAGCTCACGCAAAGCTTTGAGCAAGTCGCTTTTCAGAAACTGACCTGACTGCTCAATTTCTTCTCGTGTCAGGCCTGGAGCCATCCATTCAGGGATGCGTCTCCGAATGAAGCGTGCCCCTGGACGATGTCGCAAGCCCCAAATGAACACACCATCGGCAACACTGATCGAGACAGATCCTGGGAGAGCAGTCAAGGCACGTTCCCCGAGCACACGCAGCACCTGAAAAATGAAACCGAAATCCCGAATAGCTAAGAATGCAAAACGTAGCAAATCGCAGAGGCTGGAGACACCAGCGTCGGGCTGATCGTCTTGGCCGAGCCTGCTACGTTGCTCTCTGAACAGACTACCTCCTCCATCTTCGACAGGTACCACAGAAAGGGCTTTGCCGTAGATCCAGTTCAAATAAAACTTGAAGTCGGCTGGGTCCCCGTCAAAAATCTCGTAGTTGGTCTTGTCTCCTTGGATGGTAATTCGCCGCCGAATGTAGGGCGACCCTCGAAAGAGCAGGGCTTCATCGACTCGGAATACCTCTTTGACAACCGGGCTGATTCCTTGCTTGTTTCTAAACACTGTCACTTCGATGGTCTTGCCATAGTCCAAGCTGTAGATCTTAGCATCGGATTCGTAAGGCCAGGCTGTTGAAACTGACCGAATGCGCTTCCGGCCCTCCTGGACATCAGAAGCGCCTTCTATTTGGAGAACCTCTTCCTCCATCTCCGCCTTGCGCTTCTTATTTGAGGCAGAAGCGCGAGGCCCGCCGCCGGGCGCGGGCTGGACCATGATGATAGTCTGGCTGGAGGTGAAAAGTGGGTTGTCGAAGGTTTGCTAACCTTGCTTCTGGTCGATGGAGGCCTTGTTTGCAGGCGAACGCTGCGGCGACTGAAGCCACTTGCCTTCACTTGTTGTCTAGGTGAGATTGCGTGCTGCTCAGTGCTGCCAGCTCGACGAAAAACAAAGTGTGGTATCTGTGGCTCCACGAGTTGTTGTGTTCGGCGGAGGATGCAATGAGCTTGTTCGGGGAAATGCAGTGTGTTTGGAAGATGAAGCGGAGAAAAAGCTCAGGGACAGGAGGCAAAGGTATAGTGCCACGGTAATAAGGTTCAATGTCGTGCATGAGCTCCACTCTGGCTGCTTCACTCACCTCGAGTTGAATAATAAGATCAGCAACGAGTGAGGTTTGAGCTGGTCATACTCTCTCTTCGCTCAGCTCAACGTCCATATCAGGCCTTCCTAAAGGAGTTCCGCCTCGAGATGACAGCTTCGCCGGAGCTCTAGGTAAAGCCACAGACTATCCCAAGACTTCAGATTCCACAGACCGGACGAACTTGATCAAGGTGGGAGGATGTATACAGACAAATGAGATTGCTTCCAAACAGCACCTGGTTCGGCCGGCAAGACGCCTATACTGCAAAATACATCGCGTCCTTTGCTCCTCGATTCCATGTAACAGCTCCACTCTTCCTTCCTCCGCCCTCATCTTCCACCTAGAATCCCTCTTTGCCCCACTTGTTGTACTTCTCGTGGAATTCCTGGATATCTCATTAGCACCCGACTTCTGACTCCTTCCACAGTTCGTTGGTGCCTATCGTGTCTGTACACACCTTTGGTAAGTTAACCGCAGGAATAATGACCTCGTTCAAAGCACTGGGTGCGTCCCTCTTTCCCTTGCTTGGGTCACCACCTGGGTGGTACTGATATCTCGCCTCACCACCAGTCTTCCACGGCTCGGAGTGCTCGACGCGGGCGACAAGGTTCTCCGAGGACGAGGAAGTAGGGTTGCGGGAGAAATGCCAGCCAGCGAGGGCAAAGGCTCCGGTCATGATTGTTAGGAGGATCTGAATGAACGTCCGCGGGTCAGAGAGTATAGACAGGTGCGGGAGCATGCAGGGCAACATACGTAAAGCTCAGGATCTTTCTTTGCGCCCTTTTTCAAAACATCCTTCTTCTCGGCCGTTTCGTTGGCAGAGGCCTCGGCGTATGTGCGACGGGCTGGAGTAGCGAATTGCCGGAAAGGAAGGCGGGTGGCCTGGAGGGCGGTACGGCGGGCGATCATAGACATTGTGGGCGGTCGTGGGGTGTTGAGTAGTGACGAGCTCCAATGCTTTGACGTGTGACAAGTGAGGTCGAGGATGACGGAGCTCGGAACTTAGGCGGGACTTGCCGTGTCAATATTTGATGTGATCCCGCCAAACGTGATTCAATATGCGCGATCGATAAGGGAGATTGTGAGAWGAAGGGCTATATCGGGTTGGGCGAAGATCTGCTCTCTGATGTGTCGGGTCCATGCACTCCTGAAAGCATGCCGTTCCTACACATCTCCAAGTGAACGCGCGGGGGAGTCACAGAGGACATCCTTCATTCACTCACGCATCCAGGTCAAGAGTTGCTGGCTCGAGAAGGAAATCTAGCATGCGGACTGGAGTGACGACAGCACTCCGCCGACGGGACCAACTTCTCTCATTCCAGCGCAACGGGCATTCCCCCGTTAAATCATGTCCACCCTTTTGAGCGCCACCACCAGCAACGATGACCGACCGCCAACTGCTTCTTCCAACGACACGGACCTCCACTCCACAAATGGAAATGCCACCTCGGTCGCCCCGAGCGCGGGACCTGTCGGCGAACCGGGTCTCCCTCCTTCACGACAGACGGATGGCGCGCGCGGTTCACGCAGAGGATATGCTGCATTCGGCGGCGCACGACCGCGCTCCTCACGACCAGAGTCTGCCACCAACTCGACACATGTGCCCATGGCAAACACCACCTTCTTCCGGCCTATGAGCTCGCAGAAATTGCAGGCGCAACGAGGGCAGACGGTCGTGCAGCCGATCACCGAGGATCGCCAGGACGGAGTGAAGAAAGGCAGGATGCGAAGTCATCGGAACAGCGACGCTTCGGTGCATACAATGCGTGCGGTGGGCAGGGTGGAGGAAGACGCGCCGCCTCCTCTGCCCGTAAGTCGGGGTGGATACTCGGTCGCGACCAGTGCGGGTGGAGCGCCGATCGGAGGGAGCATGGACAGTACCGCCGCTTTGGATCTACGGACTCCTCGACAACGGGAACAGGACGAGAAGGCGGCACAGAAGAAGAGATTGGGATTGGGATTGGCGGTGGGATCCCGACATTCAAGTCGGCTAGAGGTTCACCACTCACCACATCTGGACTCCCATCCGGATTCGGAATCTACAACACAGGAAAAGCGACCGTACGACACTCCTCCAAAGATGATGGGGAGGAATTATGAGTACTTTGGTGGAAACATGCTCTTCTTCTTTCTGGGACGATGTATGAACACCCGTGCCAAACCACTCAACATCCTCACCTTCATTTTGGCCGTTTTCCCCGCCGCCCTCTTTGCCATCTTTTCCGCGCCGTATCTTTGGCGGAATGTCTCTCCAGCACTACCGATCATCTTCGCCTACGTCTTTCTTCTAACCCTGTCATCCTTCTTGCACGCCGCATTTTCCGATCCCGGAATTCTCCCGCGGAATCTCCACCCTCACCCTGAACTCGAATCTGATAGGGACCCGCTTGCAATTGGACCGCCATCTACAGAATGGGTCATGGTCAAGACCTTCCCGTCCCAGCAGAAGAATCTGGAAAGCAGCGCAGAACAAGGCCAGCACACCACAGCGATGGAAGTCCCTACTAAATACTGCAAGACCTGTCAGATCTGGCGTCCTCCAAGGACCCACCACTGTCGGATTTGCGACGCTTGTATGGAAACGCAAGATCACCACTGCGTTTGGTTGAACAACTGTGTTGGGAGGAGGAACTACCGTTACTTTTTCGCCTTCGTCGGAATGGGATCCATCATGGCACTCCTTCTCATCGCCTTCAGTGCAGTGCATGTACAACACTACGCCAGCGCGAATGACATCGGATTTGGGAATGCTTTGACAGGACGAACGCAAGAAAAGGTGGCATTTGCGATGATGATCTATGCTTTATTCGCGCTGCCTTATCCTGGAAGTCTCTGCGTTTACCATCTCTTCCTGGTGGGGAGAGGAGAGACGACCAGGGAGTATCTCAACGGACACAAGTTCTTGCCAGTGGACCGCCATCGACCTTTCTCACTGGGATCTAGGTGGAAGAACTGGACCGCTGTGCTTCTGCGGCCTCGAGGACCGAGCTACCTGTCCTTCAAGAGGAGGTATCTAGAAGGCGACGTTCGTCTAGGACATGGCCAGCGGAAGAAGGACCGACGAAGGGAAGAGAAGCGGGAGGCTGTGGAGCAGAAGAGTCGAGTTGAGGGACTGAAACAACGATTTACGGTCGGGAATGGCTCGCCTGTGAGAGATGGAGAGGGAGAGAAGAAGGAGGGCGTGGAGATGAAGCAGTTGAACGGCGGTGCGGTGCACGGGCCTCCAAATACAGCGAATGGAGGTGGGAATGGAAGGCCTGCAGTCGGGAGGTTGAACAGTACGCCCCGGCTCGGTGCCGGCGGCGGTGGCGGAGAGAAGCTCAATTGAGTGAGGCTCAGACAGGCATCTACTGCTGAAAACTTTTCTATTTGAGCGAAGGCGCAAGAGAGGCGTTTCTTTTTATTCTCTTGATCATTCAGGGAGTATGCGGCTTCACAGCCTGGCAATCAGGGATGAGCAAGTTCCGATGGTGATATCCGGACTATGGGAAGAGTCTCACCAGTTATTTTGCGATGTAAATAGGTGTGTTGTAATGTGTGCTTTCTGTGTTGAGAGGTCCATCCCGGTTAGACTCAAGGTCTGTTCTAATGTTGCCTCTTGACTGCTACAGGGCCGCATCGAGTTCGGAAGCGCAAGAGAAGAAGACTGGAAGAGGGCACGTAAGTCAGCGGCCGGTACCACACGAGCCCGCGAAAAACTTATTCACCTTCCAGATGCTAAAATTTAACCCTTGCTGGAACTTGCTTTCCTTTGCAATTTCGATCACGAGACAACGGATCGCCATACACCGCATGCTTGGGTGCTGAACTTACCGTACAGATAGGACCTCACAGCCACTTATCAGCACGAGCATTAAGATAAATCTTTTCGACCAAGTGTCATAACCAGCCGAACCGCTCCCTGGACCTAACAGACAGAAATGTCCTCGATGAATCAAGACGCCGTATCAAGGGCGCCGACTCATCCTCCTACTACGCCCGCCCCTCAGGAAAGTGCGCTTCCAGAGGATACCTGTGCAGCACCAGTCACAGTCAAAGCCAGTTCGGTCGGAGATGAAAACGGGTCGGATGACATGGAATCTCCTCGGGTGCAAGGAAAACCGGCAGTATATACCACAACAGCATCTGTCAAGATCATGGTCATCTCAGACACACACGGCTCTACGTTCCTACCTGGAAAGCTTCCTAAGGTGGACATTCTCCTTCACTGTGGAGATCTTACGAATAGAGGAAGGATAGCTGAGTACGAGAGCAGCTTAGCTTTGCTCGGCAGCATCGATGCAGAATTGAAACTTGTGATTGGAGGGAATCACGACATCACACTCGATGCTGAGTATTGGAGGGCACGCGGGCCTGAAATTGAAGGGACCAGCTATAGCACYGACACTGCAGCCGCAGCCATGAAGCTCATGAAGGGACGCAAGGCTCTCCAAGCCGGCGTCGAGTTTCTCCACGAGGGTATGCACAGCTTCAAACTACGATCTGGGACCAACTTCACCGTCTACGCATCGCCATACTATCCAGCATCTGGGGACGGCACCTTCCCGCATATGGCATTCCGGTACGAGTCCAACCAAGATCGTTTCAACCCACCAGAAAAGGCAACAAAGTACGCCGAGTCGATTGCTACCACTCCCATACCGGACTATCCAAAAGTTGACATAGTCATGACACATACACCACCACTTGGACATCTTGACAAGGTCAAGAATGGCGGCTATCTTGGTTGTCGCAGCTTACAACGCGCCATCGCGCGGGCGAGGCCAAGGTTGCATTGTTTTGGCCACATCCATGAAGCGTACGGCGCGGAACGAGTCACCTGGAGCGGCTCGTTACCGGACTACGACGATGAAGGAAGCATACATCATCGACAGACCTTGGAGCCTTCTTTGGTGGGGTCCTGTCTCAATGTGAGCCACACTGCTCAACACCCGTTGCGACATGGTGCCGAAACGTTGCTAGTCAATGCGGCAATCATGGACCATGAGAATGAGCCCGTTCACGCGCCATGGATCATTGATCTTGAACTTCCGATAGCTAAAWGAAACATCGGCCGGAATTTGTTGCAGATCTGTGGAGACCATGGCTGGTCGTGTATCTAGGTTTTCGAGCATGTCTATTCATTCAGTTCCTCTCAGTCTTCCCTTTACATGCCCTTCTTTGCATCCTCCACAGCCCACTGCACGGCATCCGCCACGCCTTGCACGATAACGTCCGGCTTATGGCTTGGCTCTGTTCCTTCTTGATACACACCCGTCTTGAGCAGGATGCTCGTCCACTTGCATCCATGGGTCGACTTGAAGTTGTTGGCGCCAGCGATATCGCTCTCTGGGTTGTCGCCGACCATGTACACCTTCTTCAACGGATCGTTCAGTCCAACTTGCCCAAAGAGCGCCTTGCGATGCCGTAATAGAGTGCGCTCAGCAAACTCGTAGGTACCCTGATGAGGTTTGCCAAAGAACTGTTTTCCCAAAAGCTTTGCCCCACCAGTGGACTCCTTCCACAAACCATCGAAGGCAGCCGCAAAACCTCCCTGGCCAAGTCGAGAAAGATGGTAAGAAGCCGCCCACCAAAGATCCGGATTACTGTAGTAAAGCGGCGGTTGTCCATCCTGCAAGTACCCATTGTTCGGCAGACTCTGGTCTCCGTTCTTAGGTGACATGGTCCCCAGGTATCCCTGATGCGAAAGTAATGTGTCCAAGATGATAGTCGCATCCAAACCCCAATCTCTAGGATCATTGTATACGAAGATGGCATCGATCTTCAGCCTCTCCTTCAAGTCATCGAGGCTTGTTGCAATCGGTCCAGGCAAGTTCTTGGCGAACCCCGCATAGTACTCCTTGAAGACCTTTGCGAATGGCCAGATATCCGGGTATGCGGTGACGATATCTCCAGGCGTTACCACACTTTCAAAACCATATCCTTCGGCGACCTTATGGCATTTGTCKTAGTCTCCTCCGCAGACGAGGACCGTCTTTCCATGATGGTGGTCCATGTCGGCGAACGGAGTGTGTGATTGAATGAACATGTCAGTCGAGAGCGGGACGTCGAGTTTGTCCTGAAGATCGGCCACGCGCTCTGCTTCGGACTTGCCGCCGCCATTGGTGAGGAGGATGAAGGGAATGCCTTCAGATTGGAGATAGCGGAGGGTTTTGGTGGCGCCGGGGAGGGCGGCGGAAGAGCGGAGGAGGACGCCGTCGATGCTAAGCAAAGACCATCAGTATACATCGGGAAAACATGCGGGTCTTGTTGGCCTCTTACTCGAATGCAAATGCGAAGTCAGGAATGCGGGCTTTGGTAGTTGGCGCTGAGGTTTGCAGGGACCGCCGCCATTGTTTTGGAGGAACACATGGAAATGCTGTAGGGAATGCGAATGTTCTGCGCGCTGCAAGAAGACAATGACCTCTTGAGGCCGAGAACCAAGGTGAGCAAGCGGCCATCAGCTGTCGAGGTCGATGATGTGCCACTGCAGGTGAAGATCGGTACCCAGACTTCGAGGATGTGGGGCTCGACGTGGCCGATGTCGGAGCTCGCTGTTTTGCATGTGAAACTCCCTTTGCCCTTCCCTTCGCTCCCATTCCAATTGACAACGGCCACCATGAATATGCGTATTCGTCAACACCGTCAGCCGGCGGACCGTTCGAAACATCCGTTTCTACCTCTTGAAAGTCACAGTAACAGACTGTCGGAGCCCACGGAAGCCGTATGTCGCCTCTGCTGCACCTTTGGAGATATCAGCGGCTCCAACAACTGCATCGGGTGATACATGTGCTGGAATGTTCGAGATATACACCTTGAATTCAGATTGGGTTTTTGTCCGATGTCTTCCTAATTCCATCTTGCAGAAGAAGAAATGCTTTGCTACCCTCTCCTTGCAGCATTGGCATTGAGACGCCAAATCTGTTCTTACGACTTCACGCCTCGCACACTGGCAACCTATGTTCGAAGCTGAACATGGTTTTCTTGGGCCTCAGAATAGGGGGCGGTCATAAGGACAAGGACATCAATGTTGATTTCAGTTACTTGGATGCCACATGCTACAAAATCTCTTGGCTTTCACATGCTGCTTCGCTTCCGCTTGCCGCTGAACCAAACTCCAAAGTTCCGCACATCGCATCATCTTCCCAAAAGAGAAAGAACTACGAGCCTTGACACACTGCCTCGTGTGCATCATCAACACTCAGCTCCCAACGATTCCCCGACCTAACAGCCAGAGTTGTTCACAGGCTCGCAACGGTAATTGTAGATGACGTTGATTTGAGTCCCCAGGTACGCACAATGCAAGAACTTCTCCTTGCCACACTTTTGGTCTTTACTGCAAGAAGCAACGACATCCTTGAAATCGGATGCGAATGAGACGTCCAATTTCTGGTTGTCTGCCGGCGAGACGCGGAAGTAGTATTTCGTCCGGTCGGGTTTGCCGCACACATTGCCCGTGAGGTCGAATGGCTTGCCGCCATCGCCTTTCTTGTCTGGACAAAGTGGATCGACCTGGGAAGCATTATGTCAGAGCACGAATTATTCGACGTTTTTGACGACGAACGTAGAAGCCGTTTTCAAGAGTGCGGTTGCCGATGGCGTCGCAGTTCTTCATGTCAACTGCACCGATGAGGTAAGTATCTTTGGTGCCCATGGGAGAGTTGCTACAGGGAGTCAGATTACCGATCCGTAAGGTCTTTTCAGCGCTCCACTGACCATGTTCCTGTAGGCAGACAGATGGCCTTTGGGTTGTTGAGAATTCGAGCAACATAGAATTCAGCTGAAGCGAGACCGGCAAGGCCTGCAAGAATGGGGATTGATAGCTTCATGGTGAAGTTCTTTTGGCTTGTTTTGAAGATGAAGTAAAAGACGGGAATTATCAACAAGATGATGTGCTGAACTCAAACAAGGAACATGCTGATGTCTTAAATATCGCTTGCAGACCACGCATCGTTGGCATTGTCAGGGTACCGTCGATTAATCGTTATAGTTTAGGAATGAGGACGCATGATCATCTTACACTATCTGGGAGCATTCATTATTGGACTGGTGAGCGGGAAAACGAGTTCACTAACTTGCGGGATGTTGTCTGTAAAGCACAGCCAGCGAATCATTGGCATAGAACTAAGAATTGTGATTGACTTTGGTACTTCTGCAGCTCTCCGGATGCAGAACTCGWGGCAAAAGCACACTAGTAGCTCGCGCGAAGGAAGGGACTAAGCAGGACGAGAAGGATGGAAGCTCAGGAAGGAAGGAAGCTAAAAAGCCGCGAAGGATGTTTCGATCCACAGCTTGGCAGAGTTACTAACGAGCTCGCATGTGAGTTGTCAAGCGCAATTTGTTCTTTTATTCTTTGAAGAACAGATCTGGAAAGGTTCGGTGTGCAAGATCGCACCATACTGTGGACTTTGAAAAGCTGTCGTCGTGAAAATCCTCGAACGCTCCCAACTTCCAGATTTGAGTTCGCGATGAATCATGAAAACACGCTCCTTTCTTTGCAAAATCTGGCCGTCATCCTGCCAACATGAATGCTGTAGGCAATATAATTCGCAATCATCTGGTCCTAGGTCCTTAGGCACAGTGTCTGTTTGCGACTCAGGTGCGTTATTTGTCCGAGGAAACAGCTTTGCACGGCGGTACGAAAGAAGGCTCTGGGTAAATATGGATGCTCTGGCGTACATCCTATACCAGCAATCTGTCCTGCTGGAGACAGCACAAAGGCGAAGGCGGCAGTGACAAAGTAAAGCGCAAGTATGATCAGAGCACGATCAGCAAGCACCGAGGGGAGCAAACCTATGCATAATGGACTGAGTTCGCACAAGTAGCGGTTGTTGGGACTCTCACTGTTTCTCTGGGAGCCTCTTGTAATCGATCAATCACGCCTAACTCCAGCGAAATGGATACAGGCGCTGAGTCTTTCGGCGTCCAGCATGCTACCCCTCGGGCAGTCTCCACCATCTTACCGGCCGGCTGAATCTATTACCTGTAGGCCGCCGGCCTCAAGGGAATGTAGGCAAGTGAATGATCAAGCGGCAGCCCTCGGTCAAGATGCGGGCCGCTTTCTTATCCATTGTTATTTTCTTCCTCCGTCGAGTACATGAACAACATTCATGCGGCGAACTTTTTGCAATATCCATCATCAAAACAACACCTGTATATACCAGGTCAGTACCCAATCAACATGGCCATCCTCAAGATCGAGTCCGCCGCCGACGCGCAACAGAATCGACTGGTATACAAAGCTGCGACTCGCAGACTCGTATACTGGATGCTGTGCACAGAGGTAGCACAAACCTACGAGCCCATGGCCAGCCGACCCAATGATGCAGAGCCACTGACTCGGGAGAATGCGAAAGCTTGCTCGCATGAACTCAAGATCATTGCTCGATGTCTTCGCGCGCTGAACACCGCTCTCCCTCCTGAAGTTATTGCTTCCCTGGAAGTCGCCATCAAAAGACGACAAGCCCAAGCGCGTTGGTACACCTCGGATCCAGACTCCGATTCCGCAAGCAACGCGTCTCACCAGCGATTCATCGAAACGCTGATCGAACTTTTTGAGACTTTGACGGGAAAGAAGTGGATGGAGAGGTTGTCTTTTCCTCGGCCAAGCAACGCTTCCAAGACTCGACACAGCAGCCACACGAACAAGTCCAACTACGTTCAAGCAGAAGGCGACACAGATACTCAGAACTAYAAAAATCGCTTCATCGCACTCGCAACGGTGGACGTGGTGACCGTCGAAGCTGGCTGGTCGTGTTTCTACCCGCTGAACGACGCCCGACAGGAGCTCATGGACTCTCTCGCGCTCGACATGACAGAAGATCGCACTGTTGATGAGGTTGTCATTTGTTTGAACGAAGGAGTACGAAACCTTCACGAACTCGGTAGCAGGCTGCATTCTGCGTACTCCAAAGTGAGTGACGTGGAGGATGTCACCGTTCTGGAAAAGCTTGAAGGTTTCATGGGTGTCGAGCCCGAGGACGAACAGGACACAGCGCCGTCTCCGTCTTCGCGCAGTCGCAGGATGGAGAGTCTCATGCTGGATGAGCTCCGAGCATATGTTCTCAACCTCAGACTCCCCGCCTTCAGGACCAGTGAGCAGCTGCGGGAATWCCTCAATCTCGATGCGTTTTACAAGGCGGCTGTGGCGGCCGTGCAAAGCCATCGGGTACCCTCATCATTCATCTGGATGTGGGAGCCGTATTTCACGATGAGGAACCTGCTGGCCCAACCGAACTCACCATTCCTGATTGCGCGATCGGCACACATCTCGGACGTGGAATCGTCTCTCAGAACCAACAACGATCATTCTATAGCGCAAGAACACGCAGCTATCCGTGGAGCAATCGTTACTGCACGCCAACTGAGTCTCAACCTGGGTATACTGGGMGCGTCGGCATACAAGTACCCCATCTCAACATGCCTCCAAAGCCTTGCGGTGATGCTGTATCAACACAGAGCGGGACTGATTGGATGCAGCGCGCGAGGAGATGTTGGCCTCCTGTCTCATATATATGTCAACTCTGTTGTGTTCGACCTCTTCCCCGAGGATCCTGACGAAGACGAAAGCCACATCAACCAGTGGAACGATATGGAGACGGCGTTTGAGGCCCACGGGGAGAGTTTCGATGCCTTGCAGAACTTTCCGAAACTCCTTGCTGAGGCGAACTTCTCCACCCGCGAAGAACACGAGGCTGCTGAGCTGGAGTCAGAGATTGAATGTCGCGCGCGAGCAGAGCGCCTCTTTCTGGAACGCTTCCCGGTACACGCAGGCAAGGCAACGAGTCATGTGGACCAAGGCAAATATCCGCTCGAATCTCGCTCACACCTTGAAGATTGGCTGCGTGAAGGGAACGATCTTTCAGCATCCAATATCCAGGTGGTCTTTGCCAGGACAGCAGCGCGGTTTGATTCGGCGTCCTTCTCGAAAGACTTCAGCAAGTTGTACGACGACACCTGCTTGGACTACATCTCGTTCGCCAACTTCTGCAGCGACTTCCTGGATCTGCTGAGCCAGCGCTCGGAGTCTCATCCAAGCCACAGAGACATAGTCGCCCAAGTGCTAGGTGATACTGCTGCTCACGAACGGCTGCATCCTTTGGCACTATTACAGATCAACAGCAAGTTGACTCGCATGGCTGGACTGTTGAGGCGCGAGAAAGACAAAGACGGAGACTGTATGCTTGTCAATGCGGTGGTGTGGAAGCAGCAGATGCTGTTCTGGAAGTTCATTGACATTTAGTCCCAGTGCGGTGGCGATGAGATCAGGGCAAAGCACGAAGATCTGAGGCGGCTGTGCAGTGGTGATTGGATATAGCTCTTCAGAATGTATGACCACAATGCGTAAAGCGCACACACTCCAGAGAAAGTTCTYGGTCTTGATACGTGCCTGTTTCCGTCTGGGATCCCTGGCCTGAATCTGCGGTCAGGCTGATGGCCGGTGTTGAAACGAGCTCTTCACACCCTGGAGTACTTTATTCTCTGTTAATTGTAAGGCGTCCTGTTCCAGGCGATTGACTCTTGCAAGGAGACGAGAGCGTCATTTGAGAATCGTAGTTTGTATTATCGGTGGAGACAGCAGGCTCCCTGAGCTGAAGGAGATACGCGAAACGGATGGGCGATGAAATCGCTTGGAATTGAAAGGTCTGGTATTGTGAGTCAGATGAAATTGCGTCTGTCATTCTGCTGGCATGTTGCTCGCCACTGAAAGACGCAAACCGCCGTTGTACGTGTGCGCTTCAAACTTCATTGCGTTCCTGTGTATCTGCCGTGCTGGTGAAGGCTCTACGCGCCTCGAGGACCGCCATGGAATCAGACTTGGTGTTTGTAGTGGCTCACGATCTGCCAGCTCTTCCTGTACCTTCACCAGCGCTGCGGCGGATGTTTCTTCGCCWTCGTCGCGTCGCTAAGTTCGATGGCGGTCGAGCGTTCTCCGCCCGCGGCAAGGTGGTGATGTTGCGGTGTGATCTTTGGTGTCGCCACGCCGTCAGCAGATGGCAGAGGCTGGTCGAGGTTGCAGGAAACGCGGTCGCCGCTGTTCGAAACAAAGTGAGGTTTTTGTTTCCCAAGACGCGTCTTGTTTCTCGCATGTTCCCCCGCCGGAGATGGTCATCTCACTCATCCCTGCCGATGGAAGGCGTAGTCGGGCACAATGAGGCGGATGTAGTAAGGTAGGAGTGACTGCTCGTCTCTCAATGTACCTATGCTCGGCTTGATTTTCGCTGCGGTTGTTCCCAATGTCTATCCGTCGCTCTCCACTGCTCCAACCTCGAGCAGCCGGCAGTCACGATGAGGAGACAAATGTAGAACGACGGTCTATCTGCTGGTCTGCCTGCGATTCAGGRGCATGGTGATGGCGATGGGCTTCCTTTTCACTCTACAAACCCACCCCGGGCACCGCACGTTGATCATGGCCATCGACATGGAGGAGCATGCATGAGCCGATGGCAGACAGACAGTAGTGATCCGTCGCGATCATTCTCGCGACGGCGGAGAGCTCGTGATACAGGCCGCGAAACACATCGAGGCGTCGCGACGGCGAACAAACACCGCTTGGAACATGCCCCGGCGGAGAGCTCGTGATACAGGCCGCAAAACAAATCAAGGCGACGCGACGGGCGAACAAACATTGCTGGAAACATGCGACGGCGAGGTGGATGGACATGGACGACAACGACATGGCGAACATCACGGAGCAAGGCAATCGAGGCACCATCTCAAGCAGCTGGTATGAAACCAACAACACTCATGAAAGTACTATGTAGCCATACAGTATTCATCTTACTCCCCGCCAGCTACGAAGGTTCACCGCACCGGGCATACGATCATGTTCAAAGATCGCCCCAATGTCCAATGAGAAGGCCAGTATGTCAATCTTCTGTACCACCGTCCAGGTCACCACCACAATGTAAAGTTGGGCCGTTGGGTGTCAGTTGTCGCAACACAAAGTGTACGAAGTCGAGCCTTGCGGCCTTCTTTCGACTTTGCAACCGTTGATAAAAAAGGAAAAGGAAGCAGGATGGAGGGCGGAGGAATTCGAAGTTTTATGCTCGCGGCTGGTTGAGCTCGGACGTGATGGTGCTCGCGCATGCGTGATTGAGCTTTCGCAGATGAGTCACGGATGCTTCCAATCACAGCGTGGTGGAGCTCAGGTCACGGGCGAGGAGGTTAAGGGTTGAAAGGTTGGGAAGGGGGATGGGTGGGCCGAGCGCCTGGGAACACGTCGCGTCCTGCGGAGCTCAGCCCGATATCATTGTGATCTTTTGAATGGCACACAGCCATCCTCGCCTACCATGGACATGAATATACGGGAGTAGTTAAGATGGGAGCAGTTGAGTATTATTTTGTTTCTGGGCATTATCTCGGTGTCAGGGGGTTGACGGGCACAAACAACACGCCCGCGAAAGATTTGCCTTGTTGCTGATCAACGAGGGGATTGCGACGGAACAGCACTATCTACTCTCGGGTTCCAAATGTCTCCATCTTCGCTGTAACGAGTGAAAAAAGTCATCGGCGCTGAGTCTGGTGTTTACTTCACTTCATGGGGAAACTTCGGGACTACGTCCGGCACTAGCCGCTTCGAGCGTTTGATGGGAACTCGCCATCAACATGGAAGCGAAACTTTCCACTTTTCGTTCATTGATATTATTCGCACCATCAGACCGGCGAGATGATCATCATCATACCCATGCACCTTCCCATGTTCCTCCAACAACACCCGAAACAACAGCGCCAGCTTCCCCGCCACCTCACACCGCATGCCTTTCCGCAAATCAACTTGATGGACATCAACTTAAATAAGCGAGCTTGTCGTCTTCGCTTGTATTTTCAACAAGTTCAACAGATCGCGCAAACCACGAGGACTCTTCGACATCGCCGTGTCCGGTCCGAGGAAAGCAGAACTACTGGAACGCGGAGATTGCACAACACCCACTCGGCAATCTCGGATGCACTCACAGCTAGCATCGTATACCTATCCTACCACAGCGAGCAACGTACGCTACCGAGAAAACTCGCAAATCCACCTCTACCGCCACGGCAGCAGCGCCAGCCAAAATCTGGTCCAGGAAACACCGCTGGCTGGAATCTTAATATCTCGCCGCCAAGATACCAAATCAGCTGTTCTCTGCGGTATATATCCTGAGCCGCCTTCATCATGTCGGTGCACGCCCAATTGCTTAGCAATTCCGTTTCTTCTGCCTCCCAATGACTAGCTGTCAGGAATTGGATCTTGAACAATTCTCAAGACTCAACCGCAGAACATAACTCGGTGGCTTTATTGGCAGATCAGCACAATGCGCAGCTGTGATGAAGTGGTCGAGGAGGATGAGGAGGATTGGATGCGGTGATTCTACGGCAGACTCACGCTTCGGGCAGCTGTGAGCAGAGTGGTCGAGGTCGAGCGCAGCTCGATGGCTGATTTGGCAGAACTGTACCTTGTGCAGCTGTGAGCAAAGCAATCGGGATCACCGGCGCGAGATTACGAATTGAACGACAGGCCGTTGGTGCAAGTATGACTAAAACTTCGCAAGAGGAGGACATCAGTCCATCATTTGGTGCTCCATCTGGTGGCTGAAGCTCACCCGGACTACACTTGACGTGAAACATATGGAGCGCTGTACTGGATACTTTAGGGAATGGAGGCTGGTTGTCAGATCACGTCAAGCTGGTGGGAGAAAAACATTGGAGGAATGAGCGTGAAAGCTAGAGAGGTGACTGAGCAGGGCATTTCGGAGGAAAGGATCCTTTTGCATGGCCTCAGATAATTTCAATTGCTAGGTAGAGCGGATGACGGGATAGAGAATGTGAAACGAATTCCCTCCATGTTCGTCCCTGTTTGATCTCCCTGTGATAGGCCACTCCAATCGGTCTTGTTTCCCGAAGACCCCTCCTCTTCCATCCAGAAACACTCAAAAGTATGGATGATACATCTCTGCCCTCTGGGCTTGTTAAAGGCGTATGATGGGAAGTGAACGTTGTCGGTGATTTCTGTTGGGTTTTGATCGCTAGTCTGGTCATGTTGAGGTGAGCTTTTCGATTTCTGGAGCCTTGTAGGTTGCTCTTTTTGCTTTCGACTCTAATGTCGGCGCATATACAAGGGCTTGTTGGGCGAGGACGCAAGGTGTCTCTCCTTCCGCCAAACTCCCCACATACCGGCCCTGTATCTCATCCCACTGAAGCCTCGATCGCAGATTAGCATCGCGAGTCAGCGTCTGAGCTTCTGTGTCTCGTGAACAGCACAGCCAGGCGTTAGTCAGCAGACTTTTATCATTTCTTTGCCTTCATTCCAACATTCATTTGCCAATCTGCTTCCGAAGTGCCTTGTGCGGCATCAGCGCAATTGTGACGACACATCCCATCGTGATTCCACCGGCAAAGTACAAGATCTTCTTCACCGCCGCTTCATTCTTGAGGCCCTCCGCCGGTAAAATCGAGTTGGCGATGATTGGAGTGATGATGGAGAAGAGTCGTCCCCAGAAACTCGCAACGCCACTTGCAGTTCCTCGAACAGTCGTTGGGAATACCTCTGGTGTCCAGCCATACAGGACTGCATTGAACATGCTCTGGAAGAAGTACTCCATGGCGTTGAGGCCGATGTTCGAGGCTTGATCATTAGCAAGACTGAAGAGGATGATTGAGATGCCCATCAACGCTGATGAGATGATCATGGTGAGTCTTCGTCCGATTTGAGGAAACTTGGTCAAAGTAGCGGCCAAAGCGACGGCGACGATTCCGGGAGTGTAGATGGCAAAGTAGCTTCGGTAGGTGAACTCGAGTGGCAGGTCGATGGCACCATTCTTGTTGGCGAGGATGACGGGTAGGAACGTTCCTGCAAGTTTCACCATCAGCAGGTCGCTTCCACAATCGAGCCTGGTTGTCATTACCTGCGAGAGTGAAGCCCGAAGCATCACAGACGTATGTCAACCACACCAAGATCGTCAGACGAGCCATCTGCCAGGATGCGAACAACTGGCCATATTTCGCGCGCACGACAGACAACTTTGAGGCCCATGCTCTCTTTTGCCGCCAATTGAAGTCCACCTTGTCGGCAGATGGTTCATCTTCAATTGCCTTGAAGTCCTCGATTGAAACCGAACCTGAAATGATGATGGAATCGTCAGCTTGTCCCTGGATTTGGTGGGCCGGATGCTCGGGATGTACTAGCAACTCACACTTTTTTCCATTAATCTGGGCAATGTGCTCGAGCACCCTCACCGCTTCGGCATCTTTCCCTTGGTGCACCAGGAACTTTGGCGACTCCTTGAAGTTGAACACCACGAAGCGAAGGAAGAAAGCGATGAGTGTTATTCCTCTAAGGAAGAAATGGTCAGCACAAGGCTCGGTCGGCTTTGAACGATGAATGGACATGGCTGGACTCACCCGAGTGTGAACATCAAGTATCTCCACCCACGATTGTCTTTTGGTTGGCAGCACGGCTCTCCTTCCGGGACAAGATTACATGCTTTCAGATAATCACTTCGGCTGAAGTCGGGCTCACAGGAGTAGTTTGGAATGAACCCATAAGCTACTGCGCAGGTAATGACGACTCCAATCGGCTGGAATATGGACAGCAACGCCAAGAGGAAGCGTCTGTTCTGGGGGATGAACTCGAGGCAGATGGTAGTGTCAATGGGGATGTTGCCACCGACGCCAAACCCGACACATGCCGTGACGACAAGAAACGAGGTATAAGTGTTACAACCTCCCAATGCGAGGCCGAATATAGCACTGAAGAAGCAGGTGAGATTGAAGGCCCATTTCCGACCAATGATGTCGACCAGCACCTGCAAGTACCGTCAATTCCCGTTGAACTTCTGCGCCACACGCTTACTTACTCCCCAAGTGAAGGCGCCAATGGTGAGACCGGAGCTGAAGGCGACTGAGATATTCCCAGATTCGGGTCCCTGAAAGCCTAGTTCCTGTCCGAGGGGTCCAAGGACCAGTCCAAACGCCTGGGCCCAGAGGAGATCGATCAAGTACCCAAAGCCGCAGAGGAACCAGATTTGCCATTGGTATTTGCCCATGCCGCACTCATTGATCTCGGCTTCGATGAGAATGCATTTCTTCTCCGCCGGCGTCAAATCCTTTTCGCCCAACGCAGCTTCCATGGTGTGGCCTCGATGATGATGATGATGATTGAGGTCGGAGCTTGAAGGATGGCTTAAAAGTGGAACGGCAGCGTGTTCGTCGTCCATTCCATGGGTGGCTGTTTCTCAGAAGATCTATCTTTTGGAGAACCTCGGAGGAAGCACAAGGAAAAACTTCAAGATCCGGCGGGGCGCACGTGTCCAACGTCGAGATAAACACAAAGGATCTGTACCAAGGAACATGGTGCACATTGAGCTGCATGCATCGCCAACTTTAGCGCGGCATGTGCGCATCAGAGGGGCATCATTTATTGGATGGGGATACAGGAACCGCAGTGTTCCAGTGACATCCCACGCACGCCGTCCAGGCACAAGGACWCTCCATAATGGAGGTGTGCATTCACAAATTTGCCCTGTGTGCGGAGGGAAATCAGCCACTTTTCCCAGCAAATTCTGATGCAATTCAAATCCAACATCTGGCATTCGATGGTAGAGTTTGGGGTCGTCATAGATAAAGCAGATACACTTTCGATCCCCCCGGCCCCCACTCCCGGGCTCAGCTCCACTCACATCCGCTACGGTGCGCTTTTAGCGACAACTCTGCAACAATCTTTTTTTAGTAGAACTAAGGTACACTACTTACGCTACCTCGGAATATAACCGTTCCGAGAGGTTAGCGGTGATTTTCAGTTATTATACGGGCGCTTCCGATATAGCCTCTTTATCTAGTATGTAGATGTAGTCCTAATCGATAGATTAATCGTAGAAGTAAAGTTGTCTAAAGCCTATATCTATAACTATATATTAGGTACTCCCTTTATATAGTAGATAGATCGAGAAGTAGACATACGCCCGTATAATGCGTTTACGACTATTAAAGTAGTACTATATAGATATCTATTAAAGGAACGAACGAAACTACTAAAAACAACTCCTCTCTAAACTTGCGAAGCACCTACTATTTTTATTCTTATCGCAACCTTTTAGATTAACGACGCTTCGACCGATTACGCGTATAATTTGCGGGTAGTTTACTCGTATTCTTAGATAATTACGAAACCTTCGAGATCGTCCGCTTATAGCTTAAACCTCCTAGGATAGGATGTTATTACTCTACTTCCTCGGTTCCTAGCTCTCCCTTAATTTCTAGCTCTCCCTTAATCTATAATCGAGTAAGTAGCTATCTTTATAATTATATAGGCTAGAAACGTATAAATATCTTACTAAACGAAGCTAGCGACTCGTCGTTACTATTATTAGTAGCGTTATACTCTATAGTAGTATTAACCTGCTCTTTACTCTCCTATCGAATTTAGTATTAGACTTTATCTACTAACGTTTATACGGAAAGATAGTATATATACTTCTAAGATCGGCTCTACTTTAACTACTAGCTTTAACTCTACCTTAACTTCTTACTTTACCTTCTTCTTCTTCTTCTAAGAGCCCTTACTTTTTAGAGTAGTAGTAGCCTTAGTAAGATTTGCGTTAACCTCGGCCTCGTATAATAGGTTATCCGTAGGCTGCGATATAGAACGTCTCTTAAAGATNTTTAGAGTAGTAGTAGCCTTAGTAAGATTTGCGTTAACCTCGGCCTCGTATAATAGGTTATCCGTAGGCTGCGATATAGAACGTCTCTTAAAGATAAGGAACACCTTATATTACTTTCGAGATAGCTAGCCCTTTATATTAATATCGTTTAGGAAGATACGACTTAGCTTCCTRTCTTTAAAGTCTGCATTTAGAGGTTAAATAGGCCTATCTCGGTTATTATACGACTGCGTAATATATATATAGGTGTTATCCGGATGTTCTATCTCCTTAGTAATATGCGGTTTATTACCGAAGCTACGAATAGTAGCTACTATGTCTTTAATATTATAATCCGGTACCGCGATGTCCTTAGGCGTTCCTACATCCTATTAGCGATTAATTATACGGCGGTATAGATAAATACAATAATAGTATATAATATATATAGTATACTTAGAGAACCCCTTACCTTTCTTTAACCTACTCTACTTTAGTATCTTATCTAGATTATCTAGGGCAATATAGTATCTCGTAATAATAATCGTAATAATAAACCTAACTTATACGGTTACTATTATAGAGATAGCCTTTATAATACTATCCTTCGACCGTTAGCTAGGGGGTAGATTACCTATATAGTACTTATACTTCGGTAGATTTATTACCGCTTCCTTTTCGATCTTAATCTATCGTATATAGGTTGCCTTTGTACTAGTAAGCTGCGCTTTATCTAGGAGGCTCCTACTAATGTGTCCGTTAAGAACCTCGTCGTCTAATATCTCGCTTTTATTAGAGTTAATAATAATTAGCATAGTGCTTAAGGATAGCGTATTCGTCCGTAGCGGCATTAGTGTCGCCCGTATAATCGGTTTATTCGAAGGTGCCGGCGGTATTAKGTTATAATCGCCGTAGAAGTAATATTTCTYATTATCTAGTATATACTTTATATAGTCGAATTAGAGCTAAGTAGGGCATATACGCTTCTATACTTTCTTTGCTTACTTCTTAGAACCTATCGGTATAAAGCGGACTCGTAGATATAGCGTCGTATACGTTCGTATAAAGGAAGGAATATCGTCTATAGGAAGGGGGTTAGAGGAGGATTTTAGTAAAGGGGCAACCCTTTATCGCTCTATAGGTATAACTACGTAAAGACGGGGGATAGAGCGTACGCTGCTTAATAAGTATTATATAGATATATAGGCGCATAAATTTGTTATATAGTTATTGCAGAGTTCTTATAGAGATTGCAGCCGGGGCCGCTAATACTAGTAGGGATAGAAGCATATTAGCTATATATCCCCGGTATATATAGTCCTATTAGAGCATTAGAACGCAACGTAATCCTATTATACCGATAATCTATTCCGACTTATCCGACTAATAATTAACCTCCGATAWATCGCTATTACTACTTTCCGAGTTATCCTCTTTTAAAAGCTCTCTATTAATTAAACCCTCTAGTGCCTCCTTAAGCTCTTTACGCGAGCGGTTATTATCGCACTAATCGCGAAACGCTTATATAATATCTTCCGAGTCGATATAAAATCCTTCCTACTTCCTACCGCCGCGGGGAATTAATGTCTTATATAGTATATCCTTAGGAACCTTACGTAGCTCTTCTACGAGGTTCTCGTATACGATCTAGTACTACGGCTTTTRTAYGCTTAGTATAAACTTATACGAGCTTAGTCGACCGAGCGGAAAGCCCTTTATCTTTAGAATACTTAAGTAGAGCTTAAGYATCTCCTATAGAACATACTCCTTAGAATCTGTATATATTAGCAAATAATTTAAGATCTATTATATGCGTTCGCTAGTACAAACGTACCCTACTTTGCGCAAGCTTCTATAAGACTATTAAAGTAGGCCTTATCGATTAGATACCTAACACTTAGCCTTCCCTCCTTCTCTACCTAGTTATAGCGATAGCTTAGTATACTACCCCTTACGTGCGGTCTATTAGATTGTCTTCGTACGGGGTGCTTGTTCTATATATATACGAACGAGGCTAGTTCTTTCCGCATAATAGGTGTGTAGATATACTTTATAGCAATACGGTTAGCCTTCTTTACTTTATAAAACTACCCCTTCTTCTTTAATATTATAAAGAAGCCCTATAATATTAAGATTAATTAGCCTAACCCGTATAATTAGATTCGGATATAACGGGAGCGTTGCTAAAGTATTTATAGATAATATGCTCTATATACTTATATGCTATGCCTTAAACCTTCCTCGTATAAGCTAGCCCTACTATGCCTCGATACGGACATTAGTAGTGCTTATTCTAAATATAAAGCAGCGGCGAAAGCGTACTTTACGCCTACGAATAATCCTTACGTATTAGTATTAAGCCTACGCTATAAGGAGTATCTCTTTACCCTTATCTATCCGAATAATACGAGGTACTCTCGTAAGCTTTTTATAAGCTTTCGCAAAGTTAGATAGTATAGACACTATTATACGGGCAGAGGGTCTAAAATAGGTATATAGAATAAACCGTATGTCTATATTAATAGCAGCATAGATCTAAAAGCTATAGTCCTTAAGTTTATAGTGTGCATCTATACTCTAGACTGCATTAGGGCTAGGCGTAATATACTTCCTACGGCGACGTATAAACTTCGCAGCCCTATTATACGGGCTAGCGGGATAGACCTCGCGGGCTATCTCGTATAGTCGCTTCCTACGATGTAGTAGTATATTAGCAAACCCCTTTCTACCCTATAGATGTATATCGTATAAATATACTAACCTACTAAGCGCAAGCCGCGTACGATCGGTTGTACGGAAGTATATTTATAGTAATATTGTTCTATATGCTTTAAGGTTCGAGCGATTAATCTCCTTCTTTATAATCTTTTTATATTCCTCTTAACGCTTAAGGAACTCTCCTTCTCTTAGTCGTTTCTTAATACCTATACTCCGCCGAAGCCGTATAAAGGTATAGTACTTAATCGCAAATCCCTCCTCGTTTAATTTATCTACGATATACGTATCTAGTAGAGCTTTAAGGTAGAAGAGTTCGGCTATTCGGATACGAAGGAGGGGATTATCGTAAAGACTGTTCTTTAACGACTATCGGAGTTCGCTACCGTTCTCTACGACGATTATACGGATAGTCCGTTCGGAGGCATATAGCTATTATAAATAGAGGAAGGTTTAAATGTCGGTAATACTCGCATTATTAAATATTAGTCGGAGGTTCGCGGAATTTTAGAGGTGGAGTACAAGAGTAACTTAATCTTTAACTAGCTTACTGTCTCCGACAGGCAGTACTTAAAAGTAGGAACCAATGTGTTAATTAAGTTGATTATCTAGAGATGTGTCTCTATCTCCTAAGAAGAGATTTTACCCTACATAGAGTTATGTAACCTTGTAGCTACTTAGCTCTCTGTTATGTCAGATGTACAGCTATTCCATAACTGCACTTTCTAACACGCATTATTATTCTAGAGTTTAACGACTTTTAGATAAAGATTAGG